TCACACACACACACACACACAACATTTAATTTCTTTTATCTCCCTTCTTTCCCCCACTCTTCTATATTTGGAGGATATTGGTGGTGAACTCCATCATTTCCATCACAAGCTGTGGTATTTCAGGATAGAATTGTCACAAAGTGGGAAAGGTGCAGAGTGCAGTTGGAGACCACAAGTTTGGAGCTGGTGCACTCAGTGAGCAAGGGGAGTTTGGGATGATTCCCGTGAAGCCAGGGTAGATATGCTCTCCAGTGGCTGAGTGCATGCAACATTATGGTTGCCAGAAACATTTGTTTTAGAAGAAAAAATGGGATTAATAGTGTATGATATTAAATGGAAGTCAAAGAGGTGGTCTATAATGAAGCTTTGTAATTTTCTGATGCCTGGCATCAAAATCCTTCCTACCTAAGAATATTCCAAAGATAGGTGGTAGCAAAACTCCCCTCCCACAATCAAAACCAAAGTGGGCAGATATTTTCCAGTCTCACCGCCTGGCAGCACATGAAGAGGCTCAGCCAACTGGATACTGCTACCAGGTACCTCAAGTCATGAGAGAGTGACGGAAGATGCTGGGACAGTTGGAAGTTAACACAGCATGGTGGAGAGCATCCAGCAGGGCCAGCATTAGCAGCTCAACCTGAGCATTACTGAGGGGTGATCTTGGGTATATTCCTAGATGCATAATTGCCTTTTGTTACATTTTCTCCAACCATTTCTTCAATTTTATGCACTATTAGAGAGCCTTTCTGTAAATTCCTTTTTTCCTTATAAAACTGTCATTGGTTTTCAGTGTTTGCCACCAAGAATTCAGACTGGTAAAATATTTAACTGTTTTTTTAATTGTTAGTTATTTGGATTCTTTGCTTTCTTTTTCAAGTGTATAAATCTTTTTTTAATCCTCACCTGAGGATATGTTTATTGATTTTAGAGAGAGGAGGATGGAGAGAGAGAGAAAGGCAGAAAGACAGAGATGTAGTTGTGAGAGAGAAACATCTGTCAGTTGCCTCTCATACATGCCCTGAGCAGGGATTGAATCTGAAACCTAGACATGTGCCCTGACTGGGAATTGAACCCACAACCTTTTGCTATAAGGGACAATTCTCCAACCAAGCCACTTAGCCAGCACTGGAATCTTTGCATTTTTAACATAAGTAGTGCTGCAATAAATTATTCACAGAGCTTTTCCCACTTGTATTTAAGATTATTTTTATATGTAATATCTTAAAATTTGCTTTAATTTTTTCTATTACAGTTTGACATAAAGTATTATATTAATTTCAGGTGTACAACATAGCAATTAGACATTTATATAATTTACAAAATGATCACCTCCACAGGATAAACATTGCTACACATTGTCAAATTACTTTGCAATGTGTAAGAGATACTGTTTCACTGAATCTTTGCCTTTCTAATATCTTGAACAATTGATACATCAAGTAATAGAAGTTAAAATGATTTATCTGACATTACTGAGGAATGAGATTTTTCACATATGTATCTTTCACAAAAAGATAACAAATTATTATTTTCAACACCAAAATTTTAAAAATATAACCATTTTAAGGTTTTTAAGAAATACATTTTATTGATTATGCTATTACAGTTGTCCCATTTCCCCCCTTCACTCCCCTCCACCCTGCATACCCCCTCCCACCCACATTCACCCCCTTTAGTTCATGTCCATGAGTCATATGTATAAGTTCTTTAGCTTCTACATTTCCCATACTATTCTTACCTTCCCCCTGTCTATTTTCTACCTACCATCTATGCTACCTATTCTCTGTACCTTTTCCCACTCTCTCCTCCTCCCATTCCCCTGTTGCTAACCCTCCATGGGATCTCCATTTCTATGATTCTGTTCCTGTTCTAGTTGTTTGCTTAGTTTGCTTTTGTTTTTGTTTTAGGTGTGGTTGTTAATAATTGTGAGTTTGCTTTCATTTTACAGTTCATACTTTTTATCTTCTTTTTCTTAGATAAATCCCTTTAACATTTCGTATACTAAGGGCTTGGTGATGATGAACTCCTTGAACTTGACCTTATCTGAGAAGCACTTTATCTGCCCTTCCATTCTAAATGAAAGCTTTGCTGGATAGAGCAATCTTGGATGTAGGTCCTTGCCTTTCATGATTTGGAATACTTCTTTCCAGCCCCTTCTGGCCTACAAGGTCTCTTTTGAGAAGTCAGCTGACAGTCATATGGGAACTCCTTTGTAGGTAACTGTCCCCTTTTCTCTTGCTGCTTCTAGGATTCTCTCCTTTATTTTAATCTTGGGTAATGTAATTATGATGTGCCTTGGTGTGTTCCTCCTTGGGTCCAACTTCTTTGGGACTCTCTGAGCTTCCTGGACTTCCTGGAAGTCTATTTCCTTTGCCAAATTGGGGAAGTTCTCCTTCATTATTTGTTCAAATAACGTTTCCACTTGTTGCTCTTCCTCTTCCCCTTCTGGTAGCCCTATAATTCGGATGTTGGAATGTTTAAAGATGTTTTGGAGGTTCCTAAACCTCTACCCTTTTTTTGAATTCTTGATTCTTCATTCTTTTCTGGTTGGATATTTCTTTCTTCCTTCTGGTCCACACCGTTGATTTGAGCCCCAGTTTTCTTGCCATCACTATTGGTTCCCTGTGCATTTTCCTTCATTTCACTTAGTGTAGCATTCATTTTTTCCTGTAATTTGTGACCAAATTCAACCAATCCTGTGAGCATCCTGATCACCAGTGCTTTGAACTGTGCATCTGATAGGTTGGCTACCTCTTCATCGCTTAGCACTATTTTTTTTTCTGGAGCTTTGATCTGTTTTTCATTTGGGCCATTTTTTTTGTCTTGAGGCACCAGTTATGCAGTAATGGGCAGAGGCTTAGGTGTTCAAGAGGGCAGGGTAACCCACATTGCTGCTTTGTGATGTGTGTGGGCAGGAGGGGTCTGAGAGGGAACAAACACTCTTGTTCCACTCTCTGCTGGGTTTCAGTTACTTCCCCTGCTATCCACAAGCAAATTGGGCCCTTCTGGTGCTGATTCCCATATGAGTGGGCTTGTGTATGTTCTAGGACCTCGTGGGTCTGTCCAACGAACTCTCCTGTAAGGCTGGGAGTTCCTCCCGCTGCTGCCTCAACCCCCACAGGTGTTTTTAATCAGTGTTTTGAGGCTTTATTTCCCTGCGCTGGGACCCTGGGTAGCACAGTCCATCCCACTCCTCAGTTGTTCCTCCTGGTTTATTTGCATGGGACTGTGGGACCGCCCAGTCTGCAATCTGCCACCTTGCCAGGTCCACCCGCTGCTGCCTTGTTGGCCAGCTGCAGCCTTATGCGCCCTGCCCCACAATCTGCCGCCCTGCTGGGCCCGCCAGCTGCCTCCTTGCTGTGAGTCCTCTCTGCCCCACTGCCTGTCTCTGCCCCTCCTACTGGTCTGTATGGACGTGCCTTCTTTAACTCCTTGATTGTCAGACTTCCATACAATTCAGTTTTCTGTCAGTTCTGGTTGTTTCTTGTTTTTAAATTGTTGTTGTCCTTTTTTTGGTTGTGTGAAGAGGCATAGTGTGTCTACCTACGCCTCCATCTTGGCCAGAAGTCTAACCACTTTTTAACTGCAATCTTTTCAAGTTGTATCACATACTTTTTCACCTCAGCGAAATGCAATCCCTGGAGGCCCACAGAAAGGATGGGTTTATTTTGCCCTTGCCCTTGATCCCCCAGATTACTGTACCTTCTTCATGGCTGGGGAACTTTCTATCTCTTCTGAACTCAACAGCCTCCCAGTCAGAGGACAGAAACTCTCCCCTCTTTAACCCTTGCCACACCCTGGCCTGTGACTCTGACCCCTGGAAAGGTAGAGCAACTGAAAGTTGGTAATGCAAACAATCACGCTTGTAAAATTTAAGCTTTGCATTTGTACAAAGTTGAAAGTCAGTATCCTGGTGGGAAAGCTGGAGTATGTTCCACCCTCTCCATTAGAGTAAACAGCTTAGATTTTGCAACAGTTTTATTTTCAACCCTCTGGTTCATTCTGTGTGCCATTCTGGTGCAGGTGCCCAAATCTGAGTGCTGGATACATGGAACATTACAATAATATACTTTAAGAGGGTTCTGGGTGAGCCTTCCTATAGAAAAGTTTCATTCTATTTTTCAAAATCTCAGGGGAACTGCAAATTTTTTTTAATAATCTACATTTTAGGAAATCTAATATTAATGTATAATCCTAAAGCCCCTTTGTAGAATTTTTATATCCATCTTTTATGAATCAGTCCTTAATAGAAGTGGTCCCATTGACTTTTCCTCTTTCACACATCAGTGTTGATCCATATTATTTCTTATTTTAAAATGTGGGGTCAAATTCCCTTAAAATAATCCTACTGAAGGATAGTAAGCAGAAGCAATGTACCCTCTTATATATCATATATGCGAAAAACTTAATGTGAAATCATAGACCCATTTGATATGGGACAATCTGATTTTTTATACTAAACAATAGTGACATAGTTGCTAGTCTTTTAAAAATAAGTAGAAGATTTACAGCAGAAATGCTTGCAGAGAAATTTTCAAAAGTAGTTCAATATTTAGTTTTTAACTGTTGGGGAAAATAGAAGCCCTTGTTTGAGACAATAAATATGTAGGAAAGTGGGTGTAAAAACAAGTTACATTTTGAATTCTATGCACTTTATTCAGGACAGAATAACAGTTTTACAGATAAAGCAAATCCAAATAAAAACAAAATACAGGAACACTAGCATATACCATCCATATCTATTCCATTCTAGTATTAGGCATATTGATTTATTTTAACTTAATTTAAATGCATTTATTTTTATTTTATCATGGTAAGAGCATTTAACTCAAGATCTACCCTCAACACATTTTTAAGTGTATAATACACTGTTGTTAACAATACATATAATAATATACCACAGATCCCTAGAATTTATTGATCTGGCTTAATTGAATCTCTATGCCAGTTGGTTAGTAACTCCCCCTTCTCCCCCACCCCCAACCCCTGACCATGTATTTTAACATCTAGGTTCATTTGCCTGAAATTATTAGCAAATAGAATATTTATTTAGATTTGTACTTGTCATATATAACTAATTATTTTTAAGTTATGAAAGGGAAGAGGAAAGATTTCTAAAACCAGAGTCTAGCTCTTTTTTTTCCCCTTTTCTATTCCGTATGAAGTGGGCTTTCCTGGGCCCAGTTCTGCTCCCCGGCCACACTGAGCAGATGTGCAGCAAGGGAGAGGGCTCTGGGGAGGGAAGCAGCAGAGACACGAAGGCACAGGCCTTTGTGCTTTAACTCTGCCTAACAGGTTGTATATTTATTTTCTTGCTCAACAATTTCATTTTTAATGGCAATGACTTGATCTTCTAGCTGTTTCAGTTGATCAGCTTTTTCTTGTCTACTTAGATTCAAATCTTGGATCTTCTTTTCTAAATCTAAAATAAATTAAATAAATAAATAAGTAAATAAAGCAGATGATATATTTCCATTTGATAGATTCTTCCTGGATGCCCACATGATACCTAACACAGGGTTTTCTGTGTCTCTTAAAGATATATTTAGTTTTGTGTTTTGACTCAATAGATAAAACATTTCTTTTCATCAGACTTCCCAAGATTTTCATATAAATTGGAGCAGACAAATGGATATTTTTGCCAAAAAATATTTTATATATAAAGGCATTTACTAAAGCATCTATAGCTAGTTAGAATTTAGTAGAAATGAAGAGACAGGTGGCAAGCCTTGACTGGATCTGGTGAAGTGCTGTATTTCCAAAGGTTTGTTCTTTCTATTTTAAGTTTACTTTGTTACATGTGTTTTTCACTTTAGGGTTTCCCAATCTTTTGGTAAAAAGGACTGACATTTTCACTTTGTTCTCCTCTGCTAATATTGAAGTCTTTGTAGAGTGAGAGCAAGGTGGTGTCTTTCCTGGCTTCGCTCCCGTCCATCCACCATCCATCCATCCATTCTTCAGTTAGCAAATATCTGGGAATTCTGTTAAACCGTAAGATGGAGACTGCCGAGTAGTAGTTGGGAGAGGTACGATGAGCTACAGTTAACAGTGAGGCAGCCTTTAGAAAAGAAACTGGCTTTAGGTTGAAGTGGAACCTCTGAAAGAAGGAAGGTCTGTATTCCCTGTACTCCCTTAGACCATACCTAGACACTCATCTGATTGGGGGTAATTGTTACACTAGCATACAGCGTGTGTTTGAATTGTGCAGAAATTTGAAACTGTCCTGTGAACAAAAATTGAATTAACTGCTGATTTTCACATAAAAGAGAGAAAATTCAGGGCATGTGGTATAGCTGCTTTTAAGTATTTGAGGGCCTGAAAAGCAGAGTAAGTATGTGGGGATTTTTGTTGTAGTTTTGGCTATTATGATTATTATTATTTGGTCAGTCTGAGGAAATAGAATTAAGCCAGCAGATGAAAGCTCCATGAAGATTTTGTCTGAATAGAAAGAGCTTCCTAGTAGTCATAGCTGTTCAAAGAGGAAAGAGCTGCTATGGAAGGCGGTGAGCATTTGTCACTAGAAACTTTCAAATACAGGTCATTTGGGATTGAAAAGGGGATTCAGGATTAGAAGTGTGTTTGTAAAAAAAAGACAAGACCCCTATGTTTGTACTACATAAGTTAACAAGATTGTGCTGGTTATTTTTTATTTATTTAAAAAAAATTTAAAGGCTTAATTCTCTTTATTTTTTTTTATATAAAATCATGTGGTGGCCACAGCTGGAGCCTGGGTCCTCTGTACAGAACTCTGGCTTTACAAATGGTCAGTGAATTCCTGACAGGGAGACTTGGTGAACCTAGTCACTTACTAGAGCTTTGTCCCACCAGATCCATTCTCCACCCTGCTGTGTGTCCTGGGAAGCTGGCTTTCATGGATGACATCACCTGGCTCCCTGACCTCGGGCTGTCTTTCACTGCTGAGAAGTGGTGGGAGGGTGGGGAGAGTGAGCAGGGGCTGCCCTGTTGAGCTGCATGTTCTGTCAGTTTTACATCTCAGCTCCAGCTCCTGCAGGTGGGCCTCTTCCATGCCAGGGTTCACAGGCCAGCTGTCCCTGCTCCCACAGGCTTCTCATAGCCACTGTCCCCCAGAACCTCCAGACCCTTGTTTGTGTCCTTTAATCCCTGTACTTTCTTGGTAGTCTCTCTTATCAAGAAGTGGAGACTATTTATCCTTCCCCCCCAGACCCGGTCTGGCTTTGCAAATTATTTCAACCAATAGAAAGTAGAAGAAATGACATTGCAGGTCCTCAAGAGCCTGAGAGCTTCTGTGCTCATTCTCACAGAACCCTCAAATAAGCACGCTGCAAAGCAGCCTGGGGTGAAAGACCCCACAGAGAGAGAGGTCCAGCTTCTCAGCCAAGCCCAGCCCCAGGCAGGCCTGCCAGATCACCCACCACTGAATGCAGCTACTTGGATAGGTAACTGAGATAATTCTGCTTATAAACACATGAACCAGAATTACATCCAAGTGCAGTTTCAATTTCTTTCTGAGACCCTGACTGACAAAGCTCTGTGGAGGGGCCCTGGCTGCAGACTGGGGCCCACTCTCAACTTTCTCAACTTTGATTCTGCCAAGATAAGTAAGGGCTGTTCTCTAGGATTCCATACACATTTCTTCCTAACCGACGGGAACAGAGCACAGCTCTTGTTCAGCCCCTTTGCAAGTGGCAGAGTCAGGGAGATGGCCAAACCAATATCTGTTTTTCCTATTTGTTGAGTTGTAAAAACAGCCTTAACATGTAAAGAGGAAAATGGAATGTGTTATCAGAGACTTCTCTGAGGAGAAGTCCCCGAACTTAAACTTCTCTCCCAACCTAATTCAAGACTGTGAAAGCTTTAGTCTCTGGGGAGAAGTGGAAACAATTTGGACCCTGACATAAAATATACAGAAAATATTCTCCCTGTGGTTTTGCTCTTATAGAAAGGATCCAGGTCTGGGAATAATGGAAACTGATTTTCATGGTATTGTCTATGTAGCTGAGTATAAGGTTAAAAAGCAAAAATATTATATTTGTCCTTTTTAATCTTTCTTAGTATCTCCTTTTTAAAATTATTAGAAAAAATATTGAAAATGAAAAAAACCCCCACAAGCTCACTACTTTTAAACAATTGTATAAATGTAAAAAGTGTGTTTTCCTCTTCACTCTCCCCCTTCCCAGAGATAATTAGTGTTAACCATTGGTATGTCTTTTTCTTTGCGTGGGCCCACACTAATGTTGCATTTTCATGTCATGCTGAGGATATGAGTCATTGTAAGGCCAAAGACTTGCTTTATAACAAAGAAGCATTTATAAGTGAGGAATTTGGGTTATTTAAAAGTTTTCAGAGTTACTTATATTACAAAGGAATATGATTATTTTATAATTTTGGGAGACAATACATACAACCAAAAGTAAACCTAGACACTCATTGTTTAATATTTCTTGTTGATTTGGAGGTTATTTAGGGAGGACATCGTGAGGGCCTAGAAAAATCATGAGTATTAGCTGTGTAAAGCAAAAACCCTGTAAACTTTCTGATTATACACATTCTATGTGGGCACACTTTGTGTGCATTAACACCTCCATTTTGATAAAAATCTTTGTCCAGAATATGGTTCCTTCTGGGTTGCTATCCGCAGACCTTGCTCGGAGGTAGATTATACTGTCTCCAGAGGAGAGATTCGCACAAGGGAGAAAATAAGCAGCATAGGTCATGCCAGGGGTTCTCAGCCTCAGTACCATTGAGACTTTGGGCAGAGTAATCATTTGTCCTGAGGAGGGGGTGGATATCCTGTGCAGGACAGGGTGTTTAGCAACACCCTTGGCCTCCAGTCACTAGATGCTAGTTATGTCCCCTAGTTGTGACAAGCAGAAATGTCCAGATATTTTTGTCCCCAGGAGAGGGAATAAAATCACCCCTGGGTGAGAACCACTGGGTTAAGAAAAGGGTGTTTCAAGGTGACCAAAGGTAAATCTCAGTTTGTTCTGATTAACACAGAGTGGATGCTAATTAATACACTTTTAAGGAAAATCATGCAAGAGGCCTGTTACTTTGCAGTCCCCAACATACAAACCCAATTCCTCCTTTCTCCTCAGTGGACTCATGTGGTTAAAGTGTGTCAATGATAAATTCAAATTCTACCTCCTGATGGAGGATGATAGTGTTATTGTCAAACTGATGAAGTGGGTAAAAGAGTAGATAAAGCTACCATATGACCCAGCAATCTCACTTCTGGCTGTTTATTAAAAGAAAACTAAATCTGTGTCTTGAAGAGATATCTGCACCCCGTGTTCATTGCAGCATTGTTCACAGTATACAAGGAATGGGGACAACCTGAACGTCTGTCAATGGACAGATGGATAAAGAAAATTATGTTTTATATACAATACATATATAACATACATTATCGTATTTTATGTATGTATATATATATTTCAGCCATTTGCAACAACATGGATAAACCTGGAGGACATTATAGTAAGTAAAATAAGCCAGACAGAAAAAGACAAATACTATATGATCTCACTCTTTAAAAAAAAAAAGAGTTGAATTCACAGAAACAGAGAGTGGAGTGGAATAGTGGCTGCCACGGCTGGGGGGTGGGCGAAATGGGGAGATGCTGGTCAAAGGGTCAGATGAATAAGTTCTGAGGATCTATTGCACAGCAGGGTGCTGATGATAGTTAATAATATTGTATCATGCATGTGAGTGGATCTTAAGCATTTCAAAGTTAGCAAAAAGAAGGAAGGAATCGTGTGAGTTGATAGATGTCTTAACTTAGTTATGGTAATAATTTCACAATGTACACGTCTAGGAAATCGGCACATTGTACAGTTTAAATACATACAATTCTATTTGTCAATTATGCCTCAGTAAAGCTGGAAAAGAGAAGAGATACCTGTTATTCTTCTCATCTTGTCTGCTGTATCTCCAGCCAGTTTCTCTGCTGCATCTTTTAGCTGTTTCACTTTTGCAATTGTCTCCTTTGTCAGTCCTGTCGCACTTGTCTTATGGTGAAGAATAGCATATTGATTCTTTAGCTCAACAAACTCCTGTAACAGAGCAATACTCCCTTCATCAGAAAATACTTATAAAGCATGTGTACATACATGATATTTATCTGATACTGTTCATAAAAGGAGTATGAGGAAACCTTAATCCAGTCAATATGCTTGAGTTACTCTGATTTCCAACAGGGCTTTTATTTGCATTTTTTTTCAGGTTAAAAACAATCTTAGCTTTAGTTAATTAAAAATAAAACTTTGTTACAAAATATCAATCATTATTCCATTTTAGTGCAAGTATTTACAAGGTACTGATTATTTGTCCTGAACTACACTAAGGTGAGAGATATAGAGGACAGAACAATGCTGTCTTGCCTCTGACAAGTCTCCAGCTGAGGGAACAGTTGCAAGTGCAAGATGCTGAACAGAGTGAGCCATGAAGATTCAGAGGCAGTGAGGATACATTAGTGGGTTGGCAAAAAGGAGAGAAGTGAGGTAGAAAGGGATGCAGGAAGGAAAGTAGAAGTGTTAATATGAAGATCTCCCTCAGAGTTAGAATGGAAATCTGTTGGGAACCTCCCTGCCTGGTTTCAGAAGCTGGAATCCCCATGGCTAAGGCTGAGTAAGAGACCTTGGGACCCTATGCCAGAAGGAGACAAAGCTTATCTTCCTGGCAGGGGCACTGCCTCTGTTCCCTTTACTTCACCCTGCTTGGCCCCGGGCGGATGACTGGTTAGCCAATGACTGGTAAGATTCCTCAAGGGATGGATGACCTAAGATAGGCATGTTCGAGAAGGGGTCCTCAGGGGAGGATTTGGGGTACTATAGAAAAAGAGGGTGATAGACCCTCACCCCTTGGCTTTGACATAGCCTGAGTCCTCATTTTGTCTGTAAGAAGTCTCCTAGTCTCTTGGCTGCCTTACTTCCCCTGCCTGACTTAAGCCTGAAACAATGCTGGAGGGTGGTGAGCCCTGGGGCAAATGTCGAAGCCCTGGGCAGGAATGGGAGGTTCCCCAGGGTGATCAGACCTAAGAAAGAATGCATAAAATCCTGTGAAACCTGCTTTGCTAAGAATGCCCTCAATTTTCTGATAAGGGTCTGAGCATGAAATGAGTTTGTTTCCCAAAGTTTTATGGCCCTTTAGCTAACTTGCCCTCACTCAGAATAAGTCCTCATAGTTCTTTCAATGTTATCTATTGTTTGATTGATGAGCTTTACCTGTATTCCTGTGCAATTGAACCCAATAAAAGTTCATTGAGGGAAAGGCTCCTGGTCCTTTTCCTTTGAGAGATCAGCCACCTTTCCTCCCCAAGCAGATTGTGTCTTGGTAGAATTATTCTCATCTGTGGTGGCCGGGGGAGGGGGGGCCTCTGCAGTTGGAGTCCCCCCACAGAAATCTTTGGTGTCTGTGTGGTTGACAGCTTTGTGTGTTAAATAGAGGAATAAAGGCCAGACCTTTATGGAATATGGAAGTGGGAAGAGGGTGGTGGACAGGGAACACTTTCTTAACCTCTGTTCCATAGAAAATGCTCTCAAATTCCACATCAGTAGAAACTTTACCCAGCACATGATGGATTAAAAACAAAATGATAGGTCAATTGTAAAGACGCTTTAACATTTTTCTTTTGTTTAAGCTACCATATTAATGCTACTAACCAGAGATCCTGCTAAGTAAATGAGTTGCTAAATTCTTTCAGCAATCTAAATTAATGGGCGAGAATTCTGGCCAAGATGGAGGCATGGAGGAGGATAATAACCCATCTAAAATCAATAAGCACCAGAAAATCAAATTGCGTGGAACTGCGACAACCAAGGAATTAAACAGTCAACTAAACCAACCAGACCACGAGGCGGCAGAACACAAGGGTGGGGCCAGCTGAGAGAAACCTGGCTGAGGCTGGGACTGTGCAGGTGAGGCTGGCTCAATGGGAAACTGAGACTCAGAGCTGACTATGGACTATGGCAGGGGTGGCTACAGTGGGAGAAACTCCCAGTATAACACAAGTTGAAAAGTACACTAGAGCTGAGCAGGCGAGCTGCACTGTTCCCTCTCTGGCCCCTCCCCCACAGGCAATGCTGACTGGGAGCAAGGAGGGTTACCCTGACCTGATGAATACCTAAGGTCCCGCCCCCTTACAACTTAACAAGTACATGGAGAAAAAGAAATAGGGCCCAAATGAAAGAACAGAGCAAAACTCCAGAAAGAGAGCTAAGCAATGAAGAGATAGCCAACCTATCTGATGGAAGTTTAAAGTCCTGGTAATCAAAATGTTCACAGAACTTATTGAGCTTGGTTGCAGAATGAAAGAGCAAATGAAATATACCCAAAGTGAAATAAAGCAAAATATTTAGGGAACCAACAGTGACAGGAAGGAAACCAGGACTCAAATCAATGATTTGGAATGAAAGGAAGAAACAATCATCCAGCTGGAACAGAATGAAGAAACAAGAATTCAAAAAAAAAATTAAGAGAGGTTTAGGAACCTCTGGGACAGCTTTAAATGTTCCAATATCCAAATTATAGGGTTGCCAGAAGGAGAAGAACAAGAGAAAGAAATTGAAAACTCATTTGTACAAATAATGAAGGAAAACTTCCCCAATATGGCAAAGGAAATGGACTTCTAGGAAGTTCAGGAAGCCCAGAGAGTCCCAAAGAAGTTGGACCCAAAGAAGAACACACCAAGGCACATCATCATTAAGTTACCCAAGATTTAAGATAAAGAGAGAATCTTAAAAGCAGCAAGAGGAAAGGAGAGAGTTACCTACAAAGGAGTCCCCATAAGACTATCAGCTGATTTCTCAAAAGAAATCTTATAGGCAAGAAGGGGCTGGAAAGAAGTATTCCAAGTCATGAAAGGCAAGGACCTACATCCAAGATTGCTCTGTCCAGCAAAGCTTCTCAGATAAGGTCAAGTTAAAGGAGTTTGTCATCACCAAGGCCTTATTATATGAAATGTTAAAGGGAATTATCTAAGAAATTGAAGATCAAAAACTATGAACAGTAAAATGACAACACACTCACAACTGTCAACAAATGAACTTAAAAAAAAGAAAAACAATGAAAGCAAAAACTAAGCAAACAACTAGAACAGGAACAGAATCAGAGAAATGGACATCACATGGAGGGTTTTCAGTGGTGGGGGGAGAATAGGAGGGAAAAGGTACAGGGAATAAGAAGCATAATTAGTAGGCATAACATAGATGGGGAGAGGTCAAAAATAGTATAGGAAACAGAATTCAAAGAATTATATGTACAATCCATGGACATGAACTAAGTGAGGGGATGCTGGAGGGTTGTGGGATGCAGGGCGGAGTAAGGATAAAGGGAGAAAATTGGGAAAACTGTAATAGCATAATAAATAAAATATACTTAAAAAATAATTAATGGGCCACTTTCCACAACTGTTTAATTAACTCTGATTTTTGTAACTTCATTTATTTTCTGGCAGGTGACTTTCACTTCTTATTTTCCTTATATGTTATATGATTTAATTAAAAGACAAATAAGTGACATAGATTGTGAGAGTTTGGAAGTTCATGAAAGATTTGACTAGGAATATGAGCATAAGTCGACAGGGTGTACACACTCTGACATGCTTTGTCCAGAGGACTTCTGCCTTCCCGGAAGGCGGCCCTCTCTGGCTTCATGCCTATGGGCATCCCCTACGAATATACACCACTGAGCATGGCCCAGCACCACAGGAAGTACTGAAAAATGGCACAAAAATCTGGGGTTAGAGGATTGGTTTTCAAAGCTTGATTTGCTCTTGGTGACAGTGGTAGAACTAATGACCTTCTCAAGTCCCCCAGCCTGGCCTCTGGCCGATTCAGCCTGAGCTTCTGCAAGGATGGCTTGCTCTTGATTCCTTTGTAACTTGATATGCAGCCGGGAAAGTTCATCTTCCAGAGCGGACTGCTGCTCTGCTACATCCAGTTCATTCTTAGTCTCCTTGGCTTGATTTTCAGTCTGTTGTTGATTTAAAGACCAGAGAGGAGAAAGTCTCTTTATGTAACAAGAAACAAATAAGAAAATAAATGATGTAATTACCCCTCAGAAAAAAAGCTAGATGTAAAGGGAAGGAATCTCATCCCTTTAATTTCTCTGTTCCATTTACAAAAGAAAAATGTTAGGATAAAATACTGCAGACATAGAGAAGGGTCAAAAGAAAAATATGATACACACCCACATACTCATCGGCCAGTTTAAAAATAAAGCGTGGCCAACCAGCTGAGTTCCTCAATGTACCGCTCCCCTTCGGGCCTCCTCTCCCGCCTTAAAGACAGCCACTACCCTGAGTCTGACACTTGTCACTCCATATTCTTCCGTATGCTTCTCACTGTGTTCCTATGAGGTATTCCTGATGATATGCAGTATTCCCTACTTTTATCTTTACACAAATATATCATTATTTTACTCTATTTGTTTTCTAATTATCTTCCTGTTGATGCAGGTGGCTTCTAATTTTTCTTCTTACAAATATTAATGACTATATCTGTCACAGCTAGAAGTCCTGTTTAAATATTTCTTGTATCTAAATTGTCACTTGTTATCTGTTGTCTTTTATTTTTTAGCCATATTTTTTTTTATTTTCCTAAGTAGAGTAAATGTTCTTACTTTGTATTCAATATACAATAATAGAAATAGCTGTGGTCTGTTACATTTTGCTTCTGTTGTTTTCTGTCTTGTTTAAGGCAGTTTGTTTCCTTATATGTTTTGGGCAAATTCTTTGAGGCTTGGTTTTAGGGTGCATTTCTTTGGAAGGGATTTTCTGTCTGCCTCTGTCAGGCATCTGAGGACACTACCAATCTAGAACCAGTTTAAATGACATTTTTAGCTTTGGGTTTTCATGCCACCCAGGTAGGTATGAGTCCTAGCCCCTAGGTATGAGAGCTAGCTTGTGGCTAGTAATTCTTAGTGAAGGTTTTCCCCCTCCACCTGAGGCAAGAGGCAAGTGTCCCTCTTTTTCTCTGTCTCTCTCTCTCTGTCTCTGTCACTCTGTGTGTGTGTGTGTGTGTGTGTGTGTGTGTGTGTGTGTGTGATGGTTTAACATTTCACTGAAAATTTTGCCTTTTGATGTCCCAGCTCTATACAGGGGTCTCATTCCCTACTTGCTTCATTTTCTGTCCATTATGCACAGTGACCATTAAACTAACAGCTCTGATACACCTGAGATTAGCAGATGCCCTCTGCCTTCAGGGTCATGCTTAATTACCTTTCTGGATTCATGCTTTCCTATCTTTTTTGGTGTTTGAGCATTTCCTCTGTTTCTTACTAATTCAGCTATGCATTTAAAAATTTTTTCAAATATCTCATCTAACATTTTGATTTTTATTTTCCTGCTAGGAAGGTTCATTGGGGATACTGGTCCACCACATTATAGAAATTGAAGTCCCTCCCTGTGCCTTTGAGCATATGTCAGAATTTTTCTAGAGCAGGAATCTGCAACTTTTTTTTGTAAAGGGTCAGATAGTAAATATTTCACACTTTCTAATCCATAAAGTCTCTATTGCAACTATTCAACTCTGTGCCATTGTAGCATGAAAATAGTCATAAACAATATGTGGCTGAATTCCCAAAAAAACTGTGACTTTGGAGGCAGAAACAGTCGGTGTGCCTATTTGGCCCAGGAGCTATATTTTGTCAACCCCTGTTTCAGAGAATATGCCCAGAAGGAAGAAAACCTAGAGGCCTTAATTCTTTTGCTACCCTATGTATGCAGCCTCTTCATATGCAACCCTTTGATTTCCTGGTACACTTCTTCCTGTTCTGCTGCTCTCTGCTTCTTTTCAAGATACATGGATTTGGAGCTATAAAGCACAGCTGAGTAACCTGCAGTCTGTGAGGAAGGGGGTGAGCTAGGGATGGAGCTTGGGGAAAGAGACTTCACACACCCTGGGACTAGGTGCTGTCCTGCTCTCCAACTGCCAGGCCTCCTCTCCTGGATCCACCACGTGTGTTACATGGCCATGTTGCTCCTTTCAAACTCTGGATGTAACACATTTTTTTAGGGAGGATATTCTTTCAGTCTTAGGATACTCAGATGAGATTTTATGCACATTTAGTTATGAATACCTGGCAACAATTAACTTTATTTCTTTGGTTTGTGAGCTTTAAAGGGTCTATTACTCCCCCTGGTATCAAAAGGGGTCAACTCTGACCTCAGATCTACATTTAATCATCTGTGTGGCCTTAGGCAAGTCACTTAACCTCTTTGAGTCTTCGTTTTCTCACTTATAAGCTGTGGTAGCATGTGCTTTATCCCCAGGATTGGTCAACAATGACGTGAAATGAGGCTGGGAGAGCTCATTTTATCCTTACAATAATCCCACGAGACAGGTAAGGGAAAACTAGGCTGTCTCCATAATCAAAACCAATTTCAGGTTAGCTTCAAAGAAAAAAGAGGAATACCTGCAGGACATTCTTTTTTATTTTTGTTATCTCGGCAGTCAGCTGTGTGGTAGTAGAATTTGCCCGTCCGTGAGTGACTTGAACTTGTTGCAACTTATTCAATGTTTTGTCAAGATTTGATAGAACATTTGCTGCTTTTCTAAGGTAAAATATTAATACATCAGATTAGATAAATATGCAATTATTCATTTATTTCACCTTGAGAACTCATTTGACTCAACCAAAAAATTCACTGAATTATTCATAAAGTAAGTTAAAACTCTTAAGTAAGGCAAAGTGCTGAAGTCTTCATTTTGAGAAATGGGCACATTAAATGCCAATAGAAACATACATCTATGCATGTGCAGAAAAAGTTTCACAAGATACGGACATCAAGGATACAGGTCTCATCTCTTCTTAATTTGTCATAAGCAGAGAGGTTTGGGGGATATAACTGCCAAGCTTCGAACACACAGCCATTACGGTCAATTCCAGTTCTGTAATTTCTCAAACTTAAGCAACAGTTTCTGAGTCTTTACTGGAGTGGAGGTGAGAGAGTCAAGAGGCTCCACGGAGAGCAAAGAGAGAACTAAAGGCCCTGCATTTCCAGGCTGTGTTTATACAGGTTTATTTAAGCTTCACTGACATTCCAGCTGCCCAGGGGCCCAGTCAGAGGTTAAAATCACAAGCATTCCAAGTGATAGGCGATTTTATAGAAATGAGCTCACCTCAAGTGAACATTCACCAGCTACTTAGATTTATGGGCTCACAACCACCTTTGGAAGAATGCACCAAGTAAGTGAAATATCAGACAGGCCTTTCAGAAGAATAATTAGAAATGCTTGTGCCCAGAGCAAAATAGCTAAATTGCACAACTTCCCTTCCTTATCAAACTCAACCTCTCTCTTCCCAGCGGTAATCTCTTATAAAAAATAAAAAGAAAGAGAAGATTTTACTTTTAAGACCAGTTTTAGGTTTGTAGCAAAATTGAGAGGAAGGTACAGAGATTTCCTGCTGACCCTATTGATATTCCTAGTTTTAAATATTAAAATATTAAAAAGGGGTTGGCCTTACAGCTGAGTCTGGTACACTTATAGAAGCCAATCAAGAGACAGTGAGGGCAGCTCAGGTCTCTAGCCTGCAGGGCATCCAGATGGTGGTAGATACTGGCAATATTGCCACCATCCACCGACCCTATGACTCTGACCCATAGCACCTCATGTGCATAAAACAGCAAGATAACTTTTCCTTTTTGCTCAACTAAGTCAACATCATATCCTTTTATTATAGTCCTTTTTTTTAATTTAAATATTCAAAGTACTGCTTATTATTATAAATTTAGAAGTTATAAAAATAGGTAGACAAGAAGGGAAAAATACTCTGATATTTCCACCATGTGTTAAGAGATTGGCATATAATTAGTACATGGCATTTATTGGCATATATTGTTATGAAGAGGTAGCAGATTGCCGGGAAGGCCTTTGCATCTAAGGAAAATGGGAAGCAAAGATCCTCACATACTGCCTCCTGATCTCTCAGCTTCCTTGGGCCCCTCTACAGACAGCTTAGACCTCAGTTTGGGCACCAAATTATTGGAAGGTAATTTCATTTGAATGCTATAGATTTGTAGGCAAATATTTTTTAGATGACCTTTTAGCACCTGGCCCATTTGAGTGAGATGAGAATATTAGTATGGTACTTACTCAGCTGCTTTTGCCTTCACCAAAATCTTCTGTGCTTCATTTTCTGCGTTATTTAGCTTGTCTTCATCTGTCCCATAGTTCTCACCAAGTTGCATAAATTTCTGTATTTTGTCAAGTTCGTGGGTTAGGTTTTGTGGTGTTATTGGCAGGTGGATGTCAAGTACATGATTTGCAACCTTTTCTATGTCCTCTGGAGGCACATTTTCCTCTTAAATAAAAAGGTGGGTATGAAGTCATTATATCTCATTATCAAATCCTGTATCTTTTAAGTATAGCAACAATGAACTCTAAGTCAACCACACTTGCATTTGATTGTGTGTCCCTAAAATAGATTATATATGATACATAGACTCTTCTTCATGCTTCATTTACCCTTTGCTCAGAAAGAAATACTGCTAATATAGGGCTAAATACATGCCGGACAAGTGATTGTTAGAAAAGTACAAAAACTACTGACTTTGAATATTGCTTATGTTCTCCAAAATATCCTAGCAAATACTGATTATTATAACCACTGAGTCAAAAGCAGTTAAAATGTTTAGAGGCCTGTCATTAAGATTTAAACACAACGAATGAGACCATGGAGAATCGTTGGGTTCGGACCCAACAAAACTTGATTCTAATCCTTCATGGCATTAAGAAGGCTCACAATTTTTGCTCATTTGCATAATTGGGTAATTATATCTGATGCCACTACTCGAAGGCCTATTTTGGAAAGGGAATGTGACAATACAGAGTAAAGTACATGTGAATGACATATAAAGAAACTGTTATAGGATTTCCGGCCAAGATGGAGGTGTAGGTAGACATGCTTTGCTCCCTTACACAAACAAAAAAAAAAGATAACATCCAACTTAAATACAAAATCCCACAAGAACTGCCAGAAAATTTAACTGTATAGAAATCTGACAACCAAGAAGTTAAAGAAGAAACATTCCTCTAGACTGGTGGAAGGAATGCAGATAGCAGCTGGAGAGGAGAGGACCAGTAACAAAGTGGCAGCTGGTGGACTGGGTGGTCTGACATTTGCATTCTGATAAACTGGGAGGAACAACTAGGGAGTGAGACAGACTGCGAAACCTGGAATTCCAACCCAGGGAACTAAAACCTCAAAACCTCTGGTTGTAAAAACCTTTGGAGGTTGTAGTGGTGGGAGAAACTGCCAGTCTCACAGGAGAGTCTGTTGGATGAGCCCACAGGGTCCTAAAATGTACACTGTGAACCCACTCAACAGGGAATAAGCACCAGAAGAGCCCAATTCACTTGTGGGTAGTGGGGGAAGTGACTGAAAGTGGGTGAGAGCCGAGCAAGTGGCATTGTTCCCCCTCAGGTCCCTCCCCCACATACAGCACCATAACAAAGCAAAGTGGGTTACCCCACCCTGGTGAATACTTAAGTCTCCTCCCCTTACAACATAACAGGAGTAGAGAGACAAAGAAATATGACCCAAATGAAAGAACAGACAAAGCTCCAGAAAAAGAACTTAATGACAAGGAGATAGCCAAGCTATCAGATGCAGAATTCAAAACACTGGTAATCAGGATGCTCACAGAAATGACTGAGTATGAACACAAAATAAAGGAAGAAGCGAAGGCTATATAAAGTGAAATACAGCAAAATACACAGGGAACCAACAGTAAAGGGAAGAAAACTGGGACTCAAAGCAACAATTTGAAACAAAAGAAAGAAATAAACATTCAACCAGAACAGAATGAAAAAATAAGCATTCAAGAAAATGAGGAGTGGCTTAGGAACCTCCCAGACAAATTTAAATGTCCCAACATCTGAATCATAGGGGTGCTAGAAGGAAAAGAGGAAGAGCAAGAAATTGAAAATTTATTTGAAAAAATAATGAAGGAAAATTTCATTAGCTTTAATGAAGGAATAGACATGCAAGTCCAGGAAGCTCAGAGAGTCCCAAAGTTGGACTCAAGGAAGCACACACCAAGGCACATCATAATTACATTACCCAAGATGAAAGAGAAGGAGAAGATCTTAAAAGCAGCAGAAGAAAAAGAGACAGTGAACTACCTACAAAGAAGTTCCCGTAAGACTATCAGCTGATTTCTCAAAAGAAATCTTGCAGACAAGAAGGATCTGGCAAGAAGAATTCAAAGTCATGAAAAGGAAAGACCTATATCCAAAATTACTCTGTCCACCAAAGCTATCATTTAGAATGGAAGGGCAGATAAAATGCTTCCCAGACAAGGTAAAGTTAAAGGAGTTCATCATCACCAAAGCCTTATTATATGAAATGTTAAAGGGACTTATCTAAGAAAAAGAAGATCAAAATTATGAATAGTAAAATGACAACAAACTCACAACTATCAACAACCAAACCTAAAGAAAAAAAAACTAAGCAAACAACTGGAACAAGAACAGATTCACAGAAATGAAGATCACATGGAGGGTTATCGGTGGGGTGGGGATAGACATAGAATGGGGAAAAGGTACAGGGCATAAGAAGCATAATTGGTACAAAATAGACAGGGGATGTTAAGAATAGTATAGGAAATGTAGAAGCCAAAGAACTTATATGTATGACCCATGGGCATGAACTAAGTGGAGGAGAATGCTGGAGGGAGGGGGAGTGCAGGACAGATTGGGATGAAGGGAAGAAAAAAATAAGACAACTGTAATAACCTAATCAATAAAATATACTTAAAAAAACTGTCATATACATCTATGCTCTACTTTTCAGAAGAATAAAACTGGCCCTCTTTGAGAACTAAAGTGGAAGGTAGATTGTTAGTGTTTGGGGTAACAACTCTTCATCACTGTCTGGCTCCTTATTGAGGCACAAGGGGGATAGTTGGAGATTATTAATTAGATAAAGATCTGATCCTCAAGGGCTTTACTGTCTGTGGGGAAGTATAAATCATTCTACATAAAAACTGACCATATAAGAGCAGAAGAGATGAATGCAAGACAAAATGATGTGGGATCCAGAGGGAGGAGGAAATACTTCAGGAAGAATTTTGAAAAGACATTTAAACTGGGCCTTGGAGGACAGCATGGATGAAGCTTGTGAAGAAGTGGGGAGAGGGAAGGGATGAAAGGCATTCTAAGATGAGGGAACCGCAGAAATGAAAGCTCACAAGAAACAGTTCACAACTCACTCTTGGTGGGAGAGCAGGGTGTCTAAAATTGGAGGGGTGGAGTTTTGGAAATGCTGGGAGCCGATCACAGACATCCCAGAAGTAACTTGGACTTTGATCAGGAGGCAGTGGGAGCCAGAGATGTTTTCATTTAAGCAGCATGATATGAGTATATATCACTTTTGTAATCATTTTTGCTTTAGCTATTTTGTTTTCTATAAAAAGAATATTTTACTTCCTATAATATGTTTGGAAAAATGTGAAAAGCATTTTTATGAATACATTAAAACCATATTTTAAATGCAATCAGGGAGTTGACTCTTTAAAAATAGTAATTCTCTTTGTAAAATATTCTAATAAAACATGATTTAATCTTGACCACATATTCAGTCATCACAGATTTATTGGCATTTATTATGAGATCATAAGTTCAAATTTTTTATATGAAACTTGCAGGAGAAATGACACATAACTTAGTTCATAAGGAATTCAGATCACAAGGAAAATATTAAAATGGTCAAAGGAGAGTTGAATAGTGGGGCCACCATACATTCTAATGATGGCTTTATTTGGGCTTTATAGCAAGGAAAAGTGAGAAATGGGTGGTGAAAGCCACTGCTTCCTGGTGACCCAGGGTCTTAGAATTTGACCAGAGAATTTTCCTTTATAGAATAGGATTTTTCTCTTGGCCTAGTCTAATTTTTGCTATAACAATCTGGACACATTTTTTTTTCAATTCTTTAGGTTAATTAAAGTGAAAATTTTATTCAGTAGCAACAAGAAATAGGACTACTATGGGAATAAACTCTATGACCCAGTGAACTAAGTGGAAAGCAACAATCTACTGAGACCTGTTGCACCATTTTCACACAAGTGGTCTGGCAGTTTCCATTTGTGCCACATCAGCTGGTATGTGCAGAAATAGCTAACATGTTCCTCCTCCAACTACTTCCTAACTCATTGAAAATTTGAACAAACAAAATGTCCAGTAGGCTGATCCCAACTCCATTCATTTTTACTGATTATTTTGGTCATTTTTATTGACCCTGTTTACTGCCTAACTTTTTTCTTACCATGAAAATCAGGCCTAGAAGCTGCTAATACAATTTCCAGAATCATTGAGATGGAAAAAATACTTGTTTGGCCACAGGGGTCTCTTATAAATATTAAACAGATTAATGAAGTGATTACGCAGAATGTAACAGACATCCCAACTGTCAGTTAATTCATGTGCAGACTGTTAAATTGTTGAATTTGGAAGGTGACTATGAAAAACAAAGCCTCTTGAAAATAATTCTCTATAATATTGTATCCAAACTGCATCATTTGATAATAAGACTCCATGTTAATTTCCAGCTGTAATATTTGATTTTTATCTTAACTAATAATTCTCTGGAGTTTAAAATAAGACTCTCCCAAAACTAGGCATAATAAGGAATAAGTTATGAGTAAAATAATGTATAATAATAGTGAATTAAATAGTTCCTTTTGGTCAGTCAGAGAGCACAATATGAGATTTGGGAAATAGTCAATAATATTTAATAACCAATATTTGAGATGCTACCTCACTATGATGTTTGATACATTAACCAAAATTTGGCATACCTTCATTTGTATATTCCATCAACAGAGAAAATTATGGAACCCTAACTAGAGGGAAACTGATATAGGCATCATGTTGAACTTTTCCTTTTTTAGAAAAATAATTTTAAACACCAAGCTCATCCTTTTGACTAAATTCTAATATTTATTACTAAATTAATCTCATTTTTGGGTACAGAGTTAATATTTTGGGATTATTTCATTAAGAAATTTTAAATCAAGGGGTATATTATGTTCCTAATTTAGACATGTCATTTCCAATCAATGTAATTTGGAATTGGTTGTGATGTTTGAGTATACATTTTTAAAAATGAAACAAAAACTAGTTTTAATATTAAAAAATTTACCTGACAAAACCTTTTTCAGTGCTTTGATTAAAAGTTTTATTTTTTCTTCTTCAGATTCACTTTGGTTTTTCATATTCCTCAGATTCTCACTTAACTGTAAGGTACTGTTTTTGGAAACTTCTGCCAGTTTACTTATATTTCTTATCTGGAATAAGAAAAAAAAACAACAATGAGGAAAACACAAAAACACACAATTAGGCATGTTCTGTGATGTTCAACTGCTTAGTTCAACCAAATAAAACTGTCACCAAAATTGAAATAGAAGTGTAGATAATTAACCAATTTTAAAACATTTTAAAGGTCTCTTTTAAAAGATATTTTTGTTATGATGTTTGCTAAACTAATGATGTAAATTTATCTTTTAAAACATTATTAGTATTAAAAATCATTATTTGAAAATAGCATTTGACTTTTCCTGACACAAATTATGTTTTAATGAGACTTTAGCATGCCAAAATATCAATAAATACATAGAAATTACTTAGGGCTACTTACTTAAAGTGGTCATTATGTTTAACAAGTTAAGAGCATTTTCTTTTACACAAGTTAAAACCGTTATTTTCTAAATCTTCCTCAAATTCAAATAATGCACTTCTGTCAAAAGCTTAAAGGAGAGCATTCCTTCTATTAAGAAGCAAGTTTGAACTCGGTGCAGGCTGCGGAGATAAACTTCAAACACTTTGTACACTTGGTGAAGGAATGATAGGACTGAAAGGCTTCCAACCTAGAAGTGTAGATTCTTAAATGTGTGATTTGAGAAAGATCACGGACGTTTTCTTGAGATTCCAAAAAAATTGAGGAAAAGAAAAAAAACAAAAGCAACAGGACAACAGGGCCACCCAGCTGAGCTGCGAGCTCATTGGATGGGTGTGACAGAAGCAGGGCTAATTAGGACCAAACACACCCAGGGGGACCTCCCTTTACTTCCCCACAAAGGAAGCCTGCTTAATTGAGCCATACATATTTTGTGGGAAAGGGTTTAATTATATCATTGGCAAGTAATAAAACAAAAAGTAAATATTTACATGATTAAAAATATGTATCTTAATTTTTGAGTTGTTCTTTGAACCTCTAGAAATTTTAAACTTTAATCTAGATAGTAGTTGCTGAAACAGATTTTAAAAGTTCTCACAAGGAAAAAATGTAACTGATGTTAACTAAACTTATTGTGCTAATCATTTAGCAATATATACATATATCAAGTCATTAGGTGGTACATCTGTCAATTATATCTCTATATAAAAAATGGATAGCAGTAAGTAAGAATACATAACAGCAAAATGAGAATTACAGGAATAAATATTCTGGACAGGAAAGTGCCAAATTATACAGATGAAACCTCAGCAGACATTAGTTGATGCCATATTCAGAAAGGAAGAGATTGCTAAATTACTTCACTCCTAAAACATCTTTCTGCAATCCATCCTCTGTCACAATTCACTCCTGAGAATTCTCTCACAATCTCCCTGGCACTCTTTCCCTTTCTAATCAAGAGGAAAATACCACACCATTTTATCCAACTGACAACCCTGCCCCCACCCTTTTCCAGTTCTCCATTCATGGGCTGATTAAACCGGATTGTGCTAACATGCACTACAGGGGCTATCTTTTAAAAGTATAGTTTAATGGGGTTTGTTTAAGTGTGAAATCTCTGTTTTATGAAAAGGTTCAATATAGTAGTTTAAAATTACATTCAACAATTAAGGATTGTTTTAACCACTGGGATGCAAGACTGGAATTTGCGTTTATGTTCACTGCTGTGTTTCCAACATCTAGATAAATGTCTAGCACATAGTAGTGACTCATAAGTATTTATTCAATAACAAAGAATAACATAAGTGAAAAACTATGTAGCAATACAAAATCATGACTATGCAAATAAAAATTTTCAACATTTGGTATATGTGTAAGGATATTCTCCAACTTGGCTGGTCAGAGGCCTGCTCCAGACTTGGATTCTGGGGCATGTGGAGCAAAGACGCAGGACCATCTGGGGCTGAGGCCCATGGGGGTGAGGCTCTCAGAGCAAACTGTTGTTCTGTAGTATTTGTGTGTGCATGCGCATTCTTGTGTGTGGGTGTACACGCATATATAATAGGTGGTTCTCACCCCTTTCCTAAACTTAATCTCCTGTCCTTCTCTCCACTCTCCTCATCTCTCTGAGATGTTTCATGTACATTTCCTTTTTGTTCAGGAACTGGTTTCTGTTGCATGCAAACAAGAATGATGACTGATACAATATTTAACTTAACATTGGTTAAAAAAAAGAAAGCACTTTAAGAAGTTGGGTTTTTTTTTTATCAAAGGCTCTATGTATATTGTCAAAAAAGGGGCAAGCCAGCCCTGACCACTGTGGCTCAGTTGGTTGGGCATCCCCTTGCAAAGTGAAAGGTCACCATTTTGATTCCCAGTCAGGGCCTGTCTGAGTTATGGGTTCAGTCCCAGATTGGGGTGCATACCAGAGGCAACTGATCAATGGTGCTCTCTCACATCCATGTTTCTCTCTTTTTCTCCCTCCCTTCCCCTTTCTCTAGAAATAAATAAGGAAATTCATTTTTTTAAAAGAGAGTGACCTGGTGAGCACTTCATCTGGTTCTCAAGATGAACACAATGTTATTCACAAGATACATAAAACTGTGTTCATCCTTTAAAGATAATTATAATGTATTAACAAAAAAAATTTTTAAAAACTAGGTCATCAAAAAGTATACTTATCAACTGACCAAAAAAGTAAATGAAATCTTTTCAAATTATTAAAGATTCAATTATAGGTACTTAAATATTACAACTTTAAATATATATATTTTATTGATTATGCTATTACAGTTGTCCCATTTTTTTCTCCCCTTTACTCCCCCCCACCCTGTACTCTCAGCACTCCAGCATTCCCCCCACTTAGTTCATGTCCATGGGTCGTACATTGTAAGTTTTTTGGCTCCTCCATTTCCTATACTATTCTTAACCTACCACTGTCTATTTTGTACCTACCATTTATGCTCCTTATTCCCTGTACCTTTTCCCCCATTCTCCCTGCTCCCCAGCTCCACTGATAACCCTCCATGTGATCTCCATTTACGTGTTTCTGTTCCTGTTCTAGTTGTTTGCCTAGTTTGTTTTTGTCTTTAGGTTCAGTTGTTGATAGTTATTGAGTTTGCTGTCATTTTACTGTTCATAGTTTTGATCTTCTCTTAGATAAGTCCCTTTAACATTTCATATAATAAGGGCTTGGTGAAGATGAACTCCTTTAACTTGACCTTATCTGAGAAGCACTTTATCTGCTCTTCCATTCTAAATGATAGCTTTGCTGGATAGAGCAATCTAGAATGTAGGTCCTTCCTTATCATGACTTTGAATACTTCTTGCAAGACCCTTCTCACCTGCAAGGTTTCTTTTGAGAAATCAGCTGATAGTCTTATGGGAACTCCTTTGTAGGTAACTCTCTCATTTTGTCTTGCTGCTCTTGAGATTCTCTCCTTATCTTGAATCTTGGGTAATGTAATTATGATGTGCCTTAGTTTGTGCTTCCTTGGGTCCAACTTCTTTGGGGCTCTCTGAGCTTCCTGGACTTCCTGGAAATCTATTTCCTTTGCCACATTGGGGAGGTTCTCCTTCATATGTTTTTTGAATAAGTTTTCAATATCTTACTCTTCCTCCTTTCCTTCTGGCACCTCTATGATTTAGATGTTGGAACATTTAAAGTTGTCCCAGAGGTTTCTAAGCCTCTCCTCATTTTCTTGAATTCTTATTTCTTTGTTCTATTCTAGTTGAATGTTTATTCCTTCCTTCTGCTCCAAACCATTGCTTTGAGTCCCAGTTTTCTTCCCTTCATTGTTGGTTCCCTGTATGTTTTTCTTTATTTTACTTTTCATAGACTTTTCATTTTCCTCTCTTTTGTGACCATACTCAACCATTTCTGTGAGCATGCTGATTACCAGTGTTTTGAACTCTGCATCTGATAGGTTGGCTGTTTCTTCATCACTTAGTTCTATTTTTGGAGCTTTGATCTTTCGTGTGGGTAATTTTTTTTGTCTCAGTGTGCCTGTTACATACTAAGGGGTGCAGCTTTAGGTATTCACCATGGTAGGGCAACCCACTTTGCTATATTGTGGCACTGTATGTGGAGACAGGTCAGAGAGGGAACAATGCCACTTGTTCAGCTCTCAGCAGGTTTTCAGTCACTTCCCCCACTACCGACAAGCAAATTGGGTCATTCTAGTGCTGATTCCGGGTGGGTGGGCTCGTGCACATTCCAGGACACCATGGGTCTCTCTAACAAAGTCTCCTTTGAGTTTGTGAGTTTCTCCTGCCACTGCAACCCCCATATTTTTACAGCCAGAGATTCTGGGGCTTTCTTTTCCCATACTGGAACCCTGGGTCACATAGTCAGTTATTCCTCTGGGCTTACCTGCACATAAATGTGAGACCACTTGGTCCGCCAGCTGCTGCTTCACCCACCTGGTCCTCTAGCCACTGCCTTGCCATGCATACTCTCTGCCTTGGCTGTTCATCTCTGCCCCTCCTACCAGTCTGAATGAATGTTTCTTCTGTTATTTCTTGGTTGTGGGACTTCCATATAGTTTGATTTTCTGGCAATTCTGGTTATTTTTTGTTTTTAAATTTGTTGTTGAGCTTCTTTTGGTTGTGGGAGGAGGCAAAATGTATCTTTCTATGCCTTCATCACAGCCAGAACTCTAAAATAACTTTATGGAGATAGTTGATCCAGCCAACATGGAGGTCAGGGTAAACACAGCTTGCCTACTTGCACAACCACAGCAAAAATATAATTACATTATAAAACAAATACCATCCAGAATCATAAAATCCACCTGTATGGAAGTCCAACCACAAGGAATTAAAGAAGTCACATTTAGCCCTGCCTGGTGCAGCTCTGTGGATTGAGCACTGATCTGCAAGTCAAAGGGTAGCTGGTTTGATTCCCAATCATGGCATATGCCTGGGTTGCAGGTAGGTTCCCAGTAGGGGGCACGTGAGAGGCAACTACACATTGATGTTTTTCTCCCTTTCTCTCTCCCCTACTACTCTGTCTAGAAATGAACAAATAAAATCTTTTTAAAAAAATTCACATTTATCTAGATGGGTAGGAGGGGCAGAGATGTGGAGAGGCGCAGAGAGGCATGGAATGGGTGGTTGCACACCTATCTGTGGTAGATAAAAATCAGGAGGGATACCTTTGCAGTGAGGGATCCCAGCACCACACTGGAACACTGAGCCCAGGGTTCCAAGGCCAGGAAGATAAGTTCCCATAACTGCTGGCTAAAAAAACCACTGGGGGTTGGGGTGGCAAAAGAAGCTGCAAGAGTCTCTGGAGTCTCCTCTTAAAGGGTCTGCAACAAACTTAGGACTTATGCAGACTCAGTCCTCTGGGCTTCAGCACTGGGGCAGCAGCTGGAAGGGCACCAGTGGCACATGGGGAGAAATGGAAGTGTCTGGCATCAGGGTGAGTGCCAAGGGATGGCTTTCTCCAGGACAAAACTCCAGAGGCCAGGGAGTACAATTGTTCCCTTTCTGAACCCTCCCCCTCAAAAGCCACAGAGTAGCAACACCATATCTGAGACTCCATCAACCTGATTCACATGGGTTGCCCAGACCTGGGGATTACGTAAGGCTCTGCCCTATCCATTTTACTGGTGCACTTTTCTACAAGAGGCCATGCTACTTAGACAGGGAGTCCAAAGCAGCTCTACCTAGTACATAGAAACAAACACAGGGAGGCTGCCAAAATGAGGAGACAAGGAAATATGGTCCAAATGAAAGAAAAGATCAAAACTCCAGAAAAAGAACTAAACAAAAGGGAGATAAGCAATCTATCACATACAGAGTTCAAAATACTTCTCCCGAAACACTTCTCCCATCATTAGGATGCTCAAGGAACTCATTGGGTACTTTAACAGCATAAAAAAGACCCAGACAGAAATGAAGTTTATACTAAATGAAATAAAGATAAATTTACAGGGAATCAAAAGTAGAGTGGATGAAACCAAGAATCAAATCAATGATTTGGAACACAAGGAAGAAAGAAGTATTCAATCAGAACAACAAGAAAAAAAAAAGAATCTGAAAAAAAGAGAGGATAAGGTTAGTAGCCTCTTGGACAACTTCAAATGTACCAACATTCACATCATAGGGGTGCTGGAAGGAGAAGAGAAAGCAAGAACCTGGAAATCTATTTGAAAAAGTAATGAAAGAAAACTTCCTTAATTTGGTGAAGAAAATAGACATGCAAGCCCAGGAAGCAGAGTCCCAAACAAGATGGATGCAAACAGGACCACACCAAGATATATCAAATTAAAATGCCAAAGGTTAAAGAGAAAGAGAGACTCTTCCAAGCAGCAAGAGAAAAGCAGATAGTTTCCTACAAAGCAGTTTCCATAAGCCTATCAGCCGATTTCTCAAAAGAAACTTTGCAGGCTAGAAGGGACTGGAAAAAAGTATTCAAAGGGATGAAAAGCAGGAACCTGCAACCTAGATTCTATCCAGCAAAGCTATCATTTAGAATGGAAGGACAGATAAAGTGCTTCCCAGACAAGATAAAACTGAAGGAATTCACCATCACCAAGCTATTATTATATGAATTGCTAAAGGGAATCATATAAGAAAAAGAAGAAGATCAAAACAATGAACAGTGAAATGTCTATAAATTCACAACTATCAATAATCGAATCCAAATAACTAAGCAAGAAACAGAACAGAAACAGAATCATAGATATGGAGATGATTTGGAAAGTTGTCAGTTGGGGGGAGGAAAAGGGTAAATGGGAAAAGGTACATGGATTAAGAAGTATGACTAGGTAGGTACAGAAAAGACAAGGGGTGTTAAGAATAGTATAGGAAATGGAGCAGCCAAAGAACTTATATGCATGACCCATGGACATGAACTAAGGGGGGGATTGCCAGAGGGAATGGGGGGCCCCAGGTAGAGGGGGACAAAGGGAGAAAATTTTGGACAACTGTAGTAGCATAATCAATAAAATGTATTAAAAAACACTTTATCATGTTTATCAACCTAGGAAGGAATTCAAGGCAAAAGGGTATATTCCTATTAAAATATTTTCTAACATTAAATTAAATTTTAATGTTAAACTGTGCATATTGGTAGAATTTTAAGTATACACTTGAATTGATAAAAAAGTATTCTTTACTTTGGGAGTCTATAGTTTTCAAAACTTTAGGAGTCTTCTCATTTCAATGTAGTGTTTACTATAAAAGAAATATGTCTACTGAAGTCTATGTTCTATAAACATATAGTAAAGGAAATGTTACAGAAATAGAAAATATGTCAATATTCACATCTACTTCTAAATCTACATTTATCTCTATATCTATATCCTATATTTCCAGGCCTAATAAGAATGCCTAATATTTAGAATCATCCTTTCACTTAGATTCTAAATGGCAGTTTTAAAAATTTCAAATAGTTTGCTTTATTGCTTTTTGGATAAATAAGAGAAGACATTATTTACCTGATTCTTCAGCTCTTGAGCCTGACTGCTCAAATTATGAATCATGGACTCTGTTTGCTGAGCTTTCTGAAGGGCATTCCTTGAGAGGGTCAGGGAGTCCCGACAGCTTGGGCCACCACATGACGAGAGCCCACATGGCATGTCCCCTCGTTCTCCACATACCTAACAGGAGAGATGACTTATATTAAAAAAGAATTTGCTGGCAGAGTTCTTTTAAATATTATCCAGACTCACTGAGGCAAGGCACTGTCTATTCATGTTTTTCTTCAATAGTTGGTCGTATTTACTGTACAGATGTAACCCATGAAATGTTTCTTAAATAACTAAATTAGCATCTAAATTATTTATTATCAGCCTTGTGCCAACCAATGTCATTTTTATACTTATACTTTTTGTGGAAAATTGTCAAATGTCTAGCATTTCCATGTTAATTTTATTTTTTTTTAAATAAAAGTTACCTTTTACTTATAAAGAAGCAGAAATAGCAAACTGTACTCTTTGGGAAACAGTAAATAATATAAAACAATAAAGTCAAGCTACAAGTTATACTCTTTGATATTTCTTAAATTTTGAATTAAGAAATAAAAACATAAATATATTTATATTATTTACACATTATATAATAGAACACATATATTTATACATTTATAAAAAATAAAAAAGAACTATAAGGTATGACAGGAAAATATGATGGAAGAGATCTGTGTGCCAAGTAGAGATGACAAATGCTTTTATTACACTATATGAATATTTACCTTTTCCTTCAATATTTGGATATCTGGTGTCTTAATCTGTTTTAATTTTTCCAATGACGAGTTTTCTTTTGAGGTTAGTGTATCTATGATGTTAAGTAAATCAATCCGGTTTTTTTCAGAATTATTAATGATGGAAGTAATTTCACTAATTTTTTTTTCAGCAGATGATGATCTGTGATAATACTTCTTGATGTTCTCTGAGAAATCTATATTACAAATTGAGGTAAGATAAATGTTGTGAAAACAAGTGAAATTATACATTGGCTATCAAGACAATCATTTCACAATTTGACTACTATCTTTATTTAAATGACAATATAAAAATTCAACATTCTTCCTTGGATTTGCACTTCATGAGGGAAGAGTTGATGTAGTATAAAAAACATGGATATCATAGACATAGAACATTCAGACCTACGTCTGCAGGAATGCATTTGAACGTTGGCTCACCTTTTACTGTCTGGATATGTCTTTGAGCAAAGTGGTTAACCTCTTAGTGTGTCCTCATTTGTACATTGTGGTGATAATTGGTGAGTATTAAGTGAGATATGAAAATACTTTGTAATGCATTCCACAAGTATATGAATTATGTATTAATTATGAACCTGAATATGATAAACCAACTAAATTTACCTAATCATACCGGGCATGAGTAGACAAACTTGTCCTGCAGAGTAGCAGGGAATACATGTTTTAGGTTTGCCAGCCATAGTGTTTCTGTCAGAAGGACTCAATTCTGGCAATGCTGTGGGAAAGCAGCAGCAGACAACACGTAAACAAATCAGTGAGGTCTTCTAATGAAACTTTATTTACAAAGATAGGTTATAGGTAGGATTTGCTGGCAAACTATCAGCTGTCTGCTGACCTCTGATGACGGCAGCCCACATTTGTTGGGTACTTTCTATATGCCTGTACTTCCCATCCATTTCCTTCCTTAACCTTCACAGAACACTGTGAGGTATGCATTAGTGTGATCACCCTCATTCAACAAGTGAGTACATGAGGCTCTGAGGAGGTAAGATCTTTGCCTGAGGTCTCACTGCTAGGAAGAGAGGAAGCCAGGATTTGAAGCCAGGGTAGTGTGGGTATAGAATCTGTGTCACTTTTTTATATTTTCCATATTTTTATTAAAATGCAAATTCATGAAAGTAATATGGTATATTTTAATATAAATTATAATATTTAGGGATTTAAACTATAACTTCATATCTTAGGAAGAGAGGCTCGAGGTCCTACTCTCTACTCCCTACATAAACATCACCCAGGCACCAAGCACACCTTATCTTTTAAACTCCCTGGTTCTTACCCTGCTATACCCTTAACACATATGATTTTCATTTATCCTGAAACAAAACAAAACAAACGGTGTTCCTATTGCTTGGAATGATTTTCTTTCTTTGTCTGGCAAATTTATCTTCTTTCTGTGAAGCCCAATTCCTTTGTCACCTACTCCCTGAAGTCTTTCCGAATAAACTCAGGAATTCTGTTTTGCTACTCTGTTCCTGAAGTAACTGAAGAAGCTCTAATTTAGACTTTTTGTTTGCAATTGTTTATATGCCTGTCTTCCCCCTAGACTGGAATAACTTAAGGGCAAGGATATGCAATGTTCATCTCCCCAGCAGAGTGTTAGACATTGAGAAAGAACTCAGTAACTGCTTTTGAAGTGCAAATTCGAGAGGCATAGCAAGAGGGTGTTTTTCCATTCCCCTCCCTGGCTTGGGCTACCACTGGGAGAGTTCCAGTTCTCTCAGTGGAATCAGCAAATTCTTCTCTCTTGGCATGGTATTTACTGAGTATCATCAGTAATTATTTCAGTAAATGTAGGTCTGTCTTTAGGGTCATAATTGTCACCTATTTAGTCTCTTTTAGATCAAGTTCTGATGAAAAACAGGAGCACACAGGACAAAGAAAAGCAGACAGTATTTTGGCCTTGAGGTGGGTTTCCTGTATATTTTCACTTTACCTTTCAATTAGATGGGTTAGGTATGAGTAAGTTCAGTGCTGCCCTCCCCGTAGTATCAAGTTGTCCATTTCCAAATATAACAGAGATCTCATCTGAGATCAGGAGAAGAGCTATTCAAAGTTTTGCTTCAGTGTTCCATTTCTCCTCCAAGTTTATCTTGGCTTTGCCCTGGCTCCCATTCATTTTCGAGAACTATGTAATGTGAATTGTGGGCTTCCAGTATGTTACATGACTTGACCCCTACAAAGTTCTTATGAGGAAGTTCTTTTTGCTAATATCCCATTGTATTTATGGTCGCTGGAAATTGAGTGGCTCATACTCAGGACAGCATAGAAACATATCTCTCTTATTCCCTTACACTTGTTAGAATTTCTAATTTGCTGATTTCAAAGGACCCCTTGCATGGTTTGGCTCTAGAAGATTTCTTTGGTATTTGGTTAGTATCAGACATTGTTAGCTTTATACATGATTTTGAGCAAATGCTATCTGGGATCTGCAATATTTAAAAAGTCAAAATATTCATGTACAAATAATACATTCAATGAGTGTGCTTTCATGTTCTAAAGTGCTTGAACACTTGGCAATAAGCACAGGGTAACTTGCTAATGGAATGCACTATGGCTTTTGTAAACATTTGTCCAGAAACAGACAGTTGAAGTACATTTTCTCTCTTACCCATGATGCTTGCATTATGGGCACTGGTGTGCAAATCAATTTCTTCCTGAAGATTTTCAAGTAAGAGGTCTGATTCATTCATCATTTTTATTATTGTTTCTTTCAGATCTTGAAATTCATACACTGTTTTCAGTTGCTCACTTAGCTGCATAATTTGTTTCCTACAGGGGAAAATGAAAATAAACATAGTGAAGCTTATATTACATTTGATAGATTGGTAGAAAAACACATGTAAAAAATTGTCCTTATTATTATGGCAATTACCTCATAATTAGAATAGATTGCCCCCCACCCCATTTTTGATTTGGCAGTTTATAATTCTGTTTATGGCTTATATCTTTCTTGTTAATTCAACTTCCTGGAATATTTCATTACCCACTTAAGATATGATCAGCATACAAGGTTTAGTAGAATAAAGGTTTTTGAATCTTTCAATATCAGCTGTTTACATTCTGTCTCCCTTTGCTTTGTGTTTCAAATACATATATGCAGACATGGCATGTTTAAATCAGCCTGAAAGAGCCAATCTATATTCAGCTCTCAACATAGAACCTCTGCACAGACTAGGATAAAGATTAGTTCTTCATTTAGAATAAAATCTGCTTCCAGCAATGTTCCTTTTACTGCTATTTCTGTATGTGCTCTTAACTTTTAACTCCCACAAGTGACAAGGAGGTTCCTTGTTTGTAAGTGTACCCTGTGTGTGTTTATTTGCCATTACCTTCTTCTCTGATGCTACAAACCAAGATGAACCCAAAGAGGCCCACAACAAGACACATCATAATCAAAATGCCAAAGGTTAAAGACAAAGAGAGACTCTTAAAAGCAGCAAGAGAAAAGCAGTTAGTTATCTACAAGGGAGCTCCCATAAGGCTGTTAGCTGGTTTCTCAAAAGAAATTTTGTAGGCCAGAAGGGATTGGCATGAAATATTCAAAGTGATGAAAATCAAAGGCTTCCAACCAAGATTACTTTACCAGTAAAGCTATCATTTAGAACCAAAGGACAGATAAGGAGCATCCCAGACAAGAAAAAACTAAAGGAGTTCATCTCTACCAATCCAGTATTGCAAGAAATGATAGTCTTCTTTAAGAAAAAGATAAAAATATGAAAAATAAAATGACAATAACTATATATCTATCAACAGTTACTTTAAATGCAGATAGATTAGATATTCCAATCAAAAGACATACAGTCGCTGAATAGATAACAAAAATAAGACCCTTACATGTTGCCTACAAAAGACTCACTTCAGATTGAAAGACCACACAGACCAAAAGTAAAGGGACAGAAAAAGATATTTCGTGAAAATTAAAATGAAAAAAAAAACTGGGGTAGAAATACTTACACCAGACAAAATAGACTTTAAAATAAAGGCCATAACAAGAGACAGTGGGGAATCCAGCAAGTCCACTTCTGGGCATTTATCTGAAGAAATCCAAAACACTAAATCAAAAAGACATGTGCAGCCATACGTTCACTGCAACATTATTTACAGTAGCCAAGAAATGAAAGCAACCTAAGTGTCCATCAATAGATGAATAGATAAAGAAGTGGTGCATATATACAATAAAATATGACTCAGTCATAAAAAAAGAATGAAATCTTGCCATCTGCAACAATATGGATGAACCTAGCGAGTATTATGCTGAGTGAAATAAGTCAGACAAAGACAAAAACCATATGATTTCACTTATATGTGGCATCTACAATAAAAAAACAAAATAAACAAACAAGCAGATCAGAAACAGACTTATACAGAGAACATTTTGATGATTGACAGATAGAGCAGGGTGGGGGATGGATGAAAAAGGTGAAGGGATTAAGACGAACAAATTGGTAGTTACAGAATAGTCACAGGGATGTAAAGTGCAGCACAGATAAGATAGTCAATAATATTCTAATAACTATATAAGATGGGGACTAGATTTATCAGGGTGACTGATCACTTAGTAAGTTATATAAATGTCTAATCACTGGGGTGTACATCTGAAACTAATATAAAAATGTATACAACATCATTGGAAAATAAAATTATTTTTTAAAAAAGACAAACATAACTACCAGCCTGACTATTTATCAATTAACTGGACAGTTATCATTTCCCTAATGTCAACATACATTTAAGTACATTTCTAAACTGAAGGCTGTTAAAGCTCAGTAGAAGTTAAGATACATCAGGAACTTCACTATCTATTGCTCAAGCATAAATCTTACCGAACAGCGTCATGGCAATTCTTGACTTTTAAGAATTCCCCTGATGAGAAAACAAGATGTTTCAAAATGTTTTCTATTTCAGACATGTTCTCTCTGAGGCCTTTGAAGTCAGCCTCACAGACAGACAGGTTTTTGCTTTTATCTTCCATGTTAGTGGCCAGCCTAATTAACCCATGCACTGCATTGGAGAGGAAAGAAATGGTGTGGTCCCACTGATCAAAGCACGAGTGACACCGAAGACAAGCAGGGAATTCCTGGCCATGACCCCGTGCACAGTGATCACATCGCTGGCCACTGACACCTTCCCGGCAGTGACATATGCCAGTGTTCTGGTCACAGATGGGCTTCTGGGTACCTTCCCTGTTGCAGTCACATGCTAAAAAAAAGAGAAAGGAGCAGAGATGTCATTCACCTGGTCTTTTACTTATGACTAGCTCAAGAAGAAAGACTTCCCCCCTTTCCTGAGAACCTCCCCAGTCCCCATTTGTAAGGTGAACATTTAAAACCAGTACAAATTCAGAGACCTATGCAATGGCCATTAAAATACAGCATTTCTTGGAGGTGGAGGAGGGTATAGGGGGAATAAATGGTAATGGGAAAAATACAATAAAAAATGAAAATGAAAAACTTCACACCTTTGGGGGAAAAACCCATTATGGACATCTGTTCTCTTCAATACATAGATTTGCACCCTAAGAGTGATCCAGTACTCCATTGTATTTATGTCACATCATTCCTTTAACCAACTCCCTCGTTAACAGTGACCTCAGAGTATCAAGCATTTACTGATACTTTAAAGGTGGGAAATCACTCAACTGCAAATTGGCTCTGCACTGAGATAAGGCTTAGTGAAGGAGGAAATAAGTATAGAAAAGAACAAATGAAGATTTAAAAAAAATACAGCATTGTTCTTTTCATTCCACTAACAAATCAGTCCATGGTTTCTACATGGAAAAAATTAGATGCCTTTTAAAAATGTGAGGGTGAGTGTTTGTGTGTGGGTTCTTTACCTATTTCAATGAGGGACATGGATCTAACTGTTGACAATACACTAGTGACCGCAGCTCGTGTCCCCAGGGGTGACTTGGTCATGTCAAAGATTCTAAGAATTCCCATGACCACACCGTTTCGCAGTAAAACCCAGTCTGGGCATGCTGACTCATGCTGTCTTCCATTATAGAAGGAGAACTATCCCATTCTCAAAAAAAAGCAGGGGGAAGGGTGAGGTCATTCCTTGGTATTTACCCAAAGGAGATGAAAACTTATAACCACGCAAAAATCTGCATACAAATGCTTATAGCAACTTTTCATAATTGCCAAAACTTGAAAGTAACCAACATGTTGTTCAGTAGGTGAATGGATAAATAAACTGTGGTACAATTCTACAATAAAAAAATTATTCAGTTAAAAACAAATGAGCTTCAAGCCATGAAATGCTTGGAAATTTAAATGCTTATTAACTAAGTGAACTAAGCCAATTTGAAAAGACTACATACTGTCTGATTCCAACTATAGGACATTCTAGCAAAGACAAAACTATTAAAAGAATACAAAGATTTGTGTTTGCCAGGGGTGAGGTGAGGGTGGAGGTGGTGTACTAGATAGAATAGGCAGAGCACAGAAGATTTTTAGGGCAGTCTAAATATTCTGTATGCTATTATAATGAATGGATAAATGTCATTATACGTTTATCCAAACCTATAGAACGTTCAATTCCAAGAGTGGACTATAAGGTAAATTATGGACTTTGATGATTATAATGCTTCAATGTGGAATCATCAGTTGTAACAAATGTATCACTTTTGGGGATGCTGATCATGGGGAAGGTTATGCATCTATGGGGGCAGGAGAAATATGGAAATTTCTATACCTTCCTCTCAATTTTGCTGTAACCCTAAAATTGCTGTAAAAAAAATAAAGTGTTTTTAAAAAGGGAGAAAATTAAATTTATTTTGCCTTAATAATAAAAAAAATCTATAGTACATGCACGTTAATTAAGTAGGTTTTTGATGAAGCCTCAGGATGGGGGATAGAAGAGCTACTGAAGTTACTTCAATTTCCAAAAGGCCAGGGGATCACTAGCCTGTGTAACTGGACTAATTGCAAGGAACAAGAGATTTAAATGTACATTTGACAGCTTGAATAAAAATACATGCTAATTACAAATGAAAACTGATTACCATATTAGGCCACTCAACTGGGCTTCTGCCTGGCAGGTTTGCTTTGGTCCAGAGGCCACAGCAGGAACTGCTTAGGAGCAGCACTCTGTCACCTCAACAGCTGGAGGCCAAGGGCCCCTGTTAACCACTCTCCTCCAGGACTTTAAGTGGGGTCTGTGGCCTGAGCTGACCATTTACAAAGTTTTCTCCATAAAAGATGAAAGCATTTTTATAAAATGAGATTATTGAAATATTAGAAGGACACAAGGAAAGAGCCCCTCTAAGACAGATTTTCCAAGAGCCAAAATACCTCCCTGGTTTTTAAAGTAGCCATTCCACTTAGGAAACTGAGTGAGACTGGGGAAAACCATTCAAAATAAATATCTGAATGGGACAAGGAAATGAAAGCATTTTTTTAGCTACTAAAGCACATTTATTTAAAAATTGGAAAGGAACAAAGAGTTGCAATGTGTGTAGATGACAAGCCTATCATGTCTGTTATTTCTTCGGGTTGACTTCTTTTGGAAGCTGACTTTAAATAGAGATTCAAAAACCCATTTTCCTAGAACCTAACCCAGATTTTAAATTCGTACTGTCCAATTTGGTAGCTACTAACCACATGTGGCCATTTAGATTTAAATAAATTAAATGAAATAACCATTTTTTTTTTCATTTGAACCAGCCACACTGCAAATGCTCAAGAGCTACACGTGGCTCCTGCATTGGGAAGGGCAGATGTACATTTTCATCTCTGCAGAAAGTGCTGTTAGACCGCGTCGGTCCTAAATCCTACAAGTGCTAAGACATGGCATGACAGGCACCAGAACTCAGACTCCTTGAGGATAGGGACCTTGTCATATTTGTTCACTACCTAGAGTGCTCAGTAGACACTGTATTAATGTTTTAAAATAAATGAATGAGTGAATATGTAAAGGTCCCAGATTTATGAGAGAGCCATGTTGAGGAAGCCTCCACTGGCTTCCTGCCGTATATCTCCCAGGCTGTACCTCAATCCAGAGTAGCTCTTTTTGTCAACATGCTTCCAAATAGCAGAAAATTGGCTGTAAGTCATAACCTCAGAGGTCAGTTCCATTTTAATGACTTAGAGGAATGTTAAAATGGGACACAAGTTTGAACATAGGCTAACATTTAATATAGTGTAAAGTTTTAATGCAGGGTAAAAAATCTTTTTTATGGGGCCACAAAAATATTATTTTCAAAACTGGAATTAAAATTGGTGAATTTTCTACCAAATAAAGGAGTTTGAAATTCAGTTGGTTCATAGCATGCTTGTGGTAGGACCAGGCTGACTGTACTCATGTTTTTAGAATTACCAATACTTACGAATGCATTGCCCCAGTGGGTCACGATAGTAATCTTCCTGGCACTCACTGCAGCGTCTCCCACCATAGCCTAATTTACACAGACACTGGCCTGTAACCTGTGAGAATATTCATGGGTGAGGAATTAACAAGCTTTCTGATAAAAAAAAATAATGCATTTTAGTACAGAACAGTTTTCCCTCCAGTGATTTAGAACATACAGCTGTGCAGTCAGAGAAGGGATGATTCCCACGGTCAGCAATGACCTCCAACAATGCCAAGGATCAGGAGTTCCTGTGTTTTGGCTTGGGGCTCTTGAATATACCGCCTGCTTCCAGCTGTTCAAGGACAGGTGGCCCCAAACTGGGAAATATACACAGATGTAAATGAAAACAAAACATATAATGGGAAACAGGCCACATTCTTTTCCTCTACAGTTACTGGAGTTCTCCCAAAACACAGAGTGGCTAAAGACCTGGCTGAACATTCATCAATTAATTCAGCAAATAGTGTTTCCATGATGGAATGTCCAATGGAGTTTCTCCCAACTGGACCAGTGTTTTGCTGAACAAGACATTATGTTTTGCACTTGATGTTGGATCATTTAATGACAGCTATTTTAACTGTGTTTTGGAGAGAGTGTCAAACTTTTCTGTACCCTCCCAACTGGATTCTTGACCAGCTATTTTGAAAACTGAGGGAGTTGCAAAATTAATAAGAGAAAAATATAGAAGCAAATCACTATTGTAGTGATCCTAGCTTATACTTGACCAAATCTACCTAAACAACAGCAACCCCACCGATATTCTTTCAGTGAACATGTAGCTGGATTCAAAAAGCGACTGGGTCTACTACGTTTCTACCCATCTTTGGAATAATTGCTAGCATCTGCTCAAATAGAGTTATGGGAAGGTTGGTGCCCCTGAGGACTATCATACTGCTGGTTGTCCTTGACTGCTGGTCAATGCTTTATTACACTAATGCAGAATTTGCATCTTGTAACTTGTTCCCATTGTTCTGAGGCCCATCTTATGGGCTGCACAAAACAGGCAGCCTCACTCTTCCCTCTTACAGTCCTTACCCCAACTCCACTCTCATTCTCCACAGTCATTCTCATCTTGTGTTTGCTGCTCTTCTTCAGGCTGACCACCCATAACTTTCAGATCTTCACCACAGAATAGCATGGTTCTATCCACTGTCCTAGTTGTCTTCTTTTAGACACATATTAGTTTGTCAATACAATGTTTAAAAAGTACTCAGAAATGACGACAGTGTTCAAAGAGCCACCTGGCTAGTACAGAGGACAATGGGACAATGCCTGCCCTGAACATGGGTATGGCCTTCCACTAATCCAGCCTGAATGGGCCTTGCCTCCTTGACAGCCCATCCCACAGCTGGCTCACTTGAAGCACACCATGAAAATCCTGAGATATTGTTCACATGAGCTGGTGCCAATTTATTATTCCCACCCTGTATTTATGTAAATTTTTAAAACCCAGTTGCAAAAATTGACCTGTACCCTGTTAAGATCTCATCTTGTTTCCAGACAGCCTGTTAGGATATCTTGTCTCTTATTCTGTCTTTATCACATTAGCTTGTAACTTTGCAATATCTGCAAATCTGAAAAGCATGTTTCTCCATCTTGGCTTAAGCTGTTGATGAAAATGTTGGACGGCACATTTGTGTCTTTCTGTAAGAATACACTGGGGACCATCTACTGGCTGAGAGAGAGGCATTTATCATAGCTGTTTAAACAACTGAGATTCTAAATGTCCACATGTGTCCTCTGTGCTCCAATGAAAAGTATTTTCTGAATGTAAAGAGCTGCCTCCCCCTAGGAATTCCCTACGGACCAGGTAACCCCAAACTTCTTGTCATAAGGGCTCTTTGGTTAAACCAGGGCCGTCTGACTTTCAGGTTCACAGGCTTCCTCAGTCTCCATGTCTAAACTGTGCTCTTTGTTGAGTCTGCTACAAATATGTTTCCCCAAAGGTCTAAGAAGCATGCCAGAGAGTGATGTCATGAACATTAGGAGTTCCTCATGAACTAGGAAGCCAAGCAGTCATGTTGGAATGCAGCAGTTTGTTCCATTGTTGGTGGTTGCAGGCATGAGGAATGGAGGGGTTGGGGGGAGCATATAAAAGAGACACAGTCATCTGGTGCCCAGATCTCTGTTTCTAATACCATCCCTCAGCAAAAGGAACCAGCGCTCCTTGAAGAAATGGCTGGTTCTAGAAAAGTGGCAGGAAATAGACAAGATGAGCTTAGAAACTTTAAAGTATCTTGCCTGGTCACATTGGCTACCATGAGACGTCCGGGGGTCACAGTCACACGGCTGACATCCTCTGCCAGGGACCAGGTTCCAATGTCCATCAGTACAATGGTCACAGGTCCGCCCTGTGACGTTGGGCAGACAAGGGCATGTGCCAGTGTTGGGGTCACAGATGCAAGGTCCCCGACCCAGAGGACACTCAGTGGTATTCACGCCGGAAGGATAACAGGAACATCCTGAAATAACAGGAGGTAAATTCAGTGATAACACTGGCTTTCAACAACCCATGCAAACAGCTTTTCAGGCTTGGATGTACCATTTCTCCAAATGGTTCAAGGACAAATATCTTACAATGGTACAGAATTATCAAAGAATCTAAATAAGTTAAACTCATTCAATTGTTGTTGATCTCCCAAAGTAGCAGTTTCATATGGTTGTGCCTACTATGTTCCAAAAGCTCACAATTAGGAAGACTGCAAGTCTCACTTTTTCCCTCATGCCATTCACCAAAGTTCCATTTATGTACAAGATCTGAAAACAAAGAGTTTACTAAATTGACTTGGGTGAACTGAAATAGTTAAGATAGTTCCTAAAAAAGAGCTGTTTAGTTCTTCTCCTTCTTTATCATAGAATTAAATCTATGTTCTCCTCTACATCAATGATTCTTGTATTTATGCATTAAAGTCATTTGATGAGTCTGTTACAATGCAGATTCCTGGGCCCTACTCCCAGAGATCCAATTCTGTGTGTCTGAGGTACAATCCAGGAATCTGCATGTTAACACCCCATCCTCATCCCCAGATGACTCTGTCACAGTGCACCTTGGCCCACACTCTGAGAAACAATGCTCAAAATCCACCAGAGCAGGAGTTAAAGGCAACAGTCAGAAAAGGCAAACTAATAGCACCAGTGAGTATATTGTAGCTGCACCCTTTTCTGCTGATGAGTTCATTGCTCCGGCCTGTCATTCAGTGGGTGTTAACACTATTGGCCTGACTGCAATGAGCACGGGACAGCTGCTATGTTTATGAGCTGCCTCTCGGCTGCCACAGTTCCCCCAGCAGCCTTGCAGACTTACTTCTGCAGGTTTGATTGAGGGCTGATCCAAAGTGACCAGGTTTGCAGAGCTGGCAGTTGGGCCCCTCAGTGTTGTGCAGACATTTAAGGCACTCCCCTGTCACTCGGCTGCAGGACTCTGGATCAGTTACATCAATGTTGTTGTTGCAGGCACATGGCTGGCAAGGTGCTCCAGAAATTCCTGGATTTCCATAGAAACCAGGAGAGCATTCTTCACACTGCTTTCCTGAATGATGGGGAGAGGAAAAGGGAAGGAGATGAGAGGGTGTGTGTGTATATGTGTGTGTTGGGAGGGGGGATGGAGATTGGTATAAATAGAAAATAATTAGGCTCCTCTAGGGATAATGAGAGGTCACACATTGGGGATAAATAAGGGAAAGTGTTTTAATTTAAAACAAAACATTCATTTTAATTTATTATGATTGAATAATTTATTATTCAATCTTAAGGTAAAATGATTATTCAGAGCTAAAAAGTCCTTGGCAAAGAATGGATTCTAGTGTTTCTTATAGACGTAGAGTTGTGGGCAGAGGACCCCTGGATCCTTACAGAACCAGGGTCCCTCTTATGTGCCCCAGGACCCAAATCTTATTAGACTCTCTTCTCACCTGGTCCTACAGGTTTCGAAACAGCAGCAGCCTGAGATATGTGTCTAGAAGTGAAGATGGGTGAGAGTAATTTCCTTGATGTATGAGCCCAAGAGGGCATTGTATGGAGAAACCACCCCTTCTTGCCTGTACTCTTTACCCTTCCAACCATGAGGCAACTGCACTTGTTTAGGTGTCCAAACTGTGGGTCTAATCTCCACATTTTGGTTCACCCCATTTAGCAATGCCCTGGGAGTTCAATCAAGGTCTCAGTTCTTAAAAACTGACCAACCAAGCCAAAGTGTCCATGGAAAAGAGACTATAAGAGAGAAGGTAAGGATTAGCTAGATACATGTGTAACCTTAGAGGTAACAAATAATAAAAAAAATTAGCCATGCAATTTATTATCTTGATGGTAATTATCACTGAAGAAAATAGCACATTTTCTAACTGTGATTAAATGAAGCAGACTTCAAAAGATTCCCCCTTGTTTACATATTTCTACTCATGCTTAAACTATGTAAAATAAAACTTTTGACTGAGCAATAAACACAAATATTGAATTAACTTATGTAGTCTTTATTCAATGCCCAAATCAGTGCTTCTAGACTTCTGAAAAATTAGTTGTATCTGTGAAATATCAGTCAAATTGATTGCTTGGAATTATACAAAGAAAGCATTAGGTTAATTTTTTTTTTTACTTTTTAATTGTTATGTTATATGTAATATATTGGGTTGGCTCTGGTAGTGTTCAGTTGTCTTTAACTTCATTCGAAACAACTTTGTTAGATTGTATTGTGACAGCTGTCATATCAGCATGCATTTTTAAAAAATTTATCAAAATTGGTGAACTTTTGTGTAGCCATTTTATTACTGAAGCTGGATAAAAATAAGCGACATTTTTGGCATATCATGCTTTATTATTTCAAGAAAGGTAAAATCACAACTGAAGTGCAAAAAAAAAATTGTGCAGTGTATAGAGAAGGTGCTATGACTGATTGAATGTATCAAAAGTTTTTTGCGTAGTTTCATCCTGGAGATTTCTTGCTGGATGATGCTCCACAGTTGGGTAGACCAGTTGAAGTCCATAGAGGTCAAATTGAGACATTAATTGAGAACAATCAATGTTATACCATGCAGGTAATAGCTGACATACTTAAAATATCCAAATCAATAAAGTTATTGATGAAAATTTAAAATGTGTCTTTTATTGTATGGAAAAAACCATGTGGACTTTTTGGCCAACCCAATATATCACATATATTTACTTAATCACATATATATCTTAACATGTGGTCATTTTATTTTAAAGAAATTAATTTGGTTTAAACTCATTGGGTTAGTTTTCCAGAACAGTTAAAATTTATAATTCAGTGGGGTGAGTTTCAAATTGTCATTGGTTTTTGAATCATTCAAATTCTTTGTTTGTAAAGCAGCAATTTACAAAGTTGTGCCTTCTTACTATTAACTTATATTCTGAACAATCATTTGGCCAAGGCAGATAAATTATTAATATGTTGATTATTTTTCAGATACCAGTGTGAAATGGAAGAAAAACCTACCATAAAGTGTACTACCTACCTGCATAACCTTGAGGACAATTACAGATTACATCTGAATTCCAAGGATCCTGATAACAGGAGTGAGCAAAATACCGATTGCTCAAGGGAACATCTGGGCATGGGCAAGGACGGCAGGGCTGTCCTGAAGAAGGATCTCCATAGTAACCATCGGTGCATCTGTCAAGGCAATTTCTTTTTACCAAAATGTTCCCAAGGAAAGCTTGCATGCTAGCCAATGTGAGTTTGCTGTGCATTAGGGCTGTGCAATTCTGAAAACTCAGTATTTTAGAAGATGGTTGTTCTGCAAAAGGATTTTTTTGCTATTGAAAGCCCCATGGTATAGTCATTGAACTCAATATAATAGCACTTAATCTACATGTCTTATTTAAGGACTATAAAAAGCAAGGTGCCAAGAAATTGCCTAGTTCTGATTTAGTCAGACACTGTCTGACTCATAAGAAGATTTTGAAGGATAATGGAATGACACAATCTTCCCCACCCAGAGCAATCTTTTTACATTTAAATACTGTTGAGTTTCTACTCAATGGTTCTTTGGAGAGTGTTGTGAGATCAGAACAAAAGAGAAAAATTAAAAAATAAAAGTACACATGATTTCCATACCTTTCACAGTTTCTTCCAGTTGTAAATCCCCTGCAACTGAGGCATGTTCCTGTTTCTGGATCACAAAGCTCTGTAAACCCATTACAAAGGCAAGGGCGGCAGTTGGGAAATCCAAAATAGCCCTGTAGGCACTGGTCACAACGGCGGCCAGCTACCTGTTCCTGGCAGGAGCACTGTCCTGTTATTTGGTCACACACAGTGCCCTTTGAGCCTTGAGGGTGACAGTGACACACTAGATAAAGCAAAGAGAAGCATGTTGGGGAAGGGGGCAAGTGGTGTGCTGGTCAAAGAGGTATAGTTGTAATTTTGTAGTACTTAACTCACCATCTCATCCCAATCAGGGTGAAGAGAGAGTATCTAAAATGCCTAGTGCAGATCCTGCCATATAGTGAGTACCAGGTGAATGTTTGTTAAATAACAATTCACCAATTCATTCAATAAACAGTAAGTTGAAAACAATTGGGTCTGATAAATGTTGTTTATACGGAGGAACTGAACAAGTAGTGTGTTTTTAATGACTTGAACTTTCATGTATCTTGGGAGGCAAACTTTAAGAGTATATAAAAAAGATTGCAGCATAGGCAGACATGGCTCGCTCCTCACACAACCACATCAAAATTACAACTAAAATATCGAGCAACCATTACTCGGGAATGTCAGAAATTGAGCTGAATGGAAGTCTGACAACTACAGAATTAAAGTAACCACATCTATCCAAACTGGTAGGAGCGGTGTAGACACGGAATGAGGTTGTCCCACATTCACGTGGATAAAAATTCGGAAGGGATATCTCCAGAGCGAGGAGTTCCAGACCCATTCCAGGCCTCCCAGCCCAGGATTCCAGTCCCAGCAAGATAAGTCCCCACAACTTCTGGCTGCAAAAACCAGTAGGGATTGAGTTGGTGAAAGAAACTTCTAGAGTTCCAAGCAATTCCTCTTAAAGAACCAACACACAAACTCACCTACTCAGACTAACTTCCTCTGAGCTCTAGCACCAGGGTAGCAGCTTGAAAGGAACCAGTGGTACACAGGGAGAAATTGAAGTGTCTGGCATTGAGGCTAGCAGAGACCATTGTCTCTGCTAAACCTTTCCTCCACAGAGCCAGTAGGCTGGTGCGGTATCTGAGACTCCATCAACCTGACTAACACTGTCTGCCCTGCCTTGGAGATCCCCAGAGGCTCTTCCTCTCCCAACTTATGGGCCTACACAAGCTGCTTTTCCATAAGTATGGCTGGTCTTGAGTCCTAAATCCTATCAACCAAGCAACAGCTGGCTTCAATGAGCCCTAGAAGCAGCCAGATTAGATTCACGACTTGGCTTTACCTGGGAATCTCCAAGCCCAGCACAAGTAGCGGACATCTCAGATTGACTTATAGCTCATTCAGGGTGCCCAGAACAAAACACAGCTGGGGACTGAGCTTGGCTTGCACCACCTGGGAAACCCCAGGGCCAGCACACCCAGTGGATAGCTATAGACCATGTTGGAGCACCACTACCCTGCCCCTGCACAGTGGATCCTCCACGGATGGCAGAGGTTGATGGTCAATGACACAGCCAGTCTTTGCAATGGACTGGCCTGGCTAAATCCCTCCCATTGGTCTGCAACAGCAAGGAAGGCTCAATCACAACAGAAGAGTGTACTCAGCTCACACGAAGGGCACACCTTCACTACCCAGCTTGGGTGAAAGGGGAGGCTGTGCCACTGGAACCTATAGGACACCTACTATTTTAGGAGACCCTACCAAGACACAGAGTCAAAGCAGCTCTACCTAATACACAGAAACAAACGTAGGGAGGCTGCCAAAATGAGGAGACAAAGAAACATGGCACAAATGAAAGAACAGATCAAAACTCCAGAAAAAGAACTAAACGAAATGGAAATAAGCAATCTAGCAAATGCAGAGCATTGTTTATAAGGATGCTCAAGGAACTTAGTGAGGACCTCAGCAGCATAAAAAAGACCTAGTCAGAAACAAAAGATACACTAATTGAAATACAGAATAATTTACAGAGAAACAACAGTAGAATGGATGAAGCTGAGAATCAGATCAATGATTTGGAACATAAGGAAGCAAAAAGCAATCAGTCAGAACAAGAAGAAAAAAGAATTCTAAAGAAAGAGGATGGTATAAGCAGCCTTAGGACAACTTCAATAGGTCCATTATTCATATCATAAGGATGCCAGAGGATAAGAGAAAGAGCAAGAAATTAGAAATCTGTCTGAAAAAACAGTGAAAGAAAACTTCCCTAATTTGGTGAAGGAAATAGACATGCAAGTCCACGAAGCAATGAGTGTCCCAATTGTGATGATGCAAAAAGGCCCACTCTGAGACACTTCATTAGTAAAAGGCCAAAGTTTAAAGATAAAGAGAGTCTCTAAAAGCAGTGAGAGAAGTTAGTTACCAGATGGTTGCCAGATGGGAGGGAGGAGGGGGAGGATGAGTGAAGAGGCAAGGGGATTAAGAAGTACAAATAGGTAGTTACAGAATAGGCATGTGGATGTAAGGTACAGAATAGGAAATGGGACAGCCAAAGAACTTACACACATGACCCATGGATGTGAACCATGGTTGGGGGATTGCCTGAGGGAGTGGGGAGTGCTGGGTGGAGGGGGACAAATGAGGAAAAATCATGACAACTGTAATAGCATAATCAATAAAATATAATAAGAAAAAACTATAAAAAATAAAATCTCCTTCTCAAGATGGTCAGATTTTTTTTCCTACACAAGATAATAGAGGCTCAACCCTTTTCTGCTAAATTGTTGAATCCTTTGAGATGATCTTCCTTATTAAAAAAAATGATGCCTGTTTGTTTGACAGGGTGCTACATGAAAATATTTGCTTTTTAGTGTATGTCAAGCAATTGATTTTTTTTAAAGAAAAGGAAAACAAAAAAGAAGTGATGGTGGCCCTAAGCTGTTTGCTGGGCAGTTTGCTAGACTGGCAATGACAGGAAGGTGTGCCATCATGCTGAAGAGACTGAGAGATATGTTCCCCTGAAATATATGTTTCTCCTGAAAGTATAATTAATGTGCCTGGTGGTTTTCATGGTTCCTAAGGCAGCTTTCTGTGGAGGACAATATTTTCACTAATGGTTTACATGGTGAACAGAGAATTCTAGACCCTGAATGTGACAGCCACGGTAACTGAACTACCCACTGTGTTTGAAGCCCCATCTAAGCCCTAACTAATGGGCAGCTTATAAGATGAGTTACAAGACAACTGTGACTCCAGCATCAGAAAGTATAATACCCTGGTCACAGTGTTGTACCCTTTTTCAACATCATAATCTCATCATTGTTTTAGCCTTTCCAGCCTCCAGCTTACATGCCAGATCATACAGCCAACTCCCTTCATGGTGTTTCCACACCTTACCTGGGCTATCCTCTATTTGACACAGACTGCAAAACTCCCAGAAGCATGAACCATGATTTTATCATCACTCATGCTTCCTAACAGAGCTCTGCTCAATTAGTGCCCAGTGAGTGGATGAATGAAGTGCAGTACAAAAAATTGCAACACATTTTATCTACATAGATAGTCTAGATAATGTAGTCAAATTCCCAATCCTCTCCTCTTTGAGATTCCCCACATCAGTTTTCCTGCCTTCAGACCTCCAAGGCTGTGAACAAGAGTGTTTCCCCCATCTGCTTTTTGCTACATACTGTGACAGCCATGACGCCCCAAACCGTAACTTCCTGTTGAGCACCTGTCACAGCAGCGCCCGGCCACGTGCGGCTTACACTGGCACTGGCCTCCAAGTGGGCTGCAGCTGGTCCCAACTGAGCCCTGGGGGTGACACTTGCAGGCTGCAGGGAACAAAAGAAGGGAGTTAGGGTGTAGGAAGTGACAGAGAAGAACCTCATCCTGGTAGCAGGTTTGGTGCGCCTCTCTTTCATGTGGTCCCTCTCCAGTCCTTAATCCCTTATCTGTTAAAGGAGGATAACAGAGGATCCACCTCATGAGATTGTAAGGATTAAAGATAATAAGGCATTTGAGTACTTACGCCAGTGTTTGGCATGTAGTATGTGCTTGACAAACATTACTTAATAAATATAAGTTAATGAAAGGCTTAAAATAAATTGTTTTAATAATTAATTATTCCAATGTAATTATTATTATGTCAAAAAATCCTAATTATCAATGTTGGTGCTGGACTATACCTTTGATTTTTCTCATTCCATATTTTTCCTAAGACTGTGGAGACCCTGAAGCCATAGCCTTTCAACAGAAAAAAGCATTTGCCTGGAGCTCAGGAAGCCCAGGCTCTCGCTGTAGCAGGCACTCTATAGCAGGGGTTCTCCACTGGGATCAATTTTGTCCCTGGGGGACATGTGACACATTTTTGGATGTCACAACCTGGACAAGTGCTACTGGTATCAGGTGGGTAGAGGGTAGGGATGTTACTAAACATATATTTTTTAAAGATTTATTTCCTTACTTTTAGAGAGGGGGAAGGAGGGAGAAAGAGGGAGAGAAACATCAATGTGTGGTTGCCTCTTATGCACCCCTACTGGGGACCTGGACTGTAATCTAGGCATGTGCCCTGACTGGAAATCCAACCAGTGACCATTTGAGTTGCAGGCCTGCACTCAATCCACTGAGCTATACCAGCCAGGGACTAAACATCTTATAATGCAGAGGACAACCACCACCCAACCCCCACAACAAAGTATATCTAGCCTAAAATATCAAAACTGCTGAGGGAAAGAAACCCCTCCATAGCTTAGTGAAATGGGCAAGTTACCGAATGTTTTTGAACTCTAATCATTTCATTTACTAAATGAAGGTTTGGGAGTGAAAGAAGTTAGTTCGAGTTCATTTCAGGTTTAAAATTCCAGAATTCTAAATAAATATTTTAGGGCTATTGTTTCAGCAATCTAGCATCTTAATGCTACTGCAAGGTTCCTCTTTCTACACAGTCCTCTGCTGCACATTGTGATTCCAGCACATCAGTGACTCCTCTGTGTATCTAATCACTGAGCAAATGGTTGGTTGTTTGGAAAAAGGCTAAAATAAAGTAAATCGATTCACTCATGTTCCAAAAAGCATTTTTATAGGTAGCAGTGCTTCAGCAGAGCCTACTAAACAAGTACTCACCCACTGCCCCATTGTGTAGCCTGGCAGACATGCTGACTATGAGTCTTTCACATGCACCAGGGAGCACCTGAGCTCCTGGTTCCCAGGCAATTTCAACACAGGTGTGCAGCTGATATTCATCTATGTCCGGTTTGCTGCAGAAATCCTCTGATGCATTGGATTGGGGAAGAAGACTGAGCTTTTAAAATAATGAGAAAAGATTTATATACACAACTGTCTGCAGTTCAGATTCCAGTTATAAAAAATCAGATTCATATATGAGGATAATGTTTGAAAAGAGACTAAATTCAATTCTTTAAATTTGTAGGGGTGTCTGGCATCCCTGGGCCTCACTGGAAGAAAAAGAGTTGTCTTGGGGCCACATTAAGAACACTGCAACATGTAATCACAAAAAAATCTCATAGCATTTTAACTAAATTTATGATTTTGTGTTGGGCCACATTAATATAGCCATCCTGAGCCACATGCAGCTGAGGGCCACAGATTGGACACCCTGATGTCTAAATATTGTAAGATTTTCAACTTATTTAAGAATTCTTCAACAAAATATTTTTATATATTGACCTATGGCAAAGAAATAAATGAGCCTATATCTTTCAACTGTCCTTACTACTATGTTATAACTTGCTAGTAAATTTGTCTTAGATTTGAAAGACTTTTACTAGGCTACTTGTAATAGAAAATTATGGTGGAGGGTATTCCATAGTGTTACTGTAGAACTCTAATTCTACAAAATTTTTCTTTATGAATTTTGTCTTTTTCAGTTACATATGAAAGTGGTGTTCTACATCAAACTATATCTGCCTCTTGGAGATTCACAGACTAGATTAACATATCAAAGGCCCTCAAGTCCTGCAAGAAAGATGCTCTTTAAACTCAGTGTTTTCAGACTTATTGGACCATTTGGTCCTATATTCAATAATGCTAACATCTCATAAAATCAGTAATTCATGGATGCATTTGGGGAATTCCTGGCTTAGATCATATAGCTGTTGTGGGAACATATGCATTATTAGTTTATTCTCAAGGAGAAATCATCTATAGTTTAACATCTATATGAAGAAAAACTTTAGTTATATTTTTAAGATTTTATCTAAGTTATAGCCTAATGCTATTTGAAAAGTTTATAGCTTAAATCATATAGTAGAGAATGTGTTAGTACAGCAGATTAATCACACCAACTTGGTCTTTTTGAACGCCTGATGGAAAAACAGTATTAAAAATAAGTTTAATGTAGCAGATTGTGTTAGGAGAGAGAACCGGTGGCACAGGTAAATCGCCTCTGATCTTTTTGCTTTGTCCATACTGAAACTATTCTCCATGGCCCTTTAACTCCAACCCTCTCCAGTCCTTCTCTGTTCATCCTTTGACACACCAGAGGGTAGAATTGAACTCTAGATGACTATTTCAAAGTGTCTCCACACCTCAAACCTTTCACTTCATTTTCCCTGTGCTCCCAGCATGTGTCATTGCTTCTTTCTTCTCTCACTTCACAGTAAAAATAGACCCCAGCCAAGGCACTGGAGCCACCTACTTCCTGCCTGACAGACTCTAGGCTCACAGGGAAGACCACCTGTCTTTGACTCTTCCTGCTGACAGCGAAGAAGGATCCCAGTGGAAGAAGTGTCCCACTGCTGTCCCCTCTGCCCTTGGGACACTTTTCTGTAGGTTATGCTTACTTTTTTTAATCTCTGTCTCTCCACTGCCATTTAGGTGTGCTTACGTCTCTCCGCTCTGTAAAATCACCTCCTGGATCTCATGTAGTTCTCTCGCTACAGTCCGGTTTGACTCCCTGACAGCTCAGGCAAACAGGGAGACTGGGCCACTGGACTGTAAAGGACAATTTTTTGTGAAAAAATTGGTTCTTTGCCATACTGCTGCCTCCTCTTGCATTCACTTTTTGTGCCATTGTAGTACCTCTTCTTCCACATGTCCCTGTTAGGTTCCTCAGGTTCTTTCATCGGTCTCCTTCTCACTCCAAGCCCACTTCCTAGTAACTGTGAAATGCTGTGTCTTCGGTTACTACATATGGATTGCTGACATGGGACTTTACATCTCCTGCCCACATCTCAATCGTGGGCTCTTGATCTGCACAGATATGCATACAAGTCTATTGGGTGTCTCACAGGTACTGCAATACAAACACACCTGAAACCTGCTTTCCCTCTTGTGCCCATTGTCAGGAACTAATGTCACCATCCACCAGGCTGCTCAATGTAGAAAACTGAAGAAGGTCATCTCTGCCTCTTTGTCATCAATGCTCCACACCCAGCCCACATCCCCCACACATCAATTCCACCACAAACTTGGTCAGTCTGACCTCTTAACTGTGCTTAGGATGCATTTGTTGCTCTTTGTTTCCTTGTAACTTTCCTCAGATTGACCACCTAGATTACCATAGTGGCAGGACAATAAATGTCTTATCTTCCACTCTTGTCCTCTTTTCCTCATTATTACTCTGATGTATAGTCATAGTGATTCTTTAAAAGGCAATTTTTTTCAGATAACTCCCTCCTTCAGTGGCTTTCCATTGCCTAAGGATAAAATCTAAACTCCATATTCACTCATTCATTCATTCATTCATTCATTCATTCATTCATTAATACATTCATTCCCCTCAGCTTCATGGTTCTCAATATGGGGCAACTCTAGGGGGCATTTTGGAAATTCCAAGGGATGGTTTTGGTTGTCACCACAGTTGAGCAAGGTGTATTACTAGCAATTTGTGGATGGGGGTCACAAATGCTAGACATTCTCACAAAAAGAAAAATCATTCCATGTCTTCTACAGTAGGCTTTGAATGTTCCACTGAATATCCACAAAGAAGAAATCCCTGTTTACCGTATGTTTTTAAAACATGTTAAACAAGTTTCTAACACATCTGCTTTCATGGCTGTCTCACACACAGTGATTCTACATGTATGAGCATCTCCTGCTTCATTGTCTTCTGGCACCTGTGCATACTCCTATTGCAGTACATATGATTGCTTCATAAATTACTTTCCTTTTATTTCTTCTTTGTATTTGCATATTCCATTGATATTATATGGAAATTCTGTGCACAGGCAGGCTATAATGCCTATGAATCTCATTTCATGGTAATGAAGAGTATTATAAAATATTTATAATAAAGAAGGGGAGGCTGGGTCAAGTGATGTTGGGAACCCTGCTGGGCCACATTAAACTTTCAGTTCAGTCTCCTAACACAGCTCCCAGCACCACTTACACACACTGTGTTGCCACATTCTGCACTGTCATCTGCATCTCCTCTTTAGAGAGGAAGCCTCAACTTGGCCGGGGAGGTTCTTAATTGTTTACACCTGTGCCTACCATAGTGTCCAATTTGTAGTATGTGCTGCATACAAACTGTTCGATAAGGAGGTATATATAAATTTCTAGTATTGTATCTTTAAGTTGATACTTAAATCACTCTTTCTCTAAACACAAACCAAGGGGAGAGAGATACAGAAGGAAGCTAGATGGGCTGGGGCTGGGGATGAAGGTAGCCAACTAGGGGTTAATTATTCAGAGTGATTGGTCTGAGCCAGTGTAGAGTTGGCCAATTTTGGTATTGGGTGGACCAAATGAGAAGAGTCCCTGCCAGCTGTAGTGTGTGTAATGCCATGACTCACTTCTCCTAGAAGGTCAAAGCGCTTCAGGTTTACCAAGTGCAGTTGATTCCACAGTTTGAAAGAAGAATGGCAGTTTCATATTCTGGGATACCTAATATACTTTTGACTCTAAACACACTTTTAAAAAAATAAAAGTTGTATTTATTTATTTTTGAAGAGAGGGGAAGGGAGGGAGAAAAAGAGGAAGAGAACATTGACATGTGAGAGAAATATCAATCGGCTGCCTCTCACATGTGCCTCAACTGGGGACAGTGCCTGCAACCAAGGCATGTACCCTGACTGGGAATCAAACCAATGACCTTTCACTTTGTGGGGTGATGCCAAACCAACTGAGCCACACTGGTCAGGGCTAAACACACTTTTATGAGAACATATATCTTATAATCAGGGAAACTGAAAAAAAAATTAACTGTCTCACTATACTGCCAATAAAAAAAATTGATACAGAAGGGGCATCCAGGGATGAACAGAACTTTCATCTGGTCTTCTAAGTAATTCATCTTAGCTTTAGATGAAAATGTTAATCTGGCTGCAGAAAAGAGTACGCTTTGGAAGGACCAAGTCCCAAACAGTCCAATATCTTCCCAGAGCAGCAAAATCGTTGGTGTGGAAACAATTATATTAGTCTGTAACCATAAAATGTGTAATTGGTCAAGTACAATAGGGGATATTGTATCTTGTACCCTGATCAGGTCTTCCCTCCTGCCAGCTGCTGTGGTACTGGCTACCAGAAGCTCCCAGCTATCTCATTCTCCACAAAACTGGAGTCCATCACGTCACTTTGTCCAGGAGTTAATGCACTCACTGGGGGATGAGGTGGTGAGCCTGTAGCCAATGACTTGGGCACAATACAGTCTCATGACTTTGCCTCCAGGTGGCACCAATTCCGTGGTGTAATTCCTGTGTCCTGAGCTGCCGGTGGGATCAGGCTATAGCTACACTTCAGTGCAGACCACATCCTTTCTTTGTTCCTTCCCTGTCCTCTCTTATTCCCCTCATTCCTCTTCTCCCGTCTGCCTGCCCTTAATAAACCAGGTGCCCCTGAGACCTTGTCCTGGCTTCTGCTTCTCAGGAATCTGACCTAAAGCAGGGACCTATAGCCTCTTCTATGGGTTCTGACAGCTTGCCAAAATCAGCCTACTCTCTTAATTCTTATTCAGGTTTTGGTGTTTTTATACTTATATAAAAGAATGATTGCTTGAAAACTGATTGGATAGATATATTTTTAAATTAACAAAAGTAGATATATTTTTAAGTTAATTTCAAATTATCTACTTGTATCATGTAGCTATCAAACATCATTGCCATGGTTTTGTTTGCATGGCTCTCTTCTGTATCAGGATGAGAATTCTTAGAGGGCAGAAACCGTATTTTACTCTTCAGGAGCCAGCACAGTGCCTGGCCCACACTCAGTGAATTGGTGATGAATGGGTAATTTGGATGGATGCATTTAATACAGCATCAGGCGATAATCTCTGGAGTCTATGAAGTTTAGAAATACTTAGGATATGGATTTAAAATGAGGAGTAAGCTGGCTTTTATAAATTTGAGTTTCATGACTATTATTATTATATATCCCTTTGTGATTTAGGACTTCCTTGTTTTCCTCTTGTCCCTTTCTTTACTCTGCCTGAGCTCCCAACTTCTAGTTTTTGTGCCCCTGAATTAAACCTGTTGGATATGATTTTCTTTCTTTGTAATTCAATTGTTGGTTCATGATCACAGTGCTATTTAAAGGTCCTCAGAAGAGAATATAAATTGTGTGGCTAGGGGAATCACGATAGTTTGAATTTCCCATTTAAGAGTTTGTTTCTACTTTCTACTTAATTTCTACCATCATATGATAGAACCTTACCATGATATTATATGGCCCCCTGGTGAAGGCTTTATAGTACCTTTCGATAAAATTGCCACAGAAAATACAAATCACCTAGTTAAAATTGAATTTCAGGGAAACAATGAATAATTTTTTTAGTGAAAGTAAGTCTCATGCAATATTTAAGGGCAACATTTGGGACATATTTATACCACATTCAAATGTGATTGGCTATCCTGTTTCTGTTTTTCCTTCCCTCCCTCTCTGTCTCTCAAACTTTCCTTCCTTCCTTCCCTCCTTCCTTCCATGTTTTGCTAAATGTTACAATCTGCCTTTGGTAAAATAATCCTAAAACAAAGGATTTTTTGATGTTATAATAGCTTACTTTGTTGAATAAAATCCAATATATACCTGTCTTATATTGAATTCTATGGTAGATGATAAAATAACAAAGTTCCAGGGTTATAAATTTAAAACATTCAATGGTGACAAATTGAACTTTGAAGACACAATTCACGAAATATAGATACATGGCTAATTAAATCAGGGATCAAGAAACTTCCTTGATGTTTTTAAAAAATATTTACCATCCTTATATAAAGGCCAGATGGTAAGTATTTTTGGTCTCTTTTACAACTACTGAGCTCTGCCTTTGCAGCTGTAGATAATATGTAAATGAAAGGGCACAGCTGTGTTCCCATAAAATTTGCAGGTTGTGGTTTGCCAATCAAATCATGATATGAGAAGATTCTCACAAATATTTAAAAATACAATTTTAAACAATCAATTTGATTTTTATATGCAAGATTACTTAAAAAATCCCAAACAACTACATACAATTGTACTTGCATGAAACTGCTTTCACACATTACTGATAACCCTGAAAATTAACTGGAGAATAGCTTTCAGAAATTAATTTGGTAAGCTATTTCAGGAGCCATAAAACCTTGGGTAAATAGGACTATATTTTAAAACACTGAAAATATGTACCAACTGTTTATAATGAAGAATAGAAGCAACTAGTACTTCACAGGTAGGGGGACAGATATGTAAATTATGTAAATTTACTTAGTCTCAAGGTCTGCCCAGCGACAAGCCTGGTCTGAAGCTGTGCAGAGTGAGAGCGCTGGAAGGACTACCTGTGGTCCAACTCTGTGGTGGAAAGACACTGAAAGAAGTCACTCAAAATAAACAAAAAACAAGATGGAAATACACTCACAGACACAGACAGGTTGATGGTTGCTGAGGAGGAGGGGCTTCGGGAGACTGGGTGAAAACATGAAGGTACTAAGGAGTACAAATTGGTAGTTACAGAATAAAGTACAGGGGTGTAAAGTACAGCATAGGGAATGTAGTCAGTAATGTTGTAATAAGAAGGTATGGTGTCAGGTGGGTGCTGGAAATATCAGGGGAGACCACTTTGTAAATTATATGATTATCTAACACCATGCTGCACACCTGAAACTAGTACAAAATAATGTTGAATGTAAACTGTAATTGAAAAATAAAATTTTAAAAAGTCACTCAAAGAAATACTGTGCATGGTTCCTAAAATTGAGACTACATAAACATGATGAGAAAACGTTTATGATATACTGTAAAGTGAGAAATGTCCCTGTGCAGAGCACCCTATGGGTGCTCTGATCACAACAACATAAAAGCATAGTATGAATAAATGGGAGCTTTCAAGGTGATGATAATTTAAGTGGTGGGATTTCTCCCTAAATGGACTGTAATGCCTGTAATGCTGTCATGGCTCAGAGCCAGAACTCGGGTCAGGCAGTCTGGTTCAGATTCCAGACTCCTCACTACCAGCGCTGTGACCCTGTGACCCTGTGCCTCAGTTCTGTCATCTATGAATGAGGATAATAATCGTGGCTACCTTATAGAATTGTTGACTCTTTAAGACTAAATAATAGAACATGTAAAATATTTCAAACCATTACCGGCCCTGACACATACTATTCTATAAGATCTGCAATTATTATTGACTTTTATAGAGAACAGGTGATTTTTATAATGAAACAAATACATTTATACTTCTCAAGAAACATGTCACCAGAGAGTCTAAAAGTAGAATTATAATAGAGCACGATTTAGAAGGAACACCCACAAAGCTCTGTGATACTTACAGAATCAACAAGGATGTATGAATGAGCGTAGGGCCCTCCTTCCAAAGACTGAGAAAAATAGACATCTGTGAAATATTGTACATCTGGTTCTAAACAGATGGGTGTGGGAAGCAGCATGATTCTGTATTGAGAGAAATAAAGCAAAAATTCAGTGACAAAAGTACAGTTACATAACTGAAGTGACATAGTGGTTGGCAGCATTCCACCTAGGCGCTGATGTGGGTCCCACTGTGGGGCAGAGGCATGGTCTAGGTGGGCTGTGTGGATGGTAATCCCACACTGACACTCTCCACGGCTCTTCCACAGGTGGTACCAGAGCAAAGCCTTAGAAAGTGCTGACCTCCGGCTGTCAGGACTGCTGTGGGAAAAGGATAATACAAAAATCCTTTATCTTATCTATCATGCTAATATCATCAGGGTCTCTGTTTTATTTTGCCACAAATCTCTAATGAGGCAAAATTAGTTGCCTCAAAAATCAGTAGGTTTTTATCTTACAGACTAGCTGCTAAGATAACTCAAGCTGAGTATTTTAATCCTATTCTTGCAGCATTTATTTTCTCACATTTCAAGGCCATGGGGGGAACAGGAAAGGAACATTCTTTAGTCTTCTTTAATGCATCTGTTCTCCCACTTAGTTCCTAGATGACTATCTAGGATAGATGAATAAAATTCATCTATCAATGTTTCAGGATAGGTCCCAAGCATACCTGGAGGCTGCTGGTAAGACGAAGGATGGAGGCTTTTGCAGAGGAGTCTTGTATGGACAGCGCTCGCTTCCTCCAGGGGGGTTAACTGAGACCTGGACAACCCAGTCAGCCGCAGACTAGAAAAAGCACGAGGTAAAAGCATGTCACTGTGAGGATGTGGGAAGCTGATTTGCATGCACGAATATATACTGATGAATGGTGCATAGAATCAAATTTGCAACCCATAGCTCACTTGGAAAATAGAATTTTCGAATTGAAAAAAGTCCTAGAGGTTCACTCTCAGGCTCAACTCTCTGGTGTCTGAATTGCAATCCAGGTAGAGGAAGGTTGTTTCTGACCATAGCTTTACACCAGTAGATCATGATCCTGAAAAACCCTGGTACTTCTGACACCTCTGTCTCCCAAAGCATCAATTAATTCATCATGTTCATGGATCACAGAACAAAAATAAAAATTAGGAATCCATCACAAAAGGATATGTGCTTTTTTATATTATTACATACATATATAAATTATATGATTTAATAATTATACTACTAGATATATTTATATGTGTATAAATATATATACACATATATTTATAGTATATGTTTATTAGCTATACTCTGAAAGCCTTACCATTTGAAAAAGCTTTTTTTAAAAAAATTTTATTTATTTATTTTTAGAGAGAGGGGAATGGAGAACGAAAGAGAAGAAAAGAAACATCAATATGTGGTTGCCTCTCACATGCCTCCCACCAGGGACCTGGCCTGCAACCCAGCATGTGTCCTGACCAGGAATCAAACCAGTGACACTTTGGTTCCCAGACCTGCACTCAGTCTACTGGGCCACACCAGCCAGGCCTTGAAAAACTGTTTAAAGTTGTTAGAGATGTGTCCTCTCTATGGAAACATTTCTATGTATATATTTTTAACAACTTTTTCATCATACTTAGCAGGTCAAAGTCCACTGAAGTCCCTTGGCTTTCATTTGTAAGTGGGAAATACAGAATTATGTCATATCAAGAGTTTCACAATGGGTCAGCAGCTCTGGCCGTTTAACACAGTGAGCATTTCCAGAGGGACTGTGGGACCATCTACCCCACCAAGCCAAAGAAAATACCCTTTCAGGGGGGATGGTCTGTGAGGTTTCAGGTTACCAAAGAAAAACTTGAGAACTGTTGCTCTAGATTAAGTGTTTTTCTAATTTGTTTTCTATTCTGTCTTGGCTATTTCTCAAAAGGTGGGGGAAGGGTAGCATAGCAGTGGGAAGGAGGCAAGAGAAGCAGCCTGCTTTTTAGTTTTTCCCTTGTTTCAGAGAAAATCCAAATGCAAATAAATGCCTCTTCTGCATCCCTTGAGTCTGAATCTCTGCATGTGTTAGTTTATTAAAGTTTTAGGAAAAAAGTATCAGGAGAGCAGGATTTATGTTACTGTAATTATTTATTATTCTTCTACAAACATTCCATCACCACTTCCTTAGACCTACTGCCTTAAATATATAACTCCAACTTTAGCTTCTCTCCCTGGAATAAAGAATGTGTACCTACAGCTCACTACATTACTTTAAAATCTTTAGGAAACCCTTTGGTGTATAATGCTCTCCAGATGTTCTATTTTTTGCAAATCATTTTATGATAAACATATCTAGTAAGACTGGGATGGAAACATTTAGTGTGAGAATGTATTTGAGATTTTCACCACCAAAAACATTGAACTTAGAATACCTGAGTTTCATAGCGAATGGCCACAGTAAAATTCATGGGAGAGGGAATGTTGTTGACAGAGAATCTTAAGCCAGACCCAGGGAGAACCCTGGCAAATCCAGGTCCAGTCCAGGTAACAGGCGTCCCGGGAACCGGCTCTCGGAAGACAATGTGAACAGCAGGCATCTGGCCAAAAGTCACCGAGCCCTAAAATCAGAGAGAAATGTGTTATACATAGCTTTGCCTACAGTCAAGTCCTGGAAAAGTTTAGAAAAAAAGAAGCCCATGTATTTCCTGATGCGTATATGATCCATCTGAATCACAGATAATGTATTCCACCCAGGATACAGTCTAGGATGTAGCCAAGAGTAATGTGCTCAATCTGCAGCTTTGAAATATCTGTTATGTATAGAATTATTAATTTGAAAGCAATGACACTGGAAACCACCTTAATTTTAAGTATTGCATGTGCTAATGAATTGAGTAAATTCCACATTAATGACCTTGGGTGTTCTCAGATATCACTGTAGGATCCTGGCCAAATTTTGGAAAGAAAGGAAAGATTACCATGCCTACTTCATGGATTTTGCCTAAATATGCATGACGACAGTGAGAAAACCCATATGGATTTAATATTTAGACATTTCTGCCATGCAAACATGAGAAATGGTCTTCTATCTGCTTGGGGGCAGATAAGTACAAAACTAACTCACTTGATTGATTAGCATCCCTGAAAAGCTCTGAACTTTATGTTTGCCCGGGCCATCTGGACCCTGTAGATAATTTTTCTTTAATGGCTTTTGCATCTGCCTCTCCATTCTCACAGCCTCCACGGGAATTCTGCCTCTTGGTGCTTTCGCCTGTATTGCTGTTAACAGTCTCTTGGCTGTTCTCTCTATTTGCTCCCAAGTCCAATACATATTACACACTGCTCACTGCCAAAAGCTTTCAAACTCTTTCTAACTGCCAACAGAATCATGCCCAAATTACTTAGCCTGGAGTTCAAATTGCTCTGTGATCTACCCCAAACTGCTCTTCGTTTGGTAAATGTTTATTTAGTAACAATTCAACGTCTGCCTCTGATTTAGGAAGGAAAGATGAATAGGCCAGGGTCCCTGCCATGGAGCAGTTTAGAACCTTGTGTTGGAGGCAGAAATGTGAATAAAAAACTGTATCCTCAGGTTTCCATAGACACTGGTATGTGTAAACTCATCCATATGCAATATTTTTCAAATATTCTCATAATTGCAGATGCTGTAGGTGCCTCTCTGGGACCCTCTTTACCTGGTTGGTGCACCCAGCACCCAGTTGCTGTGTGTTGACCCCTTCTCTGGAGAACTGCCCTCCATGCTCCCTCCTTACTCACCCCCAGCCCCCCTTTACCCTCCAAGGTAGCTCACAGCCAAAGGCTAGCCTGGTTGTCTCAGGGGCAGGACAACTTCGCCTGAAGTTTATACTTCTGAGCTCCCTGTGGTTCAAGCCAAGGTTTGTTTTACCTGAGAAAACATCTACTCTTCCTCTTCTCTATCTTGTTTTCCTCACTCTCTTAAACAGGTTTCCTGAAAAACATTTCCTTAATAAATCACATGCACCTGAATCTAGTCTTAGGCTCTCTTTCCATGGCACCTGACCTGAGATGGTTGTACCAGTTTACCTAAAAGTAGACTCTAAGATGCATTTCTGGAGGGGGCTCACTTACTGTTCAGCTGGTGATGAGAACCCCTGTGAGGGATACATGCTGATGAGCCCTGGTGTGCAGTAGCAGAACAGCTGCTAAAACTGTCATCTGGAGAACTGGGGCAGCATAAAGGGGAGGGGGAGGCACCAACATAAGTGATACTTCTGGCACTGAGCGATAGGGAGAAAAAGTAAGTATAAGGACTGTGGAGATGGGTGGCTGTTGTTGGGAGCCACTGATGCTTTGATGAAAGAACATGACAAGCTCAGGGCAATCAGTTACCCATTTTGAGCAAAGTGTGAGAATCAGAGGGCCTCCTTGGTCGCATTTAAAGAGGTTTTCATCTCCTTTAGCTAGAAAAGGGAAGACATAAAGACCAGGCACAAGATTTGACTGGATAGTGCTGTAGATCTTCAGAGAAGGCTGAATTCTCAGCTTAGGTAAGTCACCTCTGCCAAAGTTAGGCCCTTCACAGGGAAGCCATGGGGTCTTGAGACAAGAATGGTATGTGAAAGAACCTTGAACCCTAAGGCTCTCCTGAGCACTCTTGGACTATAGAAGTAATCCACTTACTCTTATTAGAAAATGGAGATACTCCTACTCCATTCCTGACATGTTTGAAGACAATGCAAAATCTTAAACGATTTCAGGTGTCTTAAATGAAATGTACACCTTCCTCAGGATCTGCCTGTACTACTCCTCTGACCACTTGCCTGATAATTAGGGTCAAGTTTCAGCATGATCTGACTGGGAAAGTGTTGGATCTTTGAGAGGGATCTGGTTAACATGTACTAGTAGCAACTGGGAAAGGATGGTCGGATATGAATCCTGATGATGCTAGACCAAGGGGCAGAATATGAAACTGGGGAAGGGGAGTTTGTTGATTTGGGGGTCACCAGTGATCTAGGATTTAACACTCTCTCAAGGGCTCTGGAGCCCTGGGAGATGGATCTAATGTGTTGCTGGAGTAGCTCTTAGAACCTTGGCAAAAACTGTAGCCCAGACTAAAGAAGAGGTGCCAGAACTGCTGTAGCAGGCTGTGGAAGAAGGACTATAAGACAAAGAAGTAAGCATGCTAGAATGGATCTAAGATACAAGACTGGAAACCCCACCAACGGACTATGTTTTGGGGGACATCTGGAGGACATTCCATTTACCAAGACAGTAAGGAATGAACTGGTAAGAGGGGCACCAACATTCCTGAGAAGTAGAATATTGGGTATCCTCCATAACCTGCTAGGATAAACCACTATGAAACTAAGCTGCTATGTATCAAGGTGGAGAAGAGAGCCTCAGACCATCAAAGGCTGGGTAGCACTTAATTCTTAAAAGCAAGATGGGTATAATTATATAGGCAGCAAGGTTGGAACAGGAGACAAGGGAGCCTGACTCACAGGAATCTTCTGTGGAGATGATTAATAGAACATGGTGTTCCTAGGAGCGAGATAGGTGAACAGTCAACAAAAGTATTGCTTAATATCCATAATCAAAAGTGATCAAGAATGAATTGGCAGAAGGATAGGGTCAGCTGCCCTAATGGAAATCCATGATCCTTGCCCAAGTTCTAGGCCTGAGCCACTTCTCAGACACAGAACCCAGTGACTGAATGAGAGTCCAGGCCCCCATGAGGAAAGAGTCTTCAACAGCATGCTAAGTGTGATTCTCTCACTTATTTCCCAAAGAAGTCTATGGTTATTTACTCGAGTCTACTGGGGAGAAAAAAAATCTGGATTTTCCCAAGGGTTGGTGGATATAGAATCAGAGCTGATGTTGATGATCAGGTACCCAAAGTGCCACCATATTCCCCTATTAGAATAGAGGAATATAAGGTTCAGGTAATAAATGGAGCATTGGCCCAAGTCCATTTCACAGTGGATTCCTAAACTACACAATGATCATTTCCCCCAGTTCCTGAACATGCCATTGTATGGACCTGCTTAGCAGTGGACATTGATTCTTTCACCTGTATGATAAGAGCTCTTATAGTTCTAGGAAACGCCAAATATAAGCTTGTGACCTGCCCAATCTATACCCACTCCCTACCAAGCCAAGATAGCAAATAAAAAAATACTGCAAATCAGAGGCATCCTCAAAGTGCTGCTCTCAAGACTTGGTGGTGGTTCCCATCATTTTCCCATTACCAACTTAGCACAAACATAACCAAGTTGTAGTCTTGTTTGTATCTGTTGTACTAGATGGAGTATCTGTATCAGAGTAGATTAACACCATGCTGGCCCATGATATGCAGCCATTGAAATGCAAAATGTGCTCTTTTCATCCTCATGAAGAAGAAGGAACAGAAGCAATTTATATTTATTTGGAATGGGTTGTAGTGTCCATTCAGTTCTGCCCCAAGGTTGTTAATTCTGCTGTTCTCTGTAGCCATATATCTCAAAAGGATGTGGACCATACAGATATTCTGCCAAATAATACACAGATCCCTTGTACTGGAGGATAATGAAGTGGGTCCCTTGGTCCAAGGTGATGTTATGTGGTCTCCCACAGTAAGAATCAGACACTCCACAGCCTTTGTCAGCATCACTCTCTGAGGGCTCACAGAGTATCTGACTAACCAGTATGGGAAAACATACTATCTTCTCAGCACAAGGGACCTGATTTACAGCAGAAGAAGTATAGGAGGAGTCATCTGACTTTCTTTCAGAGCCACTGCGCCTACACTAACCATGGCATCCAGAAGATGCTGACCTGAGATGACAGAGGAATGGGGCTCCTTAAAGGCACATCAGCTTTGCTAGCTTGGAAATGGCACCCTGTGAAATGGGGCAGTGTTCTTTAGAATGTTAGTTACTAATTGAACCAATGGCCTTTATATGATGTTGTGTCCTCAAAAGGGAGAAAATACGGGTTTAGGAACCAAGGAGGAGTAGCCTAGCTCATCATCACTCCCAGTGACCATGAGAATTAGGGCTTCTTTTCCTGGCAACATTAGGCTCCGTGGGTCTAGATGTCTTGATTCTTGGGCAGGGACAAAGAATTCCACAATCTTAAAGCTATGGCTGCTGCATGGTCACCTGGGCTCCTGATGCCTATAGACCAGCAGGCATGGAAGGAATCCCCACAACTGGTAGGGCTGTTACTGTATAACGGGATACAAGGGCTATGTATGGTAGCTAAGGTGAGCCACTGAGGCACCTGAGGCACCTTTGGAGCTCCCATACATGTGGTTTGATAAAGGGATGGTAACCTGGGGCTCAGACCCTAGAAGGATGAGAGTCTAGGTCATCTACCCAAGAAGTGCTAGTTGAGGATTAGGGGAATCTAGAATGGGTGGCAAGGAGGGAGGGAGATAGCGAGCATCAGTTACAACTTTAGGACCCACTGCAGCAGTGGGAGGCGGATCTGCTTTCATAAACTTCCCCAGGAATTGTGACCATGGAGAAGCTGTGTCTGCAAGGAGTGAACTTAACATAAAAGCAAATGGGCAGGGTCAGCTTCAGGGGCATGCAGCCTGTGGAGTCACATAGGGCCCCATGCTCAGAAGAGCCCATGTTTGGCATAATGCTCTTCTGTGACCATCTAAAAATAATTTTACCTTTGAAGTTGTCTTATAAGTGGAGTCCCTTAGGATGATGGAGCATGCACATGAGCTGAAGAGATAAGCACAGTATGTGTCTGCTTCCTTGGTGCCCCACTCACATACAGTGCCTGTGATGCCCATGAGAATAGGATTCAAATGGACCTACTATGCATTCAGTGAGGCTCAAAGTGAGTATAAAGAAAGTGTGTTACATCTATGATTGAATAAATAGGGGCACTGACAGTTTCAAGAAGCCAAGCTTTTTGTTCCAGCGAGAACTCGAAAGCAGGAAGAAGGTGAAGGCATTCCAAGAAACACATTATTTATTTTACTTCTCTGTATAAGTCAACAACTTACACTGAAAACGATGGCTAGAAGGAAGGAGGAAGATAGAGCAACTCATAGTCTCTTTCACTTTCGGTCCTTCCTTACTCATCAGTAAGCTGAACATAGCGTTGGTAGAACACATATCAAGAAGTGAAGTAAAAACAGCTGAGTCAGTTTCGTGTAGCACTCCCACTGTTCTGGGAGGAACAAAATACAAATACATCTATAACTGCAAACCACAAATTGTGTAACTTCAGTGATGATACGTATGAGTTCAATTCCCTTATTTTTGCAGATAAAATTGGTATTACATACTATAAAGATGAATAGTATGACTCACGATAATAATTTCAAATTTTTAAATATATTTTATTGATTATACTATTACAGTTGTCCCATTTTCCCCCTTCCCTCCCCTCCACCCTGTACACCCTCTCCCACCCATATCCCCCCTTTAGTCATGTCCATGTGTCATACTTATAATTTCTTTAGCTTCTACATTTTCCATACTATTCTTACCCTCCCCCTATCTATTTTCAACCTATATTCTATGCTACTTATTCTCTGTACGTTTTCCCCCTCTCTCCTCCTCCCACTCCCCTGTTACTAACCCTCCACATGATCTCCATTTCTGTGGTTCTATTCCTGTTTTAGTTGTTTGCTTATTTTCTTTTGATTTTGCTTTAGGTGTGGTTGTTAATAATTGTGAGTTTGCTGTCCTTTTACTATACATGTTTCTTATCTTCTTTTTCCTAGATAAGTCCCTTAAACATTTCATATATTAAGGGCTTGGTGATGATGAACTCCTTGAACTTGACCTTATCTGAGAAGCACTTTATCTGCCCTTCCATTCTAAATGAGAGCTTTGCTGGATAGAGCAATCTGGGGTGTAGATCCTTGTCTTTCATGACTTGGAATATTTCTTTCCAGCCCCTTCTTGCCTGTAAGGTCTCTTTTGAGAAATCAGCTGACAGTCTGATGGGAACTCCTTTGTAGGTCACTGTCCCCTTATCTCTTGCTGCTTCTAGGATTCTCTCCTTCATTTTTACCTTGGCTAATGTGATTATGATGTGCCTTGGCGTGCTTCTCCTTGGGTCCAACTTCTTTGGGGCTCTCTGAGCTTCCTGGATTTCTTGGAAGTCTATTTCCTTTGCCAGAGTGGGGAAGTTCTCCTTTATTATTTGTTCAAATACGTGCTCAATCTGTTGCTTTTCCTCTTCCCCTTCTGGTACCTCTATAATTCGGATGTTGGAACATTTAAAGATGTCCTGGAGGTTCCTAAGCTTCTCCTCGTTTTTTTGAATTCTTATTTCTTCCTTCTTTCCTGCTTGGTTGTTTTTTTGTTCCTTCTGGTCTACTCTATTGTTTTGAGTCCCAGTTTCCTTCCCTTCACTATTGGCTTTCCGTGCATCTTCCTTCATCTCTTTTATGGTAACCTGCATTTTTTCATGTAATTTGTGCCCAAAAGCAACCAATTCTGTGAGCTTCCTGATCACCAATGTTTTGAACTGTTCATCTGATAGATTGGCTATTTCTTGGTCGCTCAAAAGGATGAGTGGGGGACTGATCTGTTCTTCTGTTGGAGACATGTCTCTCTCTCTCTCTCCTTTCCCTCCACCCCGGATCTGGTCGCTCTTGTTACGGTGAGGGGTGGAGCCTTAGGTGTTCACCTGGGCTGGGCACCCCAGTCGCTAGATTGTGACGTTGTATGTGGGGGTGGGGGCGAACAATGGTGGTAGCTCCGTTCTCCTGGGATCTCAGTCCCTTCTTTGGGATCCTGGGTTGTGCGCTCTGCCCTGGTCCACAATGCCGACTCACTGGGTCCGCCCGCTGCCACTTGCGTACTCAGGGTCCACCGCTGTGTCCCGGAAGGCTTACGCGCTCCCAGTTGCCTTATGTGCCCAGTTCTCTCCGATCTCCACGCGCCCGCTCCTCCTCTCAGCCCCTCCTACCAGTCTGGATGAATGGGTCTACTTCAACTTCTTGGCTGTCCAACTTCCATTCAGATAAATTCTCTATCAGTTCTGGGTGTTATTCTGCCTCTAAATTGTTGTTGTTCTAATCTTGGTTGTGCGTGGAGGTACGGTGCGTCCACCGATGCCTCCATCTTGCCGGAAGTCCAATAATTTACATTTTTAATATTTCTTTAGTTAGAATAACCTTAAATAGCAAGTAAAAAACACCTTGACAAGAGAGAGACTGTGGAAGAAAATTAAGCTTTACATTTTCCTACCTTCAATGACCCTTTTACTTAATTTTTGAACAAGGGGCCCTGTATGTAGGTCTGAGCATCCAAGGAGCAGACTAGTTGATGCCACTCTATCCAGCCACCAGTTCCTGTTACTGCTGGTGGCTCTTACTCACTGCTGCTCCCTTCTCTTGAGAATTGCCCTTGGCTGAGGGGAGCCCCTCACTTGGGAGGTTGCCTGCATCTATCCTGGCAGCCCGGGGGTCATGACTGACTGATATGGGAATACAACAGGCAGGCCATTGGGCCTGGAGGGAGGACAGCTCTGTTGTGCCAATGCATGCTTCTGAGTTTCCACTGTGGGGCAGGTCCAGCCTGGACTCTACCCCAGACATGATCCTTGCTCACTTTCCTCCTGGACAGCCCACTGCTCTCTCTCCCTTACAGGTTTCTCTTGATGAGTGCTCCCTCAATAAAGCTCATCCACCGGAATCTCTGTTGTAATCTCTGCTTCTAGGGAACCCAGCATAATCAGCATGTACATGCACACACACATTTATATAAAATGAAACAAAAGTTTCACCAAAAAATATGCCCTTCTTTGTATTCTTCTGCTGTGCTATGCTGACCCTGTCCAATGATTGTATCATCTACTTACTAATAGGCATGACCTACAGTTTGAAAACTACTGATCTATGGGACACCAGAGGAAGAAGCAATTAATTGTGTCCAGATGTCAGGGTAGGGAATGTAAGGGAAGAAGTCTGAATTGGGTCTTAAGGAGTTGGGGGAAAGTCTGCAAATCAGTAATACAGAGGTGGTCACTTCGGGCAAGAGTTTGGAGAGCAGCTTGTGAAGGCTTTGAGTGCTGCTTCTTAAAGCACAGTCATAGGCTATTGTATCAGAATCACCTCGGGGTGCTTGGCAAACATGTGTATTTCCTGACAGTCTTAGATTCCCTGATTCAGAATCTCAAGGGTGAGGCCCTAGAATACATGTTTGAAACAAACCCCTGGGTTATTCTTACACACAGTAAAATTTGAGGCTGACTGATCTGTGCCACTGGGAGCACATTCAGGTGGACTTCTCATTAGGTGGACTTCAGATGGAGAAGCCTGGAGAGCTAGAGAAGGCTTCATGGGCAGGCAGATGGTAAGAGAAACAGGAGGAAGAGCAAAGCCACTAGGACTGATGTGCACGGGTGCAGTGGGAGACACACTCCACGCAGCCTGTGCAGACCCTGTCGGCCAGAGGTAGTTCTCCCTAACCTGAGGTCCTCACTATGTATATGCACCTTTTTCATGGACTTGCCCACCTGCCACACATTAGTGTACATGGCTCATTTCCTAACAATGAGCTTAAGGACAGTTTCCAAGGCTAAATATTTCTGTTGTCTCTCATTCAACCATTCAACTATTTCATTCACTTAACAAGTTGTCTTATAACAACAACAGTAACAAGAAAAAGTCTTTTATATGAAATGAACAGTTTTAGGTGCTAAGTTGGTAAACAACACAACCAACATCTGTTTGCTTTTGATTTTTCAATAAGCCCATTCACACACATACACCAGGACCTCTCAGTAAAGACCCCAGTGTAGTGAATGAATGAACAAATGCATGGACCTAAAGCAGTTCCGACTCTGAGTGAATAATAGTTGACTGGCTGTAAGGTCCTTGGGTCTCCTCCAGGCTTCTGAAACTGCTGGAGGCAGGGCCCTGAGGAGGCTGTATGGTCCTGGCCCTCACACCAGCACTGACCAATGACAACCACTTCCGAATCAAGGGCACAGCCCAGTGCCATCCCCAGGGACGGCAGCATTTTTTTTTCTTTTCTCCAACTAGGAGAAGAGCCATTCTTCAGCACAGTGCCCTTTCTTGCTAAAATGACAAGAAATTGTGAATTCATAGTACCTGACTCTCCAACTCCTTGGAATCCAGCATTCCAGACATTTTTGTTGTGAAAAGTAATAGGGGCTCTAATTACTTGGAGCTTGTCTCTTCCTTCCTCCATTCTGCTCTGGAGGATGATAAGACCTTACTCTGACTGAGTACTTCCATGGGTCAGGCTCGGTTGTCAGTGTGTCACTCGGGTGACTTGTTCATTGCACAACAGACCACGGCCATGAAGATATGGCTTACCTCACTCTGCTCATCACCATGCATGCTCTGTTTCTGATTTCTCTTCAGTATTATATTTCCATTGTCAATTATGAAATCATTTCCTTGCTGTTGCAAATACACATCACATGTAGGCAAAGTTGTGGCTAATATCTTAAAAAAAAAGAAATGACAGAATAAATAAGCAACAAAAGATCTAATGATCCTGAAGTTCAAAAATTTCAGATTATACTATAATTTAAAAGATAATTATGATTCTTATTCAATAGCCTCAGGAAGCAGTCATGGAATAATTTTTTGTTTTCCTGTGAAAATGGGAAATTTTGGTGGTTCTGAGACCAAGTACTGATTTTTATTTTTAAAGGATGCTATCCTAGTGAAATTCTAAACTGGGAAAATACTTATTGTTATCAACTGGCTTCATGATGTTTAAGAAAAAGTACAAATGCTATGTTTTAACATGAAATGTCAAGAAGAAGGCTGTAGAAAATCAACAATAGGAATGGTACAAGATTCCAAGATTAATGAGCTATTGTAACTTCTGACACACTCCTGACTAATTCCTCTTAGTTCTCACAATTTGCAATATTTGGCCTTCTGAGTTCCCATGAGAGATTATACCAGGATAGCCAAATTGTACCAGCCAGACAGAAGCAAAGGAATTATATTCATGCAACTCCAGTTTCTTTAAAATTTTGGGTTTTGTGGGCTTCTCTTTCATATCTTCTTAGTCAATCAGCAGCAACCTAGTTAGAATCTCCAATTGCTTGTTTCCAAATGTTCACTGTGCCCTGAACATTGGTGTTTGCTTCATGATGTTCACTGTTGGTTTTATATATAAGGTTTTTAATTTCACAGGTGCCCTGGTTGCTCTGCATGGGCATGCAGTGCTGTGGTCAGCTGTGGCCCTTTAAGAACCTCTTATCCTGCTGGTGCTCACTGTTCAGAGTCTGAGCCATGATCTCTGACCGCTCTTCCACCCATCTGTGAGGGGGACCTTCGGACAGGCCCCACTGAGATTATGTTTATTTGTCCTCATCTTTTTTTCCTTTTCCTCACCAGTTGTGTTCATCTTATAACACAGAATTATAAACTTTAATTTTATACAGAAAACACATTATGGAATCAGCTATATACTATACTATATTAAATTCTGTACTATGTTAAATCCAATCAAGATTAACTTTTGTGACCACAGGTAATTTCTATTAAGAAAACAAACCAGTACTTTCCAAACTGCATATGAGTCACCTGGGGACCTTGCTAAGATGCAGACCTGATTCAGTGGGTCTGGGGCGGGGCCTGAGACCTCCTAGCCCAGTGAACTCCCAGGTGATGATGATATTGATGGTTCGTCCACAGACCACATTTTTAGAGCAAGTGTGTTGCTGCAGACTGAATGTTTGTGTCGTCCCCTGCAAATTCATACATCCACAAGGTGATGTATTTGCATGTGGGCCCTTTGGGAGGTGATTAGGTCATAAGGGTAGAGTCCTTGTGAATGGGATTAGTTTGCCCTTATAAAAGAGGCCCCAGAGAGCTTCTTTGCCACTTCTGTCATGTGAGGAGTCAGCAAAAAGACAGATGTGTATTAGCTAGAAAGTGGGCTCTCCGCAGACACTGAACCTGCTGGTGTCTTGATCTGCAGGAAATAAACTTTTGTTGTTTATAAGCCACCTAGTCTATGGTATCCTTGTTATTGCAGTCCAAACACACTAAGAGAAATAGATATACAAGCATACCTCATTTCATTGCATTGCTTTATTTCACTTCTCAGATGTGGTGTTTTTTATAAATCAGAGGCAAGAGGCTCCATCCCTAGCAACTTACAGCTGTTAACAGGTACTTTTCCATATGAATAGCTCATGCTTTACAACTTCCCAAATCTTTTCAAACAAGCAACAGCCAGCCTTAGTGAACCCCTAGCCTCTGAACTCCTACTCCCTAACCTCTTGCTAAGTGGCCTAAGGCATGGCACTAGCAGCAGCTAGCCTCGATTCACAACTTGGCTTCACCTGGGAATCTCCAAGCCCAGCAGAAGTAGCAGACATCTCAGATTGCTTTACAGCTTATACAGGGTGGCCCCAGACAAAATACAGGTGGTGGCTGACCTTGGGGTCAGGACCACCCAGGAAACCCCAGTGGACAGCTACAGATCACTTCGGAGTACTGCCACCCTACCCTGCGCAGCCGATCCACCGTGGAGGGTGGAGGTTTATGGTTAATGGTCATAGTCAATCCTTGCAGCTGACTAGCCTGGGTAAGTCTTTCCCATTGATCTGCCAACAGTAACAAAGGCTCAGCTATGAGGAGGGTGTACTCACCCCACAGGAAGGGCACACCTTGAGTACCCAGCTTGGGTAATAGGGGAGGCTGTGCCACTGGACCCTATAGGACATCTACTATATGAGGCCATGCTACCAAGACAAGGAGTCATAGCAGCTCTATTTAATACATAGAAACAAACACAGGGAGGCTGCCAAAATGAGGAGACAAAGAAACATGGCACAAATGAAAGAACAGATCAAAACTCCAGAAAAAGAACTAAATGAAATGGAGATAAGCAATCTTTCAGATGCAGCATTCGAAACACTGTTTATAAAGATGCTCAAGTAACTTAGTGAGGACCTCAGCAGCATAAAACGACCCAGTCATATAGTGTATAAAGGATACACTATAGGGAACCTATCAAAATGTCATGGCAAATGTAGCCCAGGCCCTGATTTGGAAAACTGACAGGGAGCAAGTTGACACATAGGAGCCGAGCCAATGGGATCGGTTCTCCCGTGGGTAATCAGGCCTGCATTGTATATAGGCTCTTATGAGGCTTGCTTTTTGCTAAAACTTTCTTACCCTGAATTGAGGCAGCAAATGCTTACTGCATATCTTTAAAGTAACTTCCTAAAATCTGTGCTAAACCTCCCAAATATGGAGTATAACCAGTTCAACCACTTTTCCCCTTAATCTGCAACATCCTTCCCTTTGACGTAATTAGCAACATTCTTTCCTTTGTTATCTGTAAAAGGTAATCACCTAAAAGCTAACCTGCGCATAGTAAATGAGGACCATCCCTGATGTAATATGCCCAGAGAAGCAACAAAAGCTTGTCCAGGCAGGGGTCAAGGCCCTCTCTCTCACTTAGAGAGCAGCCATGCCGTCCCTTTTTTCTCCACAGGACTTCTGTAGTCGATGTGAATTTGTTTGTCACAGCCACAACACATGGACCCCATGGACTAGAGTCTGCATCAATACACTAATTGAAATGAAGAACAATTTACAGAGAAACAATAGTAGGGTAAATGAAGCTGAGGATCAAATCAATGATTTGGAACATAAAGAAGAAAAGAAACAACCAATCAGAACAACAAGAACAAAAAAGAATTAAAAAAAAATGAGGATAGTGTAAGTTGCCTCTGGGACAACATTAAGAAGTCCAACATTCACATCATAGGAGTGCCAGAAGGAGAAGAGAAAGAATGAGAAACTAGAAATCTATTTGAAAAAATAGTGAAAGAAAATTCCCTTTTGATGAAGGAAATAGACATGCAAGTCCAGGAATCACAGAGAGTTCCAATTATGATGGATGAAAAGAGGCCCATTCTAAGACACATCATAATTACAATGCCAAAGTTTAAATATAAAGAGAGAATCTTAAAAGCAGCAAGAGAAAAGATGTTACTTAAGGGGAGTTCACACAACTCTGTCAGCTGGTTTCTCAAAAGAAACTTTGCAGGCTAGAAGGGCTTAGCAAGAAATGTTCAAAGTCATGAAAAACAGGGACCTTCAGGCAGGATTTCTCTACCCAGCAAAGACATTATTTAGAATTGAAAGGCAGATAAAGAGCTTCCTAGACATGGAAAAACTAAAGGAGCTCATCATCACCAAACCATTATAAATGAAATATTAAAGGGACTTATTCAGGAAAAAGAAGATAAAAACTATGAACAATAAAATGGCAATAAATACATATGTATCAACAATTGAGTCTAAAAAAACAAACTAAGCAAATAAGAAAGGAGAGACAGAATCATGGATACAGAGGGCATTTTGATAGTTGCCAGATGGGAGGAGTTGTGGGGGAAATGGGTAAAGAAGTGAGGGAATTAAGAAGTACAAATAGGTAGTTACAGAATAGCCACGGGGATGTAAAGTACAGTGTAGGAAAGGGAGTAGCCAAAGAACTTATACACAAGACCCATGGACATGAGCAATGGTGTGTGGATTGCCTGAGGGAGTGGGGGCCACTGGGAGGAGGTGGACAAAGGGTGAAAATTGGGACAAGTGAATAGTAGCATAATCAACAAAAAATAATTAAAAAATAAAAATAAAAATTATGTACACTTAAAAAAACAAGAACACTGAGGGTAGTCTTCATCATGTCATTCCCTTGCTTGGAATGTTTCAATGAGTTCTCATTGTCCATAGAATAAAATTTAGTCTCTTTAATAGGAGAATCTAATGTTTCTTTCCAATACTTCTTCCTTATATAAATTTCCTGTTCTACCTGTGAATACAACTGCATTTTTTTTCTCTGAATCATTACTTACAACTTTCCCTGGCTGGACTATTTTCTCACCTAGTGTACTAATTGAGATTTATTGTTTACAAGTTTCAGGCCAAATTATTCTGTCTCTGTGTTAAGCCTGTTCATAGAGGATCACCCATGGCCAAAATTCTAATGCACTTACTGACTCCCCTTTTCATGTGGCACTGTCCCCACCCTGTACTAGCTATGTATGTAAATGTAGTAGCTATGGTTAGGAACTCCAGAAGGGCAGGGACCCTAACTAATCCCTTTCTATGCCACCCTCAGCTTGAAGCTCAGCATTATGCATGTGGATGGGCAACACACTGATGGTTGAGAGCAAATTTTGAAAGCAGATACAGTTGGGTTTCAGTTCAGGCCCCTTTGTCTGCCAGCTGTCTGACTTTGGGCAAGTTACTTAACCTCTCTCATGTTTTCCCTCATCTGGAAATTACAGATGGTAATAGCTAAGTTGTTTGGAAAGTGAAGTAAGATAATGTATATAAAGTGAAAAGCACAGAGCATTAAATCAGAGGAAGTTTTATTTACATAGCAGCACACAATATGTATTGTTAAATGAATGCATGGATAATTAAAAAGTGTCTAACTTATTAACCTTTAAACACTTAACATCCATCCTACCTTTAATTCCTTTCCTTTGTCATATGTATTATTTTCCAATCCTGTGAGCAATTTTCCTTGCCTTTTAAACACATTCTGTAGCCTTACTATTTTTCTTTAAGCCATGGAGAGAGTAGTAAGGAGTCACGTGAGCCATTCTATTCACAGTTTGGAGCTGTATTTGCATGTGTGATATTATCCTATTTAACTGCTTGTCAGCATCTGTCACATGGTGCATACTGAATAAATCTTAAGTAACATTCCATCTATTTTAGATAATCATGTTTGTTTTGTGTATTCTTACCCCACAAAATGGAAACTATTGTATTTATGGTTGTAGAAGACACTCTTGTGTTTCTTCTTTACTCTCACAGTATTACCACACTCACAACACTCCCGACACTGGATCTGTGGGTTTATTCCCATGCTCACCAAGTCTCTGACCCCAGGTGGCTGTCCTACAATTTGATTCAGTTCTGACACTATCTACCTGGAGTTAGCATGAGATCCCACAGGTTAAGAGCTCAGTCCTATAAGACTGCCTCTCCCCTTCCAATGCAAAACAGAAGTAGAGGTTGATACTTGTACTTCTGACCTATTGGCTGCAAATGGGGTTTCTGTGACCCCCTCCTTGGGTTTAACAAATTGCTAGGATAGCTCACAGAACATCATACTTACATTTACTGGTTTCTTATATAATAAAGGATGGGATAAAACATGCAAATGAACAGTCAGATGAAGAGATACATAAGGTAAGGACTGGAAGGGCCCAGGTACAGGAGCTCCTGTACCCTTGGAGCTAGGGTGCACCACGCTCCCAGCACATGGATGTGGTCATTGGTGTGGAAGCTCTCTGAATCCTGTACTTCTGGGATTTTTATGGAGGTTTCATCACACAGGTATTAAGTCAGTATCCTTCCCTCTCCCAGCCCTGGAGGATGGATGGGGGATGGGGCTGAAAGTTTCAAGCTTCTAATAATGGCTTGGTCTTTCTGACCAATCCCCTTCCTGAAATTACCCAGAAGCCCATTCAGAGTTGCCTCACTAAAATAAAGGACACTCTTACCTACTCCTACTGTTCAGGAAATTCCAAAGGATTTAAGAGCTCCGCATCAGGAGCCAGGTCAAAGACTTAATATGAGAACAAAAGATGTTCCTAAGTGCTCTTACTACTAAAGAATTACAAGGGAGTTAGGTGCTCTGTGTCAGGAGCCAAGACAACTCTGTATTTCTCTACTAATCCACAATAGGCATAGCCTACACATATGTACCAACATTCCTTTCCCAAAGTTTTTTTCATCACCGTTATAAAGACGCAATGTTAAAACCCATGAGAAAGAATGCAGACACAGAATTGTTTCACTTCGATTTCTTCCCCCTACAGTTGTAAGCCTCCTGCTGCTCCAATTCCAGTTATTAAAACAGCAAATTCCAAGGCTCATGGTAGAATTTTTTTATCCTTTATGCATTTTTATCTCTTTGAATTTCTATCAGTGTCCTGATAAGGAAGAGAGTCAGGAAATGACTTAGCCAGTGGAAGCTGGAATGAGTTCCCAGTTTTCTCCCCAAATCCTGTCTTCAGAGTCGACTTCCCCATGCTTTCTTTCCTGGAAGAACTGCACCTCACATTACCATCCCCTTTGTCATCTGTCCCGCCTCTGGCTGGAGTCACATGCTGGAGAATGTTATGGGAATCTAATTTGCATTTTCCCCTAATCATTTCACATGTGTGTGTCTGTGCCTATAACAGAACTTTAAGAAAAATATTTTTAGGAAAAATATCTGTGGATGAAAAATGGGCTACATACTAAACCCGACAAGCTCAGGGGAGGCCTGCAGAGCAGCCTTACAAACTCAGAAACCAAAAGTAACCACATGGGATGGTCCGAAATTAAAACTTCTTAACTAAAAGCGAGTCATGGTGGGTAGTCCTGTCCTAGGTCAGTATCCCCCCTGACAAAGGTCAGTCTTTACCTTAACTGAGCCTGTCTATTGTCTCTTTGCATCTATGATAATTTACATTTGGAATGTCAGGGTAATTTCCCCTCCTCATCCCTACCCCTCACTGTGCCAGAGCAAAGACCACAAAAACCCTCTTTGTTATTGTTATCATGTTAATTGTTAACTGTTAACTATCCTCTACCCACCTTTGTAACAGTGCCTATTCCTTTTTATCTAGTCCTAGAGATTTTCCTGCTTTGCTTTCTCCTGCCTCCCTAATCTATCACGAGTGGATTTCATTAACCCCCTTAAATCTTCCTCTTTGATTCTGATGTAGGAAATAAGTGGTAAAACTCCCACTTTCCGGAGCACTTTCCCAATCTGTTGAGATTTTGCTTCCTGGCAGTTGTCATCAGTTGGCTCAAATAAAGTCCTGAAAATTCTTACAGGTTTGGATGTTTCTTACATTGACATATCCCGCAGGAATGTGACTTGTAGGAAATGAAGTAGAGCACCAAGAGTCACACACTCCTGTGAACACCACTGACTTCAGTGACAACTGCTAATCCCAGAGTAGCTGCAGGAGGATGGAGAGCACATTTACACCGCTTTCCTGTATCTCATTCATTCATTGAATCAATCATTCATTTATTCATTAGCAGACATCTATCAAGTTCCTCCTAAATAACAAGCACTAGAGAGAGCAACAATGGTGAATGGGGCATATATCCCCCTTCCCTCTCATGGGTTACAATGTCATGGGGGAGACAGCCCAGTAGAGGCTCAATAAAGACACTCTATCTTATGGGTACATTCAAAGAGCAAAATTTAAGTCGGTTTTATCACAATTTAATGCAATTAACATATATGTCTCAGGCTCTGGGCTACAACTGGGATACAAAGATCAAAAACGCAGACCACCCTCAAGAATCTATGTAATCTGCAGTTCCATGACAGAATAAACTCTACTCTGATCTGCATTTGTAGGTGAAACCATCTTTTCCAGGCACCTTAGCCATGATCTCAAGGGTATGCTGTATATATTTACTGACATTCCATCAGATGAAGTCTGTAAGGAGAGTAAGTGAAATACAAACCAAAGGGGCAAGTCCTTGGAGTGGCAGGGCTTCCTCCGCCTCATAGAGATAGAAGTTCAAAGAAACAAAGAAGTAGCCTGGGGCTGGTTCAGTGCAGCTGCGGCCAGTGACATGTGGGCGGCATTCACATTGCCCATCCTCGGGAGAACACCTGAGGGAAAACAAATTCATCTCAGAAAGTTGTAGAGGGGGCAAGTGTAAAATGAAGGCATGGGAGTGCTGAGCTAACTGCACCCCAAGTTTGGATCCATTCTTCAAACTGATCAATCAACTGTCCTAGGGAGCATGATGAACAGCCATGGGCCCTAGAAGCCTGGTTTTGAAAAGCAAACCCAGATCCATGAAACTAAGTAGCCACTGCTTTCCCCAGTGGCTCCGACTCTGCTCTAAAATCCAAGAAAAGAAGAGGGTAGGATCCCTCTTTACAGGGTGGCGAAGGGTTAGTGTTTTAGGCAGGTCAGGTCACACGTTTGCAGGCATCTATCCCATGATCTTGTGTCAAACCCAGGCAGTAGAATTGTCATCTCATGCCTGAAAATATTTCAAGTAAAATAAATCAAACTGTGCTCTGGTTAATGTCTTGAGATCATCACTTTTTGATGCTCTTTGCTTGTCATGAAATAAACTCCTTCACTTGTGACTATGAGCTTATCAGAATAAAATGTGCTTTTATGTGGATATGTAAGTGGGGAATATTGTCACAAAACTTTGTTTTACTCATTCTGCTGACTTACACATTAGAATAAGCACCTCCAATATCACAGTCACAGGGAACACATCCATGGAGATGATTTCCCAGTCCCCAGTATCCAACCTACAAAGAGAAAATGCTCCAGGTTGACTCAGGAATGAAGATAATTGCTATGCTGATGTATAATGCTGAAGGTACTGCAATTCAATTGATACCTATCAAATGCCTACACAGCTTGAACAATCACACAGTAGCTTTTTTTTGCCTGTGCACTTGGTAATGATTTTCAAAGACACATAGCTTCCATTCCAAGGACTTGCAATGAAGGGGTCAGTTGAGCTGTCTGTGCGTGAGTCAAGTGGAGATGCTGAGGAAACCGCACAGCCCCTCTGACAGAGCCAATGTAGCCCCAAGCTGGGTTGTTTAACTACCTTATTTGCAACTGCTTTTATAAAAAACAATAGACTCCCTTACTGCAAAATCCCTGGGGATATTTACTTAAACGATACTGAAATATTTGAGTGTAAAAGGAAAGCAGTCAAGCTGATTTTGAGCTCTTATATGAATATCACCGTTCAGTAGAATCACTTGTTTATAAATAAAGTTGTTTTGGCAAAACAATCTCTCTCTGTGAGAGTCAGCTCTGTTGCTTAAGACTTTTCATCATTGCAACATCTTGACCTTTATTCAGTATAAACAGCTGGTGAGATACAAACAACTATTTCTTAAATCTGATAAGATTTACTAGAAAATTATCAGAAAAATACTCTCCCCTTAAGCCTCAATTGAACATGCTCAGATAAAACTAAGCTCTTACTAGGCATGGAATTATTGTTTGAAATGGGTTTGTTAAATAACCATATGTTGTTTTTTAATCTTGGTAAAATTTTATGCCCAATTTTACTTAAGAAGATTTACTTTGAACATTAAAAGTTGACATAATTTGTTACAAACGCCGCAGCAAAGACTTTTGATATTTTTTCCCAAACCAAATTTCAGTTTAGGCAGAAACAATATGAAATGAACTGTGTCACTGAGGACATGCCTGGGAAAGCTTCCTCTGCGCAGGCGGGTACACCACCACACTGGCCACCTCAGCACAGGACCAGGGCACCATTCGACAGATGTGGACGTGGGGCACCTGGCAGGTGCATGATGAGCTCACTGGCAATGGCAGGTGACCCTAGTGTGGCCCTTGCTCGATTATTTTCCTCCTGCGAACACCACTGAGTTAACTGCAAACTGGCAGTTAACCTGTCAACCAAAAAAGTAGGCCTGAATCTAGGGTTTATTGGAATGATCTGCTGTGGTGTCTTCATGGGCCCTGTTAAATGCTCTGTGTGCATCTTCCTGTTGCCCATACTTGGTCACCGAGCTTGGAGTGGCTCACCTTGCTCAGTGGAACTTGGGAATGACTTGCCTGTGTCACTTCGAGTGCCTTCTTCATACTTACTTCCAAGCTGTCTTTCCCCACTTCCTCTGCTCCATCCTCACATGTTTTCAGTAAAATACTTATAATATTAGCACAAAACTATGTCTTAATAGGCATATGTTTCATATTTATCAGCCACATTTCCTCAGACACATCAAGGTCACTGTTCTTTTATTAGGTTAAGATTTTTTTTCCTTTCTAAAATGTCATGGTGGGCTGCCAAGATTGAAGAACAAAGAGCGGGTTTGAACTCCATATTGCATAACACATTTCTTATGGAGTAAAAATGTTTTATTTGACTAATTTTAGACACACATACTCATATGTTTAGTGGAGTCTGTGAAAAATCCAAGAGTTTATTTATCACAGGAATAAATGTTTTTTACATGTTTCTAAGATGTTTTAAAAAACATTTAAGTTGTTTTTTTTAAATGACCCTGTCCAAAATATTTTTAGGCAAGGCGTGGTAAAGGGACTGTGGGCAGAGGACAGAAGAGGCCCCATGATCTGGGAGGCCCAAAGCAGGGGCCAGAGAAATGGTCTCACATCCCACTGCCTGGCACTTTCAGGTGAACAAAGGATAACACTATTGACGTGAGCTATATTCCTTACACTGTACTAATTGTGGTGATATTTTGTAAAGTACATAGATGTCTAATCACTATTTTATATACTAGAAACTAGTATAATATTGTATGTCAAGTACAATTAAATTAAAATTTATAAAACCAGGAATATCAGCCCTGGCTAGGTGGCTCAGCTGGTTGGAGCATTGTCCCGTATACCAAAGGGCTGTAGGTTTGACCCCAGTCCGGCACGTATGGTAGAAAACCAATGATGTTTCTCTCACATTGATGTTTCTTTCTCTCTCTCTCTCTCTCCTTCCCTTTCTCTCTAAAAGCTATAAAAATATATCCTCAGGTGAGGGAAAATAAAAAACAATCCAGGAACATCTTTGAAGCACAATAACACAAAACACAATAAAATGAAACAAACAAAACAAACAAAAAAAACATTGGCATGGGTGCCTGGGTCGGTTCAGTCCAATCTGGTAAATGTTGGTGTGCTGGTAAATGTTTAACCACCAGCTCTCTGCAGGAGGGTGGGAGCTGATTTCCAGTGTTTGCTGATTTCTATAGTATAAATACTTTTAGCACAGGAGTATCCAAACACAACAGGACAAGGAAAGCAATGAGCAAGACCAAGTCTTTCTTAGGCAATGGCAATAGAAATCTGCATCTCTACCTACAAGGGAAATTGTAGACAAATACTACGTACCATGCACTCCTCACAGTGTGGCCCCGTGGCAAAGGGCTGGCACAGGCACTGACCTGTGTCTACATCACAGGTCGAGAGTGGCAGACTCCCCAGAGGGTTACAGTTGCAGGCTGAAAGCACAACACACACAATCATTGATTTCTCTTTCACCCTGTTTATAAATGTTCCTAATAGCTCACACTGAGCAAAACACGTGGCCACAGGAACACAGAACAGCCAGCCCTGCCAAACTTACTGTCTGCCTGGCTGCATGCTTACTGTACTACACACAACCATGCACAGGAAATTCAGTTCCAAACACGTCCAGAGCCCTCATGTAGACCTACTGGATGGCAATTAGGAGGAGACAGTCATGCAAACTGAGTGCCTGGCACTGTTATTCTGAGTAATGCTGGCTGGGTCGCTGACTAGAGGCAAGGGTTTCTGAGTGTCATGGTTGTTACTGATGGCTCCTTCTATGGCTGATGCATCTATTGTTTCCCTATCTATTTCCTCTTTTTTTTTTACCACCTTTTTACATTTTTATTTCCTTCTCCTCCTCTTTCTTTTACACCCATAGACATTTCTGAATCCTTTTTATGTTATGAAGGCTAAAAAATTATGCTAACAGAGCAAGATGTGTATTTCCCATGCATTAAAAACCACTGTTCATTGAAAAGCCCAAATATCATCACCATCAACTGGTGAATGAATAAATGAAGTGTGATGTATTCATACAATGGAATATTATTCAGTAATTAAAAGAAATGAAGACCTGATTCATGCTACAACATGGATGAACTTTGAAAACATTATGCTAAGTGAAAAAAGCCAGATATAAAAGACCACAAATTACAGAATTCCAATGTATGAAATGTTCACAATAGGCAAGTCTTTAGAAACAGAAAGTTGATCAGTGCTACCTAGGGCTGGGGGAATGGGAGGATAGGAAAATAGTAGATAAAGAGCATGGGGTTTCTTTTCTCTGTTTTTGTGGTAGAATATACGTAACATAAAAGTTACTGTCTTCACCATTTTAAGTGTGCAGTTCAGTGGTGCTGGTGCACTCCTGTTGTTGTGCAACCTGTCTCTGGAACTCTTGCCATCTCACAAAACTGAAGCTCTGTTCCCACTGAACACCATCTCTCCCCATTTCTTCCTCCTCTTCAGCACTTGGCAACCACCATTCTACATTCTGTTTGAGTGGATTTGATATTCTAGGTACCTCTTGTAAGTAGAATTATGCAATATTTGTCCGATTGTGACTGGCTTATTTCATTTAGTATACATAGTGTTTTCAAGGTTCATTCATGTTGTAACATGCATCAGAATTTTCTTCTTTTCTAAGGCTGAAAAATATTCCATTGTATATACACATCACATTTTGCTTATCTACTCATCCATGGATGCATATTGAGTTGCTTCCACCTTCTGGCCACTGTGAAGAATGCTGCCATGAACAGGAGTATACAAATACCTCTTCCAGACTGTGTGTTCAATCTTTTGGGTATATAGCCAGAAGTAGGGTGTGGGGTTTCATTATGGGATAATGCAAACATTCTAAAATTATTGTAGTGATGGCTACACAACTCTGACTATATGAAAAAAATTCATTGATTGTACACTTTAAAAGGTGAATTCCATGGTATGTGAATTATACCTCACTAAAACTGTTATAAAAGAAAAACAAAACAAACAAAACCCCCTATTTGGCCACTTCTCAAGGCATTAAGTTAGCCAGTGAACCAGGGAAAATGTCTGGAGTGCTGCACAGTGTTGTGGGCAACTGGCTTGACTATGTAACACATTCTCCTAAAATTTAGTTTTGCCATTAAACTCAAGAAGAAAATCTTATTACAGAAAGATTGAGCACACTGTGCCCAAAAATGAAAATAATATACAGTTCTTTACATGGGCAAGAACATAGTGTATACTGCTGTGATGGAAGGACAATTACTGTATTTTTCAGACTATAAGACACAACTTTCCCCCCAAATTTGAGAGGAATAATGGTTGTTAATGCTGCTGTTGAATTCTGTTTACATTTACATTGTTGAAATATGTTATTAAATATTTTACCACATTTTTTGCTTCAAAAAGTTTTTTCCTATTTTCCTCCTCTAAAACGTAGATGTGTCTTATGGTCTGAAAAATACGTTATTTACGAGGATTCCCTGAGGATTCTGCAGCTCTTTGAGACCCCAGGCAGCTGTAAACTTGTGTGATGCTAAAGCCAAGGGCTTCTTCATTTGGACCCAGAAAACTCTGAGGTTTTTCCTATTTCCCTGCAACCCCTCCCCTGACTCTTTAGTTTTTTCTTTGTCAGAGAACATAAAAATACTAAGAGGGGTTTGAGAAGGAAAGAAAGTAAGTAAAAAATAAAATAAAAAGAAACTAACACACAAAATTTGCGCAAGAAGTCATCAGTCTATACAGAAATGCACGTGATTTAACAGTCTGTATAGGAGAGTCCTAGTGGCAGCTGTTTTTCTCAAGGTTTCACAACTTGGCACCGAAGTTCTTGGCATTTTCCACTCTGTGCTCCAACAGAAAAATGTGAGAGCCCCCTGCTGGTACCTTATGATTAAACTCAGTAAGTCCCTGAGAGTTAAACTATACTAAACTCAACTGAGTTTTATGGGCATTTTTAAATTACTTTTAAAAACCGAGAAGCTGGAAGTACTCTTAGGTATTTACAATGACCAAAGTTCAGAGACGACGGAGATAGCCGAGAGCCTTAAACCCCCCCGGGCCAGTTGCCCAGCTGCTGTTGACTTACGCTGACAGCCCAGGGGGTCAGTGGCACTCAATCCGTAGTGACTGGACTTGCACTGGTCGCACTTGGCTCCTACCACATTCTCCTTACACAGGCATTGGCCGGCCACAGATCCCAAGGCAGAATCGGATTGACTCACACAAATGCCACCCGATACGGTTCCGTCAGGGTCACATTCACAAGCTGGGGACACAGACATGCATTGTCTTAATCAACTGCAAATTGTGGGAAACCTGAAATGTAAGCATAGCATTTTACTTATGCAATAACTGTTTTACTTTGCTTAAATCATTAAGTATGTTTAAATCATTAGACAAGTGGGCAAGGGCTGCTCAGAAATATCTCTCAGATTTCTGGTCTTTGTAAGTGTTGACAAATTCCACCCATTGTTTAAAAAGAGACTTTTAAGTGATTCTAAAGTAAGAGGACCAGAGAAGACAGCTATTCTGAAAACTGGACATTGATAATAGATCGATTCCTTTGGGGATGATGGAAATGTTTTGGAGCTAGGTAGGGGAGATTGTTGCGCAACACTGTGCCACCGCATTGCTCCTGTTAGGAGCACCTGCATGAAAGAAGAGGGGAAGACTGAGAAATGTTCATAGCCTTGTTTTCCTTATGGATGTCTGCTGGTGGGACAAAACCTGAAGAGAATCTGGAAAATGAGATAAAGAGTCACCTTTAGCAAAGGAGCAACAAAAGTTCCAACTTTCCCTTCCCCCCTTTTTTTCCCAGTAGAAACGAACAACTGAAGCAAGGAGTGTCAAATGATAAAGGATACTGATAGTGTGAATAATTCCAGAGGGCAGACATTACTGAAGGTAGAACTCTCTCACAGTGAGAGCTGCCCAACAGAGCAGTGGCCTCCTCACCAGCAGTACTGTCCAGGCTGGAACAGCACTTGTGCCTTTTTAGGGGATGTGTGTGGCAGTAGACATTAGATGACAACCAAGGTCTCGTATCTTTATGGTGCTGTGTTTTCAAGGGGTTCCACTTTTAAGGAATGTAATAAGAATAAAAAAATGAATATCCTGATTCTAAGGAATAATTACACTCACATTTATATATGTCTTCTTTAGATTAATAAAAATAATCCCCTCAGGTCTAAAGCTATATTTACATAACAACCAGTTAGGTTAGTAAGTTTAGTGAAAAAATCCAGTCAAACCAGTTGTTTGGTGTCATTGAAGCACTCACTTGGTTGTCTGACAGAATTTTGCAATGTCAATTGTTTGCTATTAGATTGTGACTTGTGAGAAAATCTTACTATGGAAAAACAGCACTGGATTCTGTTTAGTTTGGAAAGCCACAATTTCTTCTAATTAAAACCATTGTTTCTAGAAAGGAACAAACTGGATACATTTCAGAAGTAGCCAAAAGGAAAAAGCTTGGCTTTATTTGGGAGACATTCCAAAGGGCTAGCACTGAGTTCCAGAGTGTAATTTAAATATATACAGAAGCATCTCTGGGGGCTGTGGGTGAGTGGGTAGTAATTTTACTTTGAAATAACCCTACAACATGGCCTTTAAGATAGAATTTCAATAAAATCTCTTGATGTCACACAACTTAATTCTAACAAACTTTTATTACCAGAGGTTGAGTTTACCAAATCTTTGTTTTTTTCTGTGCTTTAATCATAGAAGAGTTAAAATTATTCAACTCTTATGCTTGGAATCTGATTATGTAAATATTTAGGGTCAAACAAAAACAACTTAGTGGAAATTTATGTATGATTGCTGCTAGTCAGTCTTAATACACGTCATTTGTACAGACATACTTGCACACACGTAAACACGTGTTTAGATGAACTGGGAGAAACTGAAGAGTCTCATGATGGCAGTTTCTACAAGCTCCTCATCTGCCTTTCCTCAAGAAACTCCTTGTTTACAAAGAATGACTTCTTAATTTTGTATCAGGGGTACTAGTTTTCTTTCCTTGGTTTCCTTCAAAAGCACCATCAAGTTAATACTTAAGGAACCATCAAGTTAATACTTAAATTCTTAAGGAACAAGAATTAGTTTAATGTGTTCAAAACATTTGGTTTAGTTATTTCCAATCTCTTTCCATATTCTAAGATTATCTGTTTCAAAACATCATATTTTCCTGATTCCACCTAAGAAAGCAATTTCATCCTCTTTTATAAATACACAGCATAAAAACATAAATAAAAGTTTCGTGTGTGTGTGTGACTATGGATGCTAGTAAAAAAAATGTAGGACATTGATTTAAAAAATATATTTTTTGAGATTTCAGTTCTTTATATAAATTTTAAACAGGCCATGTAAGGTAAAATTTCATGCAATCAGGTACCTACTGAGTAATCAGAGCAAAAAAAATTAATTTATGCTTTTTTTACATTGTGATGATTGAAAGTTTGAAATCTAGAATATTGTATATATTCTGTCAAAAGCTACTGAATTACTTCTGTATAAGACTTCATTTTATGTAGTATGTATTATGCAGTTTCATAGCAAGTCCCCTATACAACATACTGATGATAGTGTGTGAATCAGGATATCTGGGTATTGAGAGAAACAATTTTCCATAAGTCTTGCACATTTAAACATTGTGCTGAGAGTGCTGACAATGCAAGGCCCTGACTGCTCTTTATCAAGGCCATATCTCCACACTGTGTTTGCAGTAAGCTACCTTGAGGAATGAGGAAACATATTCCCCCTGACAAAGAATGAGCTTGTTTCCATTGCTATAAAAGCAGTGAATCCTCTGCTTGATGTTTCCTGGTTCTGAGATAAACTCATTAGGTATACAGGATCCACCTGATATCCTTTGAGTTGCTTCATGGAACTTGGGACTTGGGGACTTGGGAACTCACACCAACACAAACATCTTGCTCCTCTCTGTGCCATGAGGAATAAAGTTCTTTGTCTTTGACCCAGGAGTTTCATGTTCTCCACCAGCATCCATGAAACAATAAAAGGCTAATTTGTTAGTCTTCAAGTAAAGTTCTCAGACCAGGAACTGGCCCTGGGTGTTTGAAATGGGATTAGAGTATTTCTCTTTGCAGGAACTGACAACAATGCTGAGACTAGAGAGAGGCAAGCATGGTGTCTAGGGCACAAAATTTAAAAAGGCACTCTCTGTCAGACCAGTGTGAGTGGTGAGTGTCAGCCCTATGCTTACATGTCTCTGAGATGACACAGAGAGTGAGTGCTTCCTTAAATTTTGGAACCTAGGTGTTTTGTTACTCTAGTCCCATTCCTGCAGGGAAATGCAAGTTGAAATAATGGTGAGATCCCACTTGAGTAGCAAAATTTAAAGCATGATAAAACCAAGTATTGGCCAGGATATGGAGCAAGATGAACCCTTATACACTGTTGGTCAGGCTGCTACTTGGTATACCTGCCTAGGGGACAATTCAGTATTAACCAATATATTTGAAGAAGTTTATGTCCCAGTAATTCCATTCCTAAGTATGACTCTTAGGGACAGTCTTTGTGTGTGTGTGTAGTAGACCACATACATGGCTGCTGTAGCATCAAAATGGACAAATAGATTTTATCAGATTTATAGGAAGGAAGGAATTGCACACAGAAATTAAAATTGGAGATCTAGGACCGCTTGATATAGGCAAATCTTATAAATATAATGTTGAATGAAATACTCAAAGACATAATACAGCATAATATCATTTATCTAAGGTTTGAAAATATGCCAATATGTATTACTTGTAGATAAAAACACATGTGAAAATATAAAAATAAGCATAGTCAGCAGTGTGGTGATTGCTGGCTGGAAGGGGATATAAGGGAACTAAATGGTAATGGAAAAAATACTATAAAGACTAAATTTAAGAAAAGAAAATAAGTAAGGGACTTCTGGCCAAGATGGAAGCATAGGTGAACACACTGTACCTCCTCACACAACCAAAGGAAGGACAACAACAATTTAAAAACAACAAAAAAAAACCCCAATCAGAACCGACAGAAAATCGAACTGTGTGGAAGTCTGACAACCAAGGAGTTAAAGAAGACGTACTCATCCAGACTGGTAGGGGGGGTGGAGATGGGCAGCCAGGCAGAGACGACTTAAGGCAAAGTGGCAGCAGGCGGACCCAATGCCAGATTGTGGAGCTTGGTGCACAAGGCTGCAGATGGCCAGCAGGGTGGTGGCTGGTAGAGTGGACCATCTCACATTCATGTGCAGGTAAAATGCGAGGAACAACTGGGTAGTGGGACAGACTGCACAACTGAGGGCCCCAGTGAGGGGAAATAAAGCCTCACACCACTGATTAAAAACACGTGTGCAGGTTGTGGCAGTGGGAGAAACTCCCAGCCTCACAGGAGAGTTCGTTGGAGAGACCCACAGGGTTCTAAAATGTACACAAATCCACCCACCCAGGAATCAGCACAAGAAGGGCCCAATTTGCTTGTGGGAAGTGGCAGAAGTGACTGAAAGCCAGCAGAGAGTGGACCAAGCACCACTGGTTCCTCTCTGACCGCCCCCCCACATACAGTGTCACAACGCAGTGACATGGGTCACTGGTGAACACCTAAGGCTCTGCCCCTTACTACGTAACAGACAAGACAAAAAAAATGGTCCAAATGAAAGAACAGATCAAAGCTCCAGAAAAAAAATACAACTAAGTGATGAAGAGGTAGCCAGCCTATCAGATGTACAGTTCAAAACACTGGCAATCAGGATGCTGACAGGATTGGTTGAATTTGGTCACAAATTAGATGAAAAAATGAAGGCTATGCTAAGTGAAATAAAGGAAAATATACAGGGAACCAATAGTGATGGGAAGAAAACTGGGACTCAAATCAACAGTGTGGACCAGAAGGAAGAAACATGTAACTGGAAAAAAATGAACAAGAATTCAAAAAAATGAGGAGAGGCTTAGGAACCTCCAGGACATCTTTTATTGTTCCAACATCTGAATTATAGGAGTCCCAGAAGGGGAAGAGGAAGAGCAGCAAGTAGAAAAGTTATTTGAACAAATAATAAAGGAGAACTTCCCCAATCTGGCAAAGGAAATAGACTTCCACGAAGTCCAGGAAGCTCAGAGAGCCCCAAAGAAGTTGGACCCAAGGAGGAACACAACAAGGCACATCATAATTACATTAGCCAAGGTGAAAATGAAGGAGAGAATCCTAGAAACAGCAAGAGATAAGGAGACAGTTACCTACAATGGAGTTCCCATCAGACTGTCAGCTGATTTCTCAAAAGAGACCTTACAAGCCAGAGGGGGCTGGAAAGAAGTATTCCAAGTCATGAAAGGCAAGAACCTACATCCAAGATTGCTCTATCCAGCAAAGCTTTCATTTAGAATGGAAGGGCAGATAAAGTGCTTCTCAGATAAGGTCAAGTTCAAGGAGTTCATCATCACCAAGCCCTTATTATATGAAATGTTAAAGGGATTTATCTAAGAAAATGAAGATAAAAAATATGAACAATAAAATGACAGCAAACTCACAATTGTTAACAACCACACTGAAAACAAAAACAAAAGCAAAGTAAGCAAATAATCAAAACAGGAACAGAACCACAGAAATGGAGATAACATGGAAGGTTATCAATAGGGGATTAGGAGGGGGAAAGATGGGGGAAAGTACAGAGAATAAGTAGCATAGATGGTAGGTAGAAAATAGACGGGGGAGGGTGAGAATCATATAGGAAATGTAGAAGCCAAAGAACATGTACGACCCATGGACATGAACTAAAGAGGGGAATGTGGGCAGGAGGGGGTGTGAAGGGTGGAGGGGACTAAAGGGGGGAAAATGAGACAACTGTAATAGGATAATCAATAAAATATATTTAAAAAGAGAGAAAAAAAGAAAAAAGTAAGCATGGTAATAATTGCTAAATATATTAGAGTTTATCCCTAGAAAGAAGGGTAGACAAATGGGACAGATTGCACCTAGGACATCACTAGTACCTGTAATGTCTTCATAAAGTCTTGAAGATGATAGGGTAAGAAATTTTGATGAAGTTGGTGGTGGTTATAAGTGTGTTTACTATATTATTCTCTATTATTTTGTATATGCTTGAAATATTTTATTTTTAAAAGTTGAAATTAGAACTTCCAGCCAAGATAGAGGCATAAATAGACATACAGTACCTCTTCACACACCCAAAAGGACAACAACAAATTCAAACACACAAAAAACTCCAGAATTGACAGAAAATTGAACTGTATGGAAATCAGACAACCAAGGAGTTAAAGAAGAAATAGTCATCCAGACTGGTAGGAGGGACAGAGGAGGGCAGCTGGGACTGAAATGCCTTGATGCAGCAAGGCAGCAGCTAGAGGACCAAGTTGACAAGGTGGCGGCTGGTGGTCCCACATTTGCGTGCAGGTAAACTGGGTGGAACAAATGGGGAGTAAGACAGACTGCACAGCCTAGGGCTCCAGTATAGGAAAAGAAAGCCTCAACACTTCTGGCTGTAAAAACCTATGGGGGTTGTTGCAGCAGGAAAAGCTCCCAGCCTCAGGAGAGTTCGTTGGAGGGGCCCTTGGGGTCCTAGAACATATGCAAACCCACCCACTGTGGAATTATCACCAGAAGGGCCTAATTGCTTTCAGGTAGCAGGGGAAGTGACTGAAAGCCAGCCAAGAGCTGAGCAAGTGGCATTGTTACCTCTTGGACCCCCTCCCCTACATACAGTGCCATGGGTTGGTCTGCCCTGGTGAATTCCTAATGTTCCGCCCCTTACTCTGTAACAGCTGTGCTGAGACAAAGAAATATGGCCCAAATAAAAGAACAGATCAAAAACTTTAGAAAAGCAACTAAGCGATGAAGAGATAGCCAACCTATCAGATGCAGAGTTTAAAACACTGATAATCAGGATGCTCACAAAAATGGTTGAGTATAGTCACAAAATAGAGTAAAAAGTGAAAGCTATGAAAAGTGAATAAAAGGAAAATGTACAGGGAACCAGTAGTGAAGGGAAGGAAACCGGGACTCAAATCAATGGTTTGGAGCAGAAGAAAGAAATAAACATTCAACCAGAACAGAGTGAACAAGTAAGAATTCAAGAAAATGAGGAGAGGCTTAGGAACCTCTGGGACAACTTTAAATGTCCCAACATCTGAATCATAGGGTTGTCAGAAAGAGAAGAAGAAGAGCAAGAAATTGAAAACTTACTTGAAGAAATAATGGAGAACTTCCCCAATCTGATAAAGGAAGTCCAGAAAGTTCAGAGAGTCCCAAAGAAGTTGGGCCCAAGAAAGCACACACCAAGGCACATGATAATCACATTACCCAAGATTAAAGATAAAGAGAGAATCTTAAAAGCTGGAAGAGAAAAGGAGACTGTTACTTACAAAGGAGTTCCCATAAGACTATCAGCTGATTTCTCCAAAGAAACTTTACAGGCAAGAAGGGGTTGGAAAGAAATATTCAAAGTCATGATAAGGAAGGATCTGCATCCAAGATTACTCTATCTAGCAAAGCTATATTTAGAATGGAGGGGAGATAAAGTGCTTCCCAGACAAGACCAAGTTAAAGGAGTTCATCATCGCCAAGCCCTTATTATATAAAATGTTAAAGGAACTTATCTAAGAAAAAGAAGATCCAAACTATGAATAGTAAAATGACAGCAAACTCAACAACTATCAAAAACTGAACCTAAAGCCCTGGCTGGCGTAGCTCAGTGGATTGAGTGCGGGCTGGGAACCAAAGTGTCCCAGGTTCGATTCCCAGCCAGGGTACATTCCTGGGTTGCAGGCCATAACCCCCAGCAACCGCACATTGATGTCTCTCTCTCTCTCTCCCTCCCTCCCTCCCTTCCCTCTCTAAAAATAAATAAATAAAATCTTTAAAAAAAAAAAACCGAACCTAAAAAGAAAACAAAAAAAAAACCTAAGCAAACAACTAGAACAGGAACAGATTCACAGAAATTGAGATCACATGGAGGGTTATGAGCCAGGAGGCAGTGGGGGGAGAGTGGGGGAAAAGTTACAGGGAATAAGAAGCATAAATGGTAGGTACAAAACAGACAGGGCGAGGTTAAGAATAGTACAGGAAATGGAAAAGCCAAAGAACTTATAAGAATGACTCATGGGCATGAACTAAGGAGGGGGAGGGAGAATGCTGGTGGGAGGAGGGCTGCAGGGCACAGGGAAATAAAGGGGAGGAAAAAAATGGGACAACTGTAATAGCATAATCAATAAAATATACCTAAAAATACAAAATAAAAGTTGAAATTAAAGATGAAATGGTACTTTTTTAATGTTGAAAAAAGAAAACAGAAGCCAGGTAATAACTCATGCATCTTAACAACAAATTTAAATTGTCTATAGCCAGTTAAATGTAGGTAATTTCAGTAGTTAACTGTTTGCTGAAGCTGACCACCTAGAAATTCCAGCTGTGTGGAGTCGCTGAAACCATTCGCCCCCTGCTGACTGAATCTAGAATAGTTTCCTGAGTTTCCAGGAGGAGCCCCTGCAGCAAGGCTGCCAGGATGGACCTGGATTATCTGGCCCAATTTGTTCAGAGAAAAGAAATGCTCTCAGAGTCGAAGTAATTTTGCAGTCCCCACTCCCGCTAAGAGGGCCGTTTGGAGATGCTGCTAAGCCGAGCCGGGACTGGCAGCCCAAGAGAGACTTGCTCCTTCAGCAATTCTCAAACCCTTGGGAAGGATGCGTCCAGAGGCTGGGGACTCACGAAGGCACGCGTAAGGATCCGAGATGGCCTTGAGGGGGTCCCTGTAGTAAAGGGGCCTGCAGCGATGGCAGTGCTGCCCCTCGGTGTTGTGCCGGCAGTCTTCACACACGCCCCCGCTGACCCCGCCGCTGGCCAGGTACACGGTCATGTCGAAGTGACAGCGGTCAGAGTGGCTGTTACAGCTACAAGCTGGGAAAGGAGAGGAGTTACTGAGAGATTCACTCAGGGCTTGGGAGTAACACAGTTGGCATTCCACCCTCTAATCCATGCGTCCTCTCTTTGTCTTTCCTAATGGGACTCCACCTTCTTTTTATGGACATACCATGTACACAAACAGTTAAATTAGGTGCTTTCAAAAGATCTTTCTAGTACTCTTGTAATGCTCATAGACTCTATAAAATGTGTTCCAGAAACGTTTAATATATAGGTATTTTTAAAAGTCAGGTAACAACAGTAAATCATTTGTGTAATCTAGAAGCCCCCAAATGCAATATTTTTGTTGTTGTTCAGTAAAGAATACTTTTACATACTTTGTAAGTTTGAATTTTTACATCGTATGTTCTGCAGGCACTGGGATTCTCATTGAAGCAGAGCCTCACTCTGCCTCTCCTCTGCAGGCAGGAGAGCTGGCAGGAGGGGGCGCAGGTCATGTACATCCCAACCCGGTGCAGCCTGAGCAGGACAGGGAAGGCAGTCTGTTTGGAGGATTTGTTTGTCTTTGTGGTAATGTCTGTCTACACTGTTCATCTTGTTTGTTTGTTTTTTTTTCTTTCTTGTAAACGGCATAAATATTTGCTGGGTTTTGTATATTGTGACTCTTGGGTGAGGCCTTTTCATGGGCTCTTCTAGTGACCTTATTCCCCTGAATCTTATTTTTCTCAAGTTTGGGAAAGAAACTGAATGACAAGTTTGTTTGAAAGTTCATCAAAATTTAGAGGCAGCAAACACAGTATAAAAATCCCCCACATTGTCAGTCTAAATATTTTGTAAAAGGTCCAATGGCCTGTCAAACTTGAACCTAGACCTTATTTCTCCTATTGTCTGACATAGGAGTTTAAGTTCATACTCAGGGAATGCATGCTTACTCAGGAAGATAGTAGGGGTCTCTGTACCAAATCTAATACTCACCCGGTTCCTGGATTGGCATCCCCACTGATCTTATTACATGGCTCTGTCCTTCCTTGGAAAGGGCCCACCGAACATGTATGTTGTTTCATTTTTCAAATTAATGTTAATTTTTGGTGTGAAGGTTTGAGACAGTGATTCTTCCATGGGAGATAATGGGAGACATTGGCTTATCACTCAGCTTCCTGGAGCTGGAAGCCACAGGTTTGTTGCCTACAGTCCAGATGAACTACATGTTCTCCAAAATAAGGAAGCATAGACACACTCCGACTGTGCTGAGAACCCTTGTCCACTCACCTCTGCAAGAGCTGTCCTGGAGGCCTGCAGCTGGCCTCCAAGGGGCATCCTGGAAGAAGTCCTTGCACCGCTCACAGTTTGGGCCATCTGTGTTGTGCTGACAGACACACTGACCATGAACCTGTGTTGTGTGATGCACAAACAGTGTGAAAAGAGGGCTCATCTTTGAGGATGCTGTGGTTCTTTACATGGAAAACGAGATACCAGGCCACAGGCCTGAGACTTCATTTCCACTATGTTAGTTACAATACCAACCTGGACTATCTATTATTATTTGCTTAACTAACTTTTACAATTTAAACATTCAAGATGTTTAGTATACATTTACAATAAAATTTTTTTTTGGTATGTCTCACTGCTAGTTTCAGGGCAGCACATTGCAGCCCTCAACAAAATGAGGGATAGGATGGTGTATGTGTGTGTGTGTCCAGGGTGGTTTAGAAGCATAAAAGAGGGAATTAGAAAACAAAAAGAAATTAGACAAAGGTACATGATTCTCCATAAAATGCTCTAAATGTCCAAGTTCAAAGGGAGAAGTTCTATTCCTGGTTAAACATTCAGGTAGCTGGGTAAGAAGGTGCAATAGCCCCAACATCAAGCTTTGTCTGACTATAACTAATTGTTTAAAATTATTTAGTAGACACACCCCAGGACTCTGCATGAAAATACAATTCTTCTACTACATCACTCTTAGGGCTAGTCCCAAGGATGGAAGGAATTTTCACTATGAAGACACAGTCATTCATAGTGTAAGATTGTTACCTGGAGTGACCATCTTTACAATAGCAGATATTAGTCACACACCTTGGCACAGAGTACAACAGAACTTTAATAAATTTTGGGGAGAGAATGCATGAGAAATTATGGGTCCTCCTCACCAAATCTCCATTCCCTAAAAAACAAATTACAAAAGGACAAAATGGGCTATCTTAAAATCACAAGTTATAAATTCTGGTCATGAGTCCAGTAATGCCTATACATTGAAGGATTCACAAGACTCTCTGGAGAGAGAACTGAAGGTGCCCAGATGGCCTGTCAGTCCAGGCTGAATCACACCTGCCTCGACCACAGGCTGGCACGTTGCTGATCCCCATATAAAAGCTGATCTACATCGAGCACCAGGACAGTGAAGGGAAGGTAGGAGAGCCAACTTCTCTTCTGGGTAAGTAACTCACCATTCCAGGAGGGCTGAACACATCTCCCCGCACCATCTGTGTCAGGCCACATTCGCTAGCATGGCCATTGCAAAAGCAGCTGCCCCGAACCACCATCTCATACAGGGCATAGTAGTATTTATCAAGGGAATCATTCTGCCTCCTTCCAAGCAAAGTGTCTCCAAGAGTGTGGAGTTTGGTGAAGTTTATCCTCAGGTTTGTTAATGTAACAAGGTCTAGAGAAAGGGCAATAATAAAAATAATGAATCAATGTGCATTTAGGTTGTACCACTTCAAGGCACCCTTCTTGACTGGCATCTCCTTAATACACTACAGAAAGGTAATGACAAGGAATATGTCTAATGGGAGATTTTAGAAAAGAAACTGATGTGAAAAATATAAAGCAATTCATACCCTGGATGTAGGGGCTGTATGGGTTTTCTATTTCAAAGCTGGGATCCAAAACTTTTAAAACAACCTGTAAAACAAATGTAGGTAAATTTAAACTATTTTACCCCAAAATGTTATTATTAAATAGTATACTCTTTTTTTTTTTAAAGAGGGAAACATCAATAAGTGGGCTGACTCTTGTGCACCCCCTAGTGGGGATCTGGCCTGAAACACAGGCATGTGCCCTTACTGGGAATTGAACTGGCAACCCTTTTGGTTTGCGGGACAGTACCTAATCCACTGAGCCACACCAGCCAGGGATAAACAGTATACTCTTAAAAAAGAGATTTTGATCTTACAAGCAGGCTGAGCTCTTGCCTCCCAGGTATCATAGGGTACAGGTTATTATTAAGTTCTCATTTGAATAAAAGTACCAAGAAGGAAAAGAAAGCCATAAACAGTCATGTTGGCTCTTTATACATAAGAGGTCTGTGAAGGCAGAAGTCATGATTCCGAAGGTAAAAAAGGCCCCCGTTCTGGGTTGGGGTGGAGTTATGGGGCCACAGTTCAGCGAGTCATCATCAGTTTGGATCTGGCAGGGAATTCTGGAGCTGCTGTCTGCCTCAGTCCCTTCTCCTAGACCTGATAAGGTAATACCTGCCAACCCCACTCCTACCCGGACCCTCCACCAGTTACCGGTTTTGCTCAGGAGATGTTCCTGGCAGATCCCAGTGGAGTGCTGGTTTACAGAGCCAGGAGACAAGACAACTAGTCCAGAGCTGCACTAGCCTATGTGCTGCCTTGCAAGGGTTAGAAACATGCTCTTCCCCTGCCTTTCCCAGGCCCCAGTGCCCAGCCTGGCTTTCAGCACCTGCCCACCTTCAGCTGGTCTCTCTGTGAAGGATTATTTCTTAGAAGGTATTTATCATTTATCTGAATTTGAGATGAATTCAGGACTCATTTCAATACTCAAATGAGGACTCAAATGAGTCCTCATTTCAGGATTCATTTAAACTCTATAATTTTTAAAAACCAACCACTAAGTTCTATTTCAGCAAACACTATCTAAATTGTTTTCATCTCAATTAACCACATGAACAAAATAAAATGGTTTATTTTACATTAAAGAAATCCAAGAAAGGAAAGGCTACCTCACCGCCAGTGGAGGGTTCAATATCCGAATATCTAGAGTCACACACAAGGTCTCCCACTCCCTGGGCCTGGCCAGATGTGATGTTGGGGAAGGAAGTGGCACAGTTTTTTGCAAAATATTTAAACACTTTCCAGGTGTGTCCATAGTCTGTGGAACGTTCAACTAACATCGCAGCAGGCCGAAAAGTCTGTGGAAAAATGAGTTAACTTGCGATGCTTCACAAAGGAAGATCGTATTACCCACTTCATATTGAATATTTGATTTTCTAACTCTATATTTTCAAACCTTATTTGTATCCTTTAAAATCACTATACAAAGAACCTACCAAAATCTCTTCCCAAAAGTGGGCAGGCATTTATGAGCACATATTTTGCCCTATAATCTAATTCTATTTTAAAAATATTTGTGGCCATGTGATTTAATAATTGAAAGAAGATGGCATATTAATTTTTAAGAGGTTAGTGTAATTGATATTTTACAGCAATTTGCATGCAGTTTTCTTGGCCTAGAATGCTTTTCCTCTGGTACACTGTTACATATCCTTGAAAATCTACTGTGAAGTTTACCTGGATTCCCCAGAGCAGATTTAGCCTTGTCAGTGAACTTCTCACCATTCTTACCATATGTCTAGGCACTTATCACCCTGTGTTATAATTTTAAATTTATATATGTACTGAAATCATAACTAGACTGTCAGTTCTTTAAGGGCAAAGGCTAAGATTTTTTTCATTTTTATAACTTTTCATTTTATATTCATTTTTTTATTACCACAATTTAGCACCAGGCCTGACAGCAAAATTAGAATTTTGATGAATGATTAGAGAGTGACTATAGCACAAGGTTTTCTCTGGCATCTCACTAACCTTAGCAGAGATCCTTTAATTGTTCTTCCTTTTTGATCAAAGTCTTTCCATATATCCCTAAATAATTTCCAGTTCCTGTCTTTTCTCCTCAGAGTTATCTCTTCCTCATTTCTGTGGCCTCTAACCCCTAGTGCTTCGTGATTTCCTCTTTGCTACATATTCTAAGACATTTCTGTTGTCGTGGACCATGTAAGTTATTAATTAATGAGCATTGGTATTGTGTTTTTGTTCAAGAACAAACAACCGATGACAAAGCTGGACTTTGGATGCACACAGCTTTTTGTTCTCTGCAAGGAAGTGAGCAAGTGAAATTTCAGGCAGGCCCAGTGTTTGGTAAGTGTATAAAAGGGGCAGTAAACCTACGCATCTGTACCTTAAAGGTCAGAATAAGGTGGCTGAACTGAAATAGTGCCTCTAGGTCCAATCTGATGCTGACGTGATCAAGACCTAAAGAAAAATCCAGAAAGAAGAAAATCAGTGGTTTTGAGGGACCCCTGCTTATCATATTAATCCCTCGCTCTGGCTTGTCTGTAATAAAACCCTTTGAAATCACATGCTGGTGACCAGCACTCTTTCCTAGTCTGCTGGAGCGGTTTCCCATGCCATTCCATGTTCAAGAGAAGGTCTTTGGGAGAGCAAGCTAGGGTTTACTCAGAGTGTGCCACATTGATGTTTTGGTGGCCATGCTTACGGCCACAGTGTGGCAGTATTCCATAGGACCAAGAACATTTCCCATAGGGGGAACAAGAGGGCTCATTTCCTTGGACTCAAATCTGTACTACACACAAACAGGAGCTAGCAAGCTAGAGCATGGTAAAATCGACACACCCTGTGCTTCCAACAGCTGCCAACAATTATTTGAACTAGTTTTATTGTTATATAGCATAAAACACAGCCTGGAACATTCCCCTGGAGTGAGGCTCTGTGGGCCCCTGAATGGCCTAGTAGGAGACCAATGCGTCCTGGCCTGGACTTTGCACTGAGGTAATAGGCTGCCCTCTTCTCTGGCATGGATGTGGAAGATTGGCCCCAGTCTGGACACACTGGAAGCCCTGATCCCTCTGAAGAGCACTGTCCAATAGAAATATGAGTCACATGTGCCATTTAAAATTTTCTGGCAGCCAGAGTCATACAAGTAAAAAAAAAGCAGGTAAAATCATTTTTAATGTACTTAACAGAATATGTAAAAAATAATCTCATTTCAGTATGTAATCAGTATTTTTTTAAGATCTTATTTATTTTTAGAGAGAGGGGAAGGGAGGGAGAAAGAGAGGGAGAGAAACATCAATGTGTGGTTGCCTCTCACGTGGCCCCCACTGGGGACCTGACCTGCAACCCAGGCATGTGCCCTAACTGGGAATAGAACCGATGACCCTTTGATTCACAGCCCATGCTCAATCCACTGAGCTACACCAGCCAGGGCTGTAATCAATATTTTTAAAAATTAGTAGTGTTTTATTACACGTTTCCCCCTAAACTAAGTGTTAGAAATCTGGCGTGTTTTTGTGCTTGCCATATATCTTGATTTGAATGAGCCTTGCTTTTAATGCCCAGGAGCCATATGTGGCTTGGGGCTCTGGCACTGGCAGTGAAGCTCTACAGAACAGTGGCTGGACTGCAGTGCCCTGGGGTGCAGCGACCTTCCAGGGTGAATGGCTCCAGGAAGGGTTTGCTGCAGGTGGGGCAGCCACATTCCAGTCTCTGTCAAGGGCTCCTCACCCTTTCTAGAAAGGAGATCTGCTTTCTCCTCTCCAAAATTCTTGGTTGAGACCCCTTGTCCCTGTAATGAGCCTTGACAGAGGGGCATTCCCTCTTGGAGATGTGGGGCAAATGCTGGACATGTGGGTCAAAAGAGCTACACAGAAAAAATGGCACCACCCACTAGTGAAGATAGGTGTTTGTGGGAGAAACTGCTTTACATTCATAGGGAGAGTCCAACTAGTGTCAATGATGAGGATCCAAGATGAACTGGTATTTAGTAGACATCGATCATGTACTTGCCCAATGGAGGATGGAAAAATAGCCTCACACCATGCTTGCCCTAACAACCCCATGTGATATTTCTCACACTCCCTCTAGGGCACTAGGATCCCCTAAGGGAAATATGTTTACCTCTGAGGAAAATGGATTATAGCCCCAAGTGCAACATATAGAGATGTGGCAGATGGAACCATTTTGGGGGGCGGGGTTAGGACTGCAGAGCAGGATGGAAGAGGGGCCATCCTGAGTGAGCCAGTCTGCATTAATGTAAGCACATAAGGCCCAGGGCTGGGTGGCATATGAGGAATCCCTGGTCAGGCTCAAACTTAGAGTGAGCATCTAGGAAACACCAGGGTGAGTCCCAATAGCACAGTTGTTCATGACCAGAGGAGGGCACAGACCCAGAAAGGCAAGAACTTCAGTCAGTAGCCATCTATCCTTTCAATTCAATTTTTATATTGAAATCTTCAGCTTGCAGTAAGAAATGACATGTCCTTTACCTCTCTTCCTTCATGCATTGAGGAAGGAAAAAGCACATGGCGTGAACTCTTAGATTTCCCCTGGCATTATTAATTCCACTTATCAGTGTGTTTTATGTTGGGCTTTATTTACCAATACCTCATAAACTTCCTTATTATCATTATTTTTTACAAAGAACAAAAGAATGCAGAGACATTTTCTTCCCTGGCAAGGAAAGAGTGAAACATTCTGAGTTATGTGCTTAAAATACAATTCTATTTCTCTAGAAACAAATAATCTTTTTTAAAGTGAAAAGAAAATTTATTCTTATACAGGGCTCTGCCTTCTGGTGAATGCTGTTCCAATATAACTGCTTGCTCTGACACTGTTAAAATCATAAACACACCTTATTAAAAATATGAAGAAATAAAACATTGGAAAGGAACTTAATCATACCATTTTCAGATTGCCACCATTTCTTTTCTCTGTCTGGTTCAAAATTTGTAATCACATTCTCAATGGTGTGGCTGTTGGGTTGGGTGTGTGGATCATAAGGAAATCTGGAGTCACAAATGAAGCATTTTTGTTCCCCCTGAAAAACACCATCATTAACATTTAAAATAAAGAACTATAATTACTTATTGTTGATCTGAATTTAAAAACAAACTGTACCTACTATATTTGTCATTCAATCTGGCTAAAAATAAAAAGCAGAGGAAATAACAAGACATCAATTTTTCCATCAATAGATGCTTAAATGCAATAACAAATGAAATTAAAATATGGCTTAGAATTTTTATAAATTTATATATTTGGAGCAAAAATGAAAATATATGAGGAACCAATTCTTTTTTCATACAAGATGCAGATGATCTGGAGATTATTTTCAACTATAGAGAAATAATTAGAATATAACTTTGAGTGGAATTATTATTTTTAGTTAAAAGAAGAATGTTTGGCACAAAACTAATGAAACAATGGGCTCTTAGGTTAACTGCAACCATCATCCTTTCTCTCTCAGACTTACTTTTTGGCAGAAAAGCTTCCAATTCCAAAACCTTTATATCACACATGTGGATTTTATAAAAGATTTTCATAAACTCACAACAGAGAGCCCCACCCTCTTGTCTCGCAGACAAGGTCTTATTAGTAAATGGGAACTAACTTTCCATGAGATGGATTTTCAAATGCTTTTAACAGCCAACTTGGCCTTGGAATGTGCTCACTTGACTATGTCTGCTTGTAGCTGTACTTATTTGAAACACATCCTAGAAATAAACCCACAACTTTAGAGTCAACTAATATTTGAGAGAGGAAGCGAGAACATCCAATAGGCTAAAGATAGTTTATTCAATAATGATGTTGGAAAAATTGGAGAGTGCAGAAAAATGAAGTTAGACCACCTTCTTACACCACACACAAGAATAACTTCAAAATGGATTAAGAACTTAAATATTAGACCTGAATCCATAAAAATTCTAGAAGAAAACATAGGCAACAAGATCTCAAACATTTCTCATAACAATATTTTATTGGATATATCTCCCCAGGCAAGGGAAACAAAAAAAATTAAAATAAACAAATGGGACTATATCAAACTAAAAAGTTTTTGCACAGCAATGAAGACCATCAACAAAATTAAAATACAATCTATGGAATGTGAGAACATATTCGCCAGTACATCTGATAAGGTATTTATATCCAAAATTTATAAAGAACTTACAAAACTCAACACCAAAAAAATGAAACAATCCAATTAAAATATGAGCAAAGGACCTGAATAGATACTTCTCCAAAGAGGACATACAGATGGCCAACAGGCATATGAAAAGATGCTCAGTGTCATTAATTACCAGAGAAATGCAAATTCAAACCACAATGATATATCACCTCACTGCTGTCAGAATGGCTATCATCAGTAAATCAACAAATAAGTGCTGGCAAGGAAGTGGAGAAAAGGGAAACTTTTGCACTGTTGGTGGGAATGCAAATTGGTGCAGGCACTGTGGAAAGCAGTATGGAGCTACCTCAGAATGTTAAAAATGCAATTGTCTTTTTTAAAAAGATTTTATTTATTTTTAGACAGAGGGAAAGGAAGGGAGAAAGAGAGGGAGACAAATATCAATGTGTGGTCGCCTCCCAAGTATCCCCTAGTGGGGACTGGCCCGCAACCCAGGCGTGTGCCCTGACTGGGAATCAAACCGGCAACCCTTTGGTTTGCAGGCTGGCACTCAATCCACTGAGCCACACCAGCCAGGCTGAAACTGCCTTTTGACCTAGTGATCCCTCTTCTAGGAATATATCTGAAGAAACCCAAAACATTAATTTGAAAGAACATAAGCACCCCTGTGTTCATTGCAGCATTATTTACAATCCCCAAGATATGGAAGCAGCCCAAGCATCCTTCAATAAATGAGGAGATAAAACAATCACAGGACATTTAACAATGGAATACTACTCGGCCATAAAATGAAGATTTTACCCTTTGCAAGAGCATAGATCGACCTGGAGAACTGGCTTATTATGCTAAGCGAAATAAGCCAGTCAGAGGAAGACAAGTACCATATGATTTCACTCATATGTGGAATCTATTGAAAAAACTGAACTAACAAGCAAAATGCAGACAGACTCACATAGAGAACAGGATGACAGCTATTGGGCAGGGAGGTTAGGGGGTGGAGGGATTGAGCAAAAATGAAAAAGGACTCATGGACAAAACTGTGGTGATTGTTTTTGGAGGGGAGAGGTATATTAGTGGGATAAATGGTAATGGAAAAAATACAATAAAAAAATTAAAATACAAAAAAAACCTCCTAAGGAAATTTCCAAAGACTTCCAAAAGACTGCCCATGGCCTGTGCAGCTGTTCCAGGCTAATGTGCGGAGAATGGACTCTGGAGGAACATTTTTACAAAGCTTTCAAGAAGCAGGAGCTGTTTATTACCATCCCTTGTGCTGGAAATTGCTTACAACAGTGAATGCACTCATCAGTGTTTAATGAATGTTGAGTTTACATCCTGACCATGACTTGCAAGGGCCTACATGGCCTCATCAGGGCTGCCTCCTTGACTGCCTTCCCTGATACATTCAGCCTTAGCTACCCTCACCGCTTTTCCTTGAGCTTATTGAGAACCCTTGTGACTTAGAATCTTGACACAAGCTGTTCTCAGTTCTCCCTGAACCTGCACCAAATATTCCTATCTCTTGCTCCTCCCCTTCTTTGAGGTCTCTGCTTAAATGCCATCATCTCAGAGAAATTTTCCTTGATGTTTATGTAAAATACCACCACCTCCCACCCTTATTGCCTCTGCCAGTCTCTATCCCTTACCCTGCATAACAATATTTTCTAAGCCCTTATCACTACCTGTGACTATATTATATAGCGGTTGGATTTCTGTCTGTTGGCATAATTAAACTTTAAGTTAAATGAGGACAAGGACTTTGTTTTGTTTATGGCTGTATTCTCCTTACCTAGAATAGTGTCTGGAACATAGTAGATAATCAGTAAAATTTGTTGAATGAATGCATGATGATTTTAATGACTATTTCTGCTAGAGTCTATCAAGATAAACCAGCTTTTCAAGAGCTCCACATAAACTTTTTATTTTTTAAATATTTTATTTATTTATTTTTAGAGAGAGCGAGAGAAAGAGAGGAACGAAACACGGGTGTAAGAGAGAAACATCCATTGGTTGCCTCTCACACAGGCCCCAACTGGGGACCGAACCTACAACCTTGGTGTGTGCCCTGATTGGTAATTGAACCAGTGACCTTTTACTTTGTAGAATGATGCCCAACCAACTGAGTGACACTGGTCAGGCCTATAAAATCTTTTTAGAATTACTGGCCACTATAAACCTTCCACTTGAAGAAATAAAGGAACAATGGAAGCTAGCTCAATTCTCCTATGGAGAAGCTTGACCCAGGCCTGTCCCAAAAGAGCAGCAGAAACCCTGTGATTGAATCACAAGATGTTGAGACTATAAAAATTTGGGGGGGAAATGTTTATACTCAGGGCTTGTGGGCTATTCTTTCTGTAAACATTTCAGGAGCACAGCTGTTGCTGGGACTGGCTACAGAGGATGCTCAGCAGCAGAGACTAAGCGGGAATCCCAACTTGTGTGACACTGTGAGTCGATGTTGACTTGAAGTTTTTGAAGAGGATGCTGTGCTTGGTAGCAGTTTTTTAGACAACAGACAGGAAAATCACCCCCATCCCGCACAATGTTTGTGCAGACTAGCACTTGCAGTCCCACCTGTGAAACTTTGTCAGCCTGAAGATATTTTGAGATTTTTTTCAGCTCTAGGATTTTTAAGATTTCTGTGATTTTACAGACAAAAGAAGTTTCTGAAGTTTGATTTACTTCTGTTTTGGTGGTGTGAAATTAAGACATAGGAACATGAAGTTCTGATTATCGTCCGAGTATATCAGGGGTTGGCTAGGATGAGGGTAAGTGAATGCCAGTGGTTGAAGAACAAGATGGGTGATCTTGGGTTGGAAAGTTTCTAATGTTAGAGTTGAGAACCACTTCTTTGTCTACAGGACCTGGACTCATAAAGTCAGTGGAAGGGCCATCCATCCCACCTGACCTAAATAGAGTTGAGTAAACTTCTACAGTGTCATTTCCTTGCATGTGTAGAGAAGTTGCTTTCTTATACAAGTAGTTCCCAAACTTAGAACAGTGCTAAGCATTCAGGTATTGTCTCTACTTAATTATAATCACCCTCTTTTGTTAGAAACCAATGAGAATACAAAGCATTTCCCAGAGACCTCCAGGAGTTGCCTTGATGAACAATACATGGAAAAGCCTGGGCCGCTAACATTAGGCTTGTGTCCAACTTCCTTCCTGCACATCCTCTCACTGACAGCTTGACATGACCGCCTCAGGCTTTTCAGCAGGTATGAGGCACAGATGACCTGGGGTGCTTGATCTGCTCTCAGGATACAGGGAAGAACAAACTCTAAAGCAACCTGTTCTTTTAACACACTGGTCTTCAAGGAAAAAAAGGCCGCAACATATGTTCACGTTGGGATTTTATGGTTTTTAGGCAAGACCAAGACAGTTTCCAAGTGTCATTGTGAGGCTGCAGTGAATTCCAGGTTCCATACCCTTCTATCTCTATGGCAGGGCAGGGAGAACTCCTGGTTAGCATAATGGCCTTGAGGGCCTGATGGATCCTCAGTCTTTACCTATTAAGTCAACTAGGTTTATTCTATGGCAGCCACATTTTATAGTCATTCCCTTCAAAGGCTGAACCAAAAAGACTTTTCTGTTTAATTCTAAAGGTAACAAGAAACAGATTAAGTAGATCTTTCTATTTTCTGATTTGACAAGGTTTCCTGGACTTTGAATTGTGTCACATGTGTCTCTGATGATCTGAAAGGAATGTTGTCTCCTTCTTTACTATTGCCTGAACAGCCCCAGATGTACTTGGAAGAACCCACATCAGTGATTAAATAATGTCCCAACAAGTAAACAAAGAACCAACCCACCTCGAGGTAGCTGAGGATACAGTATTTCTGGGCTCCGCCCAGCCCACAGGTAGAAGAAGCGGTGAGCTGTGTGCTGCGTCCCACCAGGAGATTGCCGGTGGTGGGATAACAGGCACGCTTGTTGCATCCATCTTCAGCTTTTGCATAACTGAGCAACCCTTGAACATAACAGAAACAGCTACTTAGAAGGCAGTGCAGGGGTAGTCGAAGGCTTAACGAAGCAACTGGTTAAATTGGAAAGTTAACAGTCCATTTATTTATTTTTTAAAAGATTGTATTTATTTATTTTTAGAGAAAGGGGAAGGGAAGGAGAAAGAGAGGGAGAGAAACATCAATGTGTGGTTGCCTCTCCTGTGTTCCCTCCTGGGGACCTGGCCCACAACCTAGGCACGTGCCCTGACTGGGAATTGAACGCATGACCCTTTGGTTTGCAGCTCACATTCAATCCACTGAGTTACACCAGCCAGGGCAACAGTCCATTTATTTTTAATATTAGTTCTGTTGATCATTAAGACCCTTGTCCTAGATGGTCTTGGTGCCCTTAGCCTGATGGAAGTTTCTTAACCTGAGAGGTTATACCATCTGTGTTCTGGTCCTCACCTTGGCCAGCCTGTAGCCAATGACTGACAAATACATAGTTCAGTACATAATTCATCGCCTGAGGTTAGGATCAACTCCACTGTGCAAATTATGCTCAGAACCTCTCCACAGGGTTGGGGAGGCTGAAGCCTGACTCCAGCTGGTACCCCCTTCCGCCTTTGCTTCCTCGCCTGACTCCTCAGAGCGCTCTCTCAATAAATCACATACCCACAAATCCCTGTCTCAGGCTCTGCTTCTAAGTAACCTCATCTGAGATAGCTTCTCTGTACTGGGAATCCTCCATGTATCATTTTAGGGCAAAAACAGAGAAGAATACAGACACGAGGAATGAGAATCCTAATCCTGCCTAATAGTGTCCTAAACTATGTAAGTTCAATTGATCCATTATAATATGAGTTGTTGGGCTCAGATGTACCATGGAACAAATCATGCCCCTTTGGGACCAAGTGAGAGACGGAGTCCCAGTGTGTACAGCACACTGAGCCCTTGATACCTGCTGTCCGACAGATCTGTCTAGATGGGATTTGGTCACAAGAGGTGTAAGATCATTGCAAGGGCACCTCCATCTCGACTGTCACTTCAATTCTTTACTTTCTATGTGCAGCCTCTGAGATAGTATTCTTATATCTCAGTTTAAAAACTATTTTGAAAGTTCTAATTGTTTTAAAATGTTAAATTCTGAGTTAAGACAATGTTAAATCTTTATATTTGAATGCGGAGTGGGTAGGCTGAGCTGAACTATTTCCTGCCTGCACAGCTTGCCTGCAGGGTTTGCTCTACTATGTTGGAGCTACATTTTTGCAACCCGTAACACATTAACAGATTTGTTCATTGTTGGGAAGGTTGAAGAAAACAAAGTAGAATCTTACTGGGCCTAAGTAAGGCTAATACAAATATAAAATTAAATGCAGATACAATGTGAGTCAACTGTGACTTTTTATTGATAGCTATTTATAGTGTCATTCTATTTCTTCTTTTAAAAGTGAATTTGAACAAGACAATACAGTATCTTTTAAAGTTTGATTAAAGGGTTAGAATTCTGTTTGATTCTCAAGGCCAAAATCCAAGCATTAGTTTTCTCCTGATTAAAATTCAAATATAGACATGGCAATTTTGCAGAAATAAAATAGGTTGAAAGACACAGGACCGAGAATAGCCGAAACAACTTTGAAAATCTCTCTACTTGATATTAAAGCTTTCAATGTAGGGACAGTAAACAAGAGAGTGTAATGCTGGTAGGAGAGGCCCATAAATCAATGGAACAGAACAGAGAACCTAGAAATACATCCACACACATATGCCCAACTGATATTTGAGGTGCAAAGGCAATTGAATGGAGGAAGGATAACCTTTTCAACAAACACTGCTGGAGACATTGAAGATCCATAGGCAAAAATGAACTTTCATGAAAACTTTATGACTTATATAAATATTAACACAAAATGAATCATGGATTTAAATGTAAAATATATAAGCATAAAGGTATAAAACTCCTATAGCATGCAGAAGAAAATCTTTGGGACTCAGGGCTAGGCAAAGACATTTTAGAATTGATGACAAGAGCATGATCCATAAAAAGAAAATCTGATAAATTGGACCTCATCAAAATTAGAAGCTTCACAAAGAAATAAAAAGGCAAGCAGCAGGCTAGGAGAATATAATTGCAAATCACATATCTGACTGATGTCTTGATCTAAAATATAAAGTGTTCTCAAAATTCAGCATTAAAAATGAACCCAGCTCTGGATGGCATGGCTCAGTGGATTGAGTGCCAGCCTGTGAACCAACGGGTCCCTGGTTCAATTTCTAGTCACGGCACCTGCCTGGGTTGTGGGCCAGGTCCCCAGTGGGGAGTGCGCAAGAGGCAACCACACACTGATGTTTCTCTCCCTCTCTTTCTCCCTCCCTTCCCCTCTCTAAAAAAAAAATAAAATCTTTAAAAAAAATCAACCCAGCAATAACATGACAAGTGGCATGAATAGACTTGCACTGAAGAAGATATACAAATGGCAAATAAGGCCCCGAAAACGTGTTCAACATCATTAGCCATTAGGGAAATGCAAATTGAAGCCACAATAAGATGCTACTACATACCTATCAGAATGGTTAGAAAAACAGTAGTGACACTAGATGCTGGTGAGAATGTGGAGAAGCTGGAGCACTCATACACTGCTGGTGGGAATGTAAAATGTCTGGGGGACAATATGACAGCTTTTAAGAAAACTGAGCTTGTGCTTATCATACAATCCAGCAATTACACTCTTAGATATTTATCCCAGAGATATGAACATTTATGTTTATATAAAAACCTGTGTACGCATGTCCATAGCATCTTTATTTATAATAGTCAAATACTGGAAACAAGCCAGTTTTCCTTCAATGAGTGAATGGTTAAGCAAAGTGTTGGTACAACCATATCATGGAATAGTTCTCAGCAATAAAAATGAGTGACTCTTGAAACATGGCAGCAATATGGATAAACCTCAAAGGAGTTAGGCTGAGTGAAAAAGGCCAATCTCAGAACGTTATATACTGGCCCTGAAAAACAGGGCAGCTAAGTTGGATGGAGCATCCTCCCATGAAGAGAAAAGTCAGTGGTTTGATTCCTGTCTGGGCACACACCTGGGTTGTGGGTTTGGTCCCCACTCACGGCACATAGGAGAGGCAACCAATCAATGTTTCTCTCTCACATCAATGTTTCTCTCCCTCTCTGTCTCCCTCCCTTCTCCTTGTGCTAAAAAATATAAATAAAATCTTTTAAAAAGGCTATATACTGTGTAATTACATTTCTTGAATGGCAAAACTGTAGAGATGGAGAACAGATTTTCGGGGGTTTGGGAGGCAAGGAGGGAAGGAGGTGGGGGTGGCTATGAAGGGGTAGTACTGTGGATCCTTGAAGTGATGAAATTGTTTTGTGTCTTAACTGGGGTGATGGTCATGTGAATAAAATTGAGTAGAATTTCCCTGGCTGGTGTAGCTCAGTGGATGGAATGTGGGCTGCAAACCAAGGGGTCACAAGTTCAAGTCCCAGTCAGGGCACATGCCTGGGTTGTGCGCCAGGTTCCCAGTAGGGAGTGCATGAGAGGTAACCATACAATGATATTTCTCTCCCTCTTTCTCCTTCCTTCCCCTCTCTCTGACAATAAATAAATAAAATATTTTAAAAATGCATAGAATTAATACATACACACAAATAAGTGCATGTGCACGTAAAAGTGGTGAAATCTGAATAAGATCAATGAACTCTATGGATGTTAATTTCTTGGTTGTCATATTGTGCCATAGTTATGCAAGATATTACCATTAGAGGAAACTGGGTGAAAGGTATATGAGATATCTCTGTATTATTTCTTACATCTGCACATGAACCTACAATTACCTCAAAATGAAAGTATGCCCAAACAGTCTTCTTTTCCCTCAAAATTACCCCATCAGCCCCTGGATGGTGAATGAAGTACATCTACATTCTTAAACAACACACACATGACCTCTTCCAGCTGCTAATACACTTTTCCCTTGAGACATTTTATGCCAAGACTTGATTTCAACAGACAGGAGTGAAAGGATTGGCCTAAAATGAAAAATAATTACCATACTACAAACTGAGTTTGGTTTCTTCTCAGTTTTCTCAACTGAAAAATAAAGAATTTGTTATGTACTTGTTCTATAGCTAATGAATTTCTTTTCTTCAACTTGTCCTCCCCAAAATACAAGCGTTTGAAAAATAATGTTCTCTCTGTTATGCATACATTTCCCACATGAACTATTCTGTTAACCTGGTTATTCTGTGGTAATTATCAGTCTGTAAACACACATAAATCATAGTTCTACAGCTAAGAATAAGACACATAATGTCTGCCTCCCTACAGTTTACCAAATGTCAGTTTGAACAGGGAATTTTCTACCTTCAGTCTCATTGCAAAGATTACTATTCTAGAACAAAGACACAGCATTTCCTTCTCTTTATTTGAGATAGATACATGAGAAAACTTAGTTCCATCATACACTTTTTATTTCATTGTATATATAGTAAATGACCCTGGATTGGTTAACATGAATTTTTCTCTCACTCACCCAGCAATCCAAATGCAGATGTCCTTTTATTTCCTAGAATTGGCATCTTGGACAAATAACTAATCAGAATTTTGGACTCCAATAGACAAAGGCTTTTTGAAAGAAAGTCAGGTATAGCATTTCTGCTTATGCTATGTGCAGATTAGCTAAGACTTCCCTCCCAGGGATTTATTCTTTTAGACAAGTTCCATCCTGAATTCTTTTATTTGAACTGTTGCCTTGGAGACTTAACCTGCTTTTATAACCCAACTTGGCCAAACTTGTTTTAATCAGATCTTTACTTTTTAGAAATAAAAGTATTCCAGGACTTAAGGAAATTTAACTATTATTTGTGTAATATTCTAAGTACACATATGAACTCATGGTCTAAAATACTTGGCAAAAATTGGCTAGAAATTATGTTCAGGCTGCATGCCTGAACATAAACTGGGCAATATCCTTCCTGGGATAAAAATTTCAGCTGCCAGATTATTACATTAGCAATAGGTTAGAACTAATTCAACAAAGGTGAAGGATAAAGATATTTATATCTTTAGAAAATCAATGTATTCCTCAAAAATGACATACAACTTAAAGATAGAATCTTATTAAGAATGAAGGTGGGAGATTTGCCCATTTAAAGAAAATGAACAGTAAATTTTCTATAAGGATCATTTTGTAGAAATAACCATTATTATATAGTCTCTCAGTAATTTTGTATATTGTTATGATTTTCTGATGTGAGATATTTTCATATACTTTGGAGTGCACCTCAGAGTTTTAGAGGCTGTGAACACACATTCATGTACTCAGATCCCTTACTTATTATGGGTAAGAAAAAGTACCAAGAATGCACATTAGATAAGGCTTGCACTTTGCATCCTGTTCCCCAAACCTGGAACCAATGCATGTTTCATGATTTTTTTCTCCTTATTTTCCTTAGATTGCAAGACAAAGTGTTTAAATAGGCTCTAGCATTTACAGAAATGCCTATGGTTGGACAAACCAGAAAATGCCCACACTGGTGGTATGGAGTTAACTTGGTTTGTAGTTTGACCTATAGGCAACCCGAGAGATTTGGGTTACATCAGGGTACCTTAGATTTAGAAATCCTGAATGTATTGCAGCAAAGCCTTTTCTGCCCAAGCTAAGTTGGTTTTGAAGGCATTCCCTTCAGAAGAGGGATCTCCTCGGGGAAGACTCTCTGAAGAAGGTGTGTACATTATCCTCCATTGAGGCTGGGAGAAGGCACAGTCATCCTCAGTGGTTGCCTCTAATTTTGAATGTTGATTTAGTTCCAAAGAGAACATCCAAGTCAGATGTAGATTAAACATCTTTGTTCCCACTGGCTTGTGACTCACCTCTCTGAGACAGGGAATTTTCAACAGAGAACAAGTGAGCACTTCCCTTCTAGAGCTGTTCTTTCCCTTTTTATCAGCAGATCTAATTGGGCAATTGCCTCAGGGTTTAAAAAGTGTAAAATTAAAAGATGGGATTCTTGAAGTTTGCTACCATGAAGAAATTCAGCATGAATCTTTAAAGAGAAGAGTCTAAGCAATTTAGTCAGTACTTAGCAATCAAAAGCAGATCTGTCATAGACATAGAAAATTCAGGATCAGAGAGTGATTGTTGGAAACATATTTTCTATGACTAATGTAAATTATTCTCAGCTTATTAAAAACAGCAGAGGCATGGAGGATTTGGCCCTTTAGCCCAGAGCTGCTGCTTACTCAGCAGAGGGAATTTTGCCTATAAATTCTTCATGAGACCACATCACTGGAACAAATGTTACATTCAAAGCAGAACTAGTTTTAAAAATTGAAATGCATTATATTTTAAAATTATGAATCTGAAAGTATTTGACTTTTGCTAGTATCTTACTTTACTTACTTACCTTTTGAGGATAATATTCCATTAAAGAGTGGTAGAAATAGCTATGCATGGGTACTAAACATATTTGAGTGAAATTTTTTAGTTACTTGACACAGTTATACAACAGAGTAGCCATGCAAATATATAGCAGTATAAAAAAAGAGGTGGATATGTTTAAAAATTATTTCTACTAAATATTTTAGAACAATAACACAAGCAGAAAAATTAATATTTGAACAACTAATACTTACCAAGGTGCAAAAGAAATGTCAGTTGAAATTGCATTTTTTTTCAAGAAATGATTAAATTCAGTTCTGCTAGGTTAAAAAAAAGGAGGCTAAATCAGTCACTGATAAACTCAATAACTGCATCAGTTGTCAATGATTTGAAAATTTGTCTGATAGTTCTTACCCTTTAGGGACACAAAATACCTATAGCATCCAATTCCTTAAAAAATAAAAGTATATACATTTTTACAAATATTTGTTTTCTATTTTGAAATCACAAAATACAATTATTTGTGGGAAATAATATGAAACAAATATTTCCTTTCCATCTTTTATATTAACCTATTTTGCCCATCTTATTATTTAGAAAAAATAAATTATGCAGTTAATATGTACCCATTACTGAAAACACAAAAATCAGACAGGGAAAATAAAGGAATTATTATCCATAGTAATACTGTTTGCAGAGAAGTGGTTAATGTCTTGCTATAGGTTCTTCCATACATTCTTCCTTACGTATAAATGTTTTCCAAAAATGATTACCATGTCATTATATCTCAGACACCATTTTGTGCCAGATATATCTGGTCTGTCTGTAATATATCCAGCCATATAATATGAAAAATAGAGACATTTATTGAAGAAGATACAAGGTACAAGAAACATGGTACATAAGACAATGATGCCTCAGTCCCCTTCAAAGTAAGCACCTTGGGATCTCACACGGTTCTCCCAATCACCATCAGCTGCCCCATCGTTTTTTTCTGAATCTCATTGACAGTCTGAAATCTCTTCCCTTTAAAAGGTGATTTTGGTTTTGGGAAAAGCCACAAGTCACAGGGTGCCAAATCTGGGCTGTAGGGTAGCTGAGTAACCTGGGTGATTTGATGTTTCACCAAAAATCTCTGCATGAGATGTGATGCATGAGGGGGTGTGTTGTGAATAAGCTGCCAATCACCAGTTGCCTATTGCTGCAGCCTTCTGAATCATCCAACAGTTTCCGTGGAGGAAAGTTAAAGCTTAATGCAAAATGTGATACAGATTCGTTGCTCTACTCACTCAGTCATTTTGAACGTGACAGCCACACAGTACACATGCTCACTAAATGATGTCTACCACTCCCCTGACTAGTACAGTGAAGTTGTCATTGTTCACACATGTGCATTCCAGTCTACTCTCCTTGGCTGCCAGGTTACATCAATGTCCTGTGAACTGTTCTCTTATATGGTTGGACTTTTTTTTGGACAGACTAATATGTATACATTTATCCTCACCTGAAGACATGCTTACTAATTTTAGAGAGAGGGGAAGAAGAAAGAAAGGGACAGAAACATTGATCAGTTGCCTCCTATACACACCCTGACTGTGAATGAAACCCTCAACCTAGGCCTTCTGGTTTACGGAACAATATTCCAAACAACTAAGCCACATGGGCCAGAGTACCAGCAATATATTTTCATGTTAGCAGTTTCAACCTAGTGAGGGGCATCAGGATTACCTGAGTGCTTCCACAAACCAAACCTGTGTCCTCCTTTGTAGATTCAGCTAAGGCCCTCTGGCTAGAGGGCTCCCCAAGTTGCTGTTGTGGGAGCCCTGATATAGATGAAAGTAAACAAACCTCAGTGGGTTGGGAGGTGAGGAAGTAAAGTGCTCTTCTGCATCAATGTTTAAGTTACTGGATAGTATTCCTCTGAATGCAGGAACCAAAATTTATTTAACAAATCCCTTATTAGTTGATGTATGCCATGTTTCTAATATTTTCCTGTTATAAATATTTTTGCTAAATTTTTGCTTATATCCTTAATTATTCCCCAGGATATATTAACTGAAGTGGAAATAATAAATCAAAAGCATGACTATGTGTGTACACATACATGTATGCATAAACAGTACACATATATATGCATATATACATGTACACACACTATGTGTGTGTGTAAAGCTTTTGATGTCAAACCGCTGTTTGGAAAGTTTGTCCCAATTTACACTCTTGTCAATAGCCTGTGGGAACAGCTGTCACCCTGAGCCCTTAGCAATATTGAGTATTATGAATTTTTAAAGCTTTATCAATTTAAGAAGCAGAGAACTGTTTTTCATCATTATTTTAATGTATTTATTTCAGTAGTAGTGAGTATAAAGATGTTTTTCATGTATTTACAGATGAGAACTATTTTTTACATTCTAGCCTTCAAGTTCTGTCCTAATGGATTGTTTATCCCATGAACCCCACATTTCAGCCCTCTCATCTCCCCTTGCCTGCACTGGAGTATGAGCCCAGCACTGCCTGCTTATGGAAAGCTCCTTTGCCTTCAATTCCACCCTGCTAGTTCCAGCCTTCTTATGACGTCCTTTAGAAAGTATTTTGAAATGCCTGGTTTTAGGCAAATGTCCCATTCTGTAGTCCAAGCTCTTTACATAGCCCAGGGGTCATTTGGGATGTCCAATATCATAAGAAAATGACTGAGTGAGAAGCAGCCTCTCTGGAAGCATCTCCTTCTGAAAATGAACTCTGTGTTGTAAAAATCTCCAGATGTGGACTAATTACCTCACACAAAACTTGTGAAGACCTCTAGGAGAGTCCAGATGGAGCCTTGGGAAGTTCCCCCCTGTGCGGGTCACCTGGACCCGAGCACTTTCTCTAGGTGGTGCTCCTTTCCTTAGTCGGAGCATGTGGCTTCAGTCAATTACTGAGCTACACTTTTGATAACATGAAATCCCAAATCCTGATGTCCGGGATTCAGAACTCCTGCCTTCATGCTTCATTCCTTCCTTTTTAAAAGTCTCTGGGAGATTTTTCAGCTACCAATGTTCAGACCCAACCGAGGTAAATTCAGAATTGCTGGGGGGTGAGACCCAGGTGTAATGTGTCTAAGATGCTTCCCAGAATGTTCTTTTTTTTTTTAAAAAAAAAAAAGACTATTTATTTTTTAGAGAGAGGGGAAGAGAGGGAGAGAAACATCGATGTGTGAGAGAAACATTGATTAATTGGTTGCTTCTTGCACACCCACAACTGGAGATTTGGCATGCTATCCAGGCATGTGCTCCAGACCAGGAATTAAACCAGAGATCTTTCAGTTCGAAGGCCAGTGCTCAACCCAATGAGTGACCCAGCCAGGGCCAGAGGAGTCTGATATGTACCCCAGAACTGCCGATGGCTCACAAACACCTAAATCTCATTAATTTGCCTCATGTGCCTGCTCTTCTCCTGGACTCCATTCTAAGAGAAGGGCATAGCCCAATGTTTTTCAAACTTTGCTGCACATTAGAATCACCTGGGGAGATTTAAACATTCTGCCACCCAGGTACATTCCATACCAATTAAATCAGAATACCTAGAGGTGAGGTCCCCACAGCATGTTTAAAGATTCCAGATGATTCCAATATGCAGCAAAGTTTAGGACTCACTGTCAATGCCACGGACCAGTGTGCTTAGGCCGGGAACCTGAGGCTCATTCTGCATTCCTCCTCCCCTCACCCTTCACATTTAACTTTGATCTTATCTCCTTAATCAGTGGTTCTCAAAGTGTGGCCCAAGGACTTAGTAAGGTGACAAATTTGCCTGGGAATTCTCTGGTTTCTGAAAGTCCCTAGGTCCTGGGAATCTCCCTGAGTTCTGAGCAAACCCAGATGTTGGTCATCCTACTGAACCAGCAGAATCAGGGTCATCTGGAAACTAGTTAGAAATGCAAATGATCAAACCCCAGCCCAGGACCTACTATTTAGGAACTGTAGGGACGGAGGCCCAGCACACTGTGCTCTTACAAGCCCTCCATATGAGTCTGATGCAGCTCAAGTTTAATAAACTGCTGCCCTACATAATTCACAAGACCAGAGATGCTGTTGCTCCCAGAGACAGCAGCCAATGCTTAACGAGACCCCCTCAGTGGCAGGTGCTTTCTTAGCAGTGTGGTCTGGGTGGTCCCCTGGTTGGACACTGCAGGCCCTAGTCACAGCGGCTGTGTTATTGGGGTGAGTGAGGAGGTTCGGTGGATCTGTTCCTGACTGAATGCACACGTACTTCTCAGAGCTTGCTCAGTGAAGGGCTTCTTCTTTTAGCCCTTCAATGTCCAAAATTAATTTTCCCCTTAGAACAGAAGATTTTATATTGTTCATAAGCTTCTAGGAAGAAGACAGGAAAAAAGAGAATTTTATTTCATATATGAAGCCTCCCCTATGAAACTTATATTTCTGAATGGGGAAATTCTTTTCTTTTTTTTTATGAGAGAGGGGAAAGAAGGGAGAAAGGGAGAGGAACATCAGTGGGCTGCCTCCCACATGCACCCTGACCAATGACCAGACCTGTAACCCAGGCATGTGCCCTGAGCAGGCATCGAATTGGCGACCTTTCACTTTGCAGGAGGATACCCAATCAACTGAGCCACATTGGTCAAGGCAAGAATGGAGGTATTCTTATCTTCACAGCTCTTAGTAACTCTTTTAAGGCACAAAGTATATTCTGCTTTTTATCTGTTTATTTTTTGGTGACAGCTTTACTGAGAAAATTCACATACCGTAAAATTCACTGTCAATATGGCATTCAACATACTCAGAGTTGTGCTCCCTGTCTAACTCTAGAACATTTCATTACCCAAACAAGAATGGCCGTCACCCCCATCTGCCTCTTCCTGTACCTCCTACTTTCTCTGTGGTTTGCCTATTCTAGATATTTCATGCAAATACAATCTCATGGTATGTTGTCCTCTGTGACTGACTTCTTTCAATTAGCATAATATTTTCAAGGTTCATTTTTCTTGTAGTAGGTATCAGTCACACATTCCTTTTTTATTGCCAAATAATATTCCACTATATGGATATACTATGTTCTGTTTATTCATTCACCAGTTTGTGGGCATTTGTTTTTTTCTACTTTTTGGCTATTATGGATAATAGCCAAATGAATAATGCTGCTATGAACATTTATCTACAAGTTTTTGTACAGATGTATATTTCCATTTCTCTTGGGTAAATACATAGGAATAGAAACATTTTGCTTTAAAAACATTTTTATGACTTTGTCTAAACCTTCCTTTGTAAGTACTTGAATGCAAACATTAATCTTTTTGTCCCTGGAAGTAGTTAGGAAAATATATTTAAAAAAATTTTTGACTTGAATCCATTTCTTGTGTTGAAATACGTTGGTGTTTAACCTGGACACTAATTTCAGGCATAGAATTTTAGCCTGAGTTTTATTTACTGGCTATTGCACTAACCTCACCTCACCCACCCCCACTTGAAAGTCTCAGCTGTGTCCTGGAGGCTCCCCTTCCTTCTGGGGCTGCTGCAGCCTTGGCTGTAAGATCCCCTTATCAACTGCCAATCCTGGGTGTCCCATGGTGCTGACCTTTTACTTGCCTCTTCTCCCATAGCCTCATTCTATGGCTTTTAGTCTCTAACTTTCTCCCTGTTTCATAATTTGTTTGCTTTCCAGAGCCCCAGTTCGGGGCTGTTCTTAAATCTTAAAATTTAAACATTGTAATAGGAAGCACTTGGGTGGTAAAGAGGGTCATAAATACAATCATAATCACTCATCAATAGTCCTAATTTTCTTTATCATAGCAGGAAGACAATCTATTTACTGATTTTTTTCTTTTAGAGAGAGGGAGGGATGGGAAGAGAGAGAGAGAAACATCAATTTGTTGTTCTATTTATGCACGCATTCATGGGTTGATTCTTGTATGTGCCTCGACCAGGATCAAACCCCCAGTCTTGGTGCACGGGGCCGCACTCTAACCAATTGAACTACCCGGCCGGATTCTGGAAGACATTCTAAAGAAGCCTTTATTCCCAGTGTTTGTCCTCATTTAGAACTGATTGTAGAACTATGCTTTGTGAAATGATCCTGAACCACATCCTGTGAAAGATTCACAGCGTTCAAGTCAGAAGCACTGGCCTATGGTCAAAAGCATCCACACGGGGTGCTCAGCAGGGCCCAGTGGAAAGGCGGGTGAAAATTGCTGGGGTGCCTCGCTTTCTTCCTCCACCCAAGTAATGGGAACAGGCCCAAATGAATGCCAACACTGGGGTTTTAAATCCTTTAATTCAGCTATCCCTGAAAGTCCTGAGGCACAGCAATTGAAGAGGTAAATTAATTCTGGTTAATTCAGGCTGCTGAAAATATTCTCCTTGAAATGATCCAACAAAATGTGGTAAAGCAATTGAAATCATCCCTGATTTTCTTACTTCTCTATGTCCCACTGCAAGTGAACTCTTGACTTCTTTCTCAGTGAATGTGGATTATGGCTGCTGATCCCTGTAATTACCCTGCAAATCCTTAAGCCTATATGTTAGCTTTTCTGTTTTTCAGAAGAGTGTTGTGCAATGCTTCTCAATGGGTTGGTTTGCCCCGCAGAAAACATTTGGCAATGCCTGTGCAAACTTCTGACTGTCACAGCAGGGGAGGGGAATACTATTGGATCTAGTGGGTAGAGGCCATGGATGCCCCTAAATGATATACAATGCACAGGACCATGCCCAGCCCCCTAATAAAGAATTATATGACCCAAAATAGCAATAGTTCTGAGCTTGAGAAGTCACAGGTGGCCCCAGTGCCCTTCGCCAGGGCCTTGCACCTCACCCTTCATTTCCATAAGTTGCTCCGCTCTAGTCTTGACTCCTGTTTTCTGTTTCCCATTTCAGGTGACCTGAGCCCCAAACTAGATGAGTGTTAGGGTAAGTCTGGCAACACTTAGAAGTTGTATTGTCTGAAATCATCCACCTAGGCATTATGAAACCGACAGCTGCACATGCAGCATGGTGCGGGCATTGTGGTAATCCCACCCCTACCTCCCTTCATCAAGCTATTCGTTTCGCCGGTGCTGCTTTTCTGGTTGGTTTATCAGAGCTGACATTTGCAAAGCCTCACAGGGGCTACGTGAAATTTTTTCTTGCTAAACTCATTGGTGAGTTTAAGTGATATATGTAAAAGTAATTATGATGAATAAATATAATATTACCCCTTCTTTGGACGAAAAGCATGTAAATAGATTTACAACAAGGCTGGATGCATTTTGGTCACTGTTTAACTAATGTTGCTGGATGAAGCAGGTCTTAAAATATATTGTGTTGCAATAAACAGGTCTCAAAATGTGTGAATTGTTTCAATAAACAGTAAAGTATATGAAACTGACAATAACATTCTGGCATTGCTAACTGATTTTAATTCACTCACTGTTCACTAACATTACTTCATCTGCCCTTGCTTGGAGGCTGTGCTCAGGTCAACAAAGTTATGTTTATCTTTCCTTTATTCGAGTAACACATTTTTTTCCAAGAATCATTCAATATTTCAGCTGTGTTGCTAAATTGTATCATAGTGAAGAATGCAGAACTAGAAGTTATAAAGCTTCCTTTCATGTCAAGCAGATTTCATTGAAGCAGATTTTATGTTCCCCTTAAAACAGTATTTACACAAACCTAGGATATTAACAAAAATATTTTGAAGATATGGATAGTTCTATAGAATTTGAATTTTTTCTAAATTGTCACCAGTTGTATCACCATAATAAAATAAGCATTTACATAATACACAATTTAAAATTGTGCAGTTCAACACCACATCATTTGATGCTTTCTTCAACAAACAAAACTTCAAGTCAGTGGCTGCATCCACTGTGCATTAAGCTTCTACTTTTCCCATTGGATACTGCGTTACACAAATGTGCGTGTATGTTATCTGATCATTGATCATTCTGTAAAAGTAACAATTGTACTCTATATTCGGATATATTATACTCGTGCTGGTTCCCCATGTACCTTCACTTGCTGATACCTTCACTTGATCCCCAAAATGCCAACTTGCCAGAGAGATGGAAGTGAGACTTACCAGGATTTGAGAGTCTGCTGAGAGGTGCAGGCAACAAGCAGGGCATGTAAAGGCACACCTGAAAGTGAGAGTCAATTTAAGTAGAAAACATTTGCCCCGAGGCACCTAAGGGTAGGAAAAAAAGATGAGAGGTGTTTCAAAACCTGCCAAAAGAGGTGATTTGTGAAATTACTTGCCTTAGATTTTGACTTACACACAAACACACACACACACACCCAGTATACAGAGGGAAAGAGAGCTCAATTTTACAGCAAACATTCATTTCCATGCCAAACTTCGGAAAATAGTGACTTTGAGAAGTTGCAATTAGGGGCTACAGCAACAAAGTGCAACATTCCTACCAAATTTCTAACCGAGTGTGTAGGTTACTTGTACCTGCTTCAACAGTGGAAGTTAAGGAGGGTGAATCATAAAGAATCAAAGCTTACCTTATGCTCACAAAAGCAACGAGGTGCAATGCCCTCTCAAGGAATGAATGAATTGTTTGAGTGAGATGCTGTAAGTTCACTTGAGTGAAAAGTGTGTACCTAATCAAATACATTTTACTTCCTACTTGCAATAATAATGCTTCATAAAATAAACTCTGAACCTGAAAAACAGCAGTTGATAAATGCAGATGTTTTCATGATTCACTAACTTGTAGAGTCTTTTGCTTGAGCATCCAGCTTTGCCTTCAGACCAAGATTCTGGGCGTATGCAGAGAGGAATCTGTGTCTGCTGAAACCTATGGAGAAGGAGTGGGATGGTCCATCGAATATTTTGGCTTCTAGAATTTGAGTAGTAAATTTATCTCTGCAAATACAGCACTAAGACAAAGTTAGCTAACCTGTTTCACTGACTGATATCTGTGAGGAAGAAGGAGAAGGAGAAGAACAAACAGCTCATATTGAACAGACAAGAATAAAAAAAAAGAAAGTAAAAGTTCAGGAGGTTAGATCCCAGCTGGTCCCTGGACACTGCATTCTTGCCAGTAACTGCTGCCTGCAACACGTGTTCATCCTCAGGATGGAAAAAGTCAGTTTTTCAGAATTCATGCAGTCTTGAAAAACTTCTCTCCATTTTTACCATTATGCAGATACTTCAGTGGTGCATGCTATAACATAGAAGTTCTGAAAATGATACTATTAAGTACTTCCTAAATTGGATTTTGCTCCATTTTATTGCTCCATTATTTAATTGGGTTTGAATATTTCAGTAAGTCACCCAGCAAAGTTGTTTATATTTTTATATACCAAGGAGATGAAACAGAAAACATTCTCTTCTTTGATCTTCCCCTTAAACATTGGCATTTCCTCAGTTTCCTCAGTTTGTCACCTGAGCATCTCCTTCTTTTCCTGCGTGTATTCCTTAGGCAACCCTTTTGGATAGTTTAACGTCTTAAACCACTTCTTCTTTCTCTGCCTCTAACCCCACCTACGTCCTAAATTTTGATTCCATGTTTCCAACTGCCTCTTGATAACTCTGTCCTATGACTCACCAGCACCACTAACATACAATGTTCACAGTTGTTCAAACCTGTCCATCTTCTTCATTTCCATACCATCTCAGTGAACAGAATGGCATCTTTACCCACTCATTTGTGCAGTTTAGGAACCTCAGCTATGCTTAATTTCTCTCTTTTCCCTTTATTCCCCACACATAGAATAAAAGTGTCTGAGCCTGGCCTCCCTAAACCATTGATGGGGTTCAGTGACAAAAAGGGAAGTAGCATTAGCTATTTCTCTGATTGCTTCCCCCAAAGTCCCTGTGTTGTCCCCTCAGCAGAAACACTGTTGGTGATGTGTGCAGTAGTAGGGACTCCCCTTGGGCCATGGTTCGCAGGTATTAGGACACCATCATGTCCTTTCAGAAAGAAGTTGCAGGGCTCAGCCTGGGTCTCATAGCATCACCCAAAGGGAGGACATACAGGCCAGTGTTTCCTTCTTTGATCCTCATTATTTCTACTCAACACTGTTCGTCAGAAGGTTTTAAATTTTCACTGGCTTGTTTACACCTATGATCCTTTCAAGAACAGGGGTAGAGGTGGGATGGGGAGTGGGAGGAGGTTGGAGAAAGAAGGTTAAATATTATCAACTGAACTGTATTATTTTGCTTAGAAAAAACAAATTTAATATTTTGTGGCCAGGTCTTGATGATCAAAACAAAGTTATGTTACCTCAATTACTTAATACAGAACATTTTAAAACATTACATTTTCAGGTTGACTCTAAACTTAGCTTTTTCCAAGGTGAGATTAAATATTATGAAAGGAACCCCCAGCTTCCGAATGCCGTTTCTACCCCACTTCTTCACCCTAGAGCCTGACACCAGTACGTCATTGGGGCTGCCATCAGCTCCTTCTGACAGACTCTGGTTGTCTCCTAAATCTTGTCCTCGATTCTTCTGAGCCATTCTCCTCATGGACACCAGAGAGCACATGTTTCCATGTGTTATTTCTTTGCTTACAAATCTTTCTTGGTTCCCTTTTACTTACAGTTTCCAGTTTCTCACTGTGGCATAACAAAGCCTGTTCAAAGCCTGGTCCTGGCCTCTTTCCACGCTCCCTCCATGCGAGCTCTGCTCCACGCACGCTGTCCCTGAGCACGCCATGCACTTCTATGACTGGCCTCATGTCGACCGTAACTTTTATGGCACATCATTCTCCCTTCTCCATTTTACCTTTAACTTTCACCTTTTGTAGAGGTTTCCTTGTCTCCTCCAGGCAGAGTTGGCTGTTCCTCCTTTAGAAGTACTATGATAGAGAGGCAGGCTTTCTTTTGCAGTGGGATGTTGGTGTCAGCCTCCCCGTAATACTCTGAGCAATGCAATGGCAAGGACAGGAGAGAAGACCCATGGCTATTGCTCTGCTCTGGGTTCAGTAGTGCTCCTGTTTCCTCTGCCCTGAAGCCAACAGCTCAGTTCCGGCAGGTAAACTCCTTTGTTTCCTCTGATCTTCTTCATCACCAGACTCTACCTAGCTCTGGGTATTCTAGTGCTCAGCAGGGGGCAGCACTTCTCACTCACCATGCAGCCTCTTCCTGTTCTGCAGGACTGGGTTTCTGTCTAGGGTCTTTATTCCTATATGGAGACTTCACTGTGTCTACCTTGAGCCCTCTCTTTTGACCCGGAACCTTTGTCTTTTCCTTTGGGGTGGGTCCTCCTTTATGTCAGCCTCATCTCACCATTCTGCCACAGCAGACAGATCCTCGATATTGGGTGTTTCATGGATTCTCCTCTGCTAGGTCTTGCCTAATCTCCACAGAGCTGGCCATACCAGGATTGAGATGAATCTGGTCTGTTTCCTGCCCCATTCTCTAGTCTTAGAGTACAGATGGACAAATTTGCTTGGGCATGATCTCCTACACCACAAGGTTTTGGCCAAGGATTTAAAATATTTCACACTGTATTCTCAAACACCAAACTTAGTATACCCAGTGGGCACTTCCTTTTTTGAATGAGCTGATATTAAATTGCAGGCACTGCTAACAAATTTATATGATTATATTTATATCAGAAAAATCTAAATCCTAATTTAGATTTAGAGTTTATATTGTAAAATATAAGGGCACATGAATTGAACTGCTTCAGGTTGGCTTTTACCAGGCTCGGTAAATGACCAGAGCTGGAGGGCACAGGAGAGTCATCACAGGGAGTTTCTTGAGAGCAAAATATTCAAGATACGAATGTGACAATTTTCTCTGGAGTCGAATAACTTAGAACAGCTAGAATAAGTTTTTATGCCCTAATAAACCCCTGAGGTAACTTAAGTCAACTGCTACATTTCTTAAAATCAATCACCATCTGCCTTTCTTGACAAGATGTCATTTGCCTTTGTTTCATTCCCACTCCCGCATCTCTTACAGCTTCTTACTTTTCTTCCCTTAATCCTTCTCATTTTCTCTAAAACCAATTTTAATTGCCAGGGCTAATGCAAGGGTATTTTGTTTCCTGTTTTATGTATTCATTTTTTTCTGGTTCATGCTTCAGTAGTCATTTTTAGGCAGCTTGAAACCTATCAGCTATAGAATGTGCTGCACTAGAAGGGGCTTATTTCTAAGAAGCAAGAGACCACCACCCCCATCCCCATCTACTCCTAGGGGAAACAGGTAGGATGCTTCCTTTCTGCTTTTCAACATTCTGTCAAATCCCAGCTGACTCAGGATCATCCTAAATATCTCACACACCTTTTGTTTGCTTTGTGATTCAGCCAGTATGTCTATTGTGGGAACTGCAGGTTTCAGGGGTTTGGGAATCCATATGGCTTGCGATTCATTCTCCTACAAAGGTTTATAAGGATAGAAGTGAAACTAAGTCAGTCTTCAATTTCATTCACCCATCAGTATATTAAAGTATCCATTTCAAGCCTCACATGCAGTTTCAGTGGGTAAGTCTGTGGGTTGCTTGAAAAGACGTATTTAGGATTCCCATAAACTCTTGGAGAATAAATACCCTCCCGGCAGATAATAGTTGTGCACTAAGCCAAAGCTAGACATACACTTTTACACAACATTGACTAAATAGAGAATAGATCTAACAAATGTTCTCCAAACACTAATTTTATAGACCCTTAAGCTCTTTCAGAGAGTGTTTCAAAGGTTCTTCTTCTTATATATTGTGTTTTTATTTATTGCTATATTTTAAATTGCTGCCCCTATTGGCTTTAATTTTGTTCCCTGCAGACGTACTGGAAAGCAACTCCCGGACAACTGGGCTCATGTCTTCACCATTTCAGGGCTGAACTCAGAGGAGGGAGCCTGCAGTCAGCATGTGCTGAGCTCCGTTCATTTCCTTTTACAAAGCACCAGGTGGCAGGAGACCAAAGGGCAGTGTTTGGCTTTGGGGTAGAAACTTTGGCAGGGAGTTTAGGTGAAATGGACGAACTTTTGAGTTTGTTCATTTGATTGGTTTGTGATCTGCTTTATTCATCTAATACTATTTCCCCTGTAGTATTTTAAATTATGTGCTAAATGGAAAATCCTAGACAGTAAGTATTTATGTTTATTTTAAAGTAACCTCAAATATTGGAATTTCATAAAAAGCATTTAAAAATATGTATAAATTTAAAAGACTTGCTGCATTCTTGAGTGATTTTATTATATCTTGATTATAATATCTTTATTATATCTTGAGGGATTTTCCCCTGATATATGTATTTCTAGTTTTATAGTAAAAATTAAAGTGACAACATTCAAATTTCAGAAATTTGTCTCCAAATAACCATGTATAAGTGACTGTAGCTATTTTCCTGTACATTGATGCCATATTCTTAGGATATCTGCCTTCACTGTCTGATTTAACTATTTTACCTCTTCAGATCAAGGTTAGGGTTAGGGTGTTGTCAGAGAGGAGGTATTTTCAAGAAAATGTTGGTTTACCAGCTAATCAGAAGCAGTCTTTTAGCACAGCTCCTCTGAAACAAAGGTCTTGCACCTTGTTTTCTTTTCCAAAAAGAAAATGGCTTTATTGTTTTTCCTGAAAAATAATAAATGCTTATTTACTCCAAATCAGACAATATAAAAAAAGTACAAAGAAGAAAATAA